ATCTATACAAGTTTTCTCCTGGCGTTTGATAATAATTGACACTTGGATTAATGATACCCATGGCTTAGAATGTTATCTTGTTATACCATTTATAACTACAGGTTTTTTTATTACATTTATATGTCGTTAATAGAAAATAAATTTATTTCTTGATTTTCCCATTTTATTTCTTCTAATCTAGAACTCATTCTCAGACCAATTCTGCAATTCATCTTCTAATTGTAAGCTGCATAATTTTGCTGGAAAATTTTTAATTGATTTGCTTAAATTTTAAACTTTTAATGTTATTAGTATTATTTTTCCAATGTGTGCCAAAAATTATCAATATTATTTTTAAAGAGACTGCAATTAAACATTAAAACTAGACTGATAAATAATCAGTATTTTTGTGCCTTTTAAAGTTATAATTTGTGAGCAATGCATTAAATATAGTTTGAATATAATCAGTAAGATACTATTTACTTTTATTATTTGATAGTGTCAAATTTCAGTGAAGATGCACCTGGCAAGATCCAAAACTCGAATGCACTTTCACCCGAGCAACTTGCGGGCGCGATGAATCTCTACGGTGCACCCAATCGACTTGCCGACTGTCCAGCCGCACTCTTTTCTGATAGTTAAATTCACGCGTTAGTTTTGGAGTGCTGAATATAGACCGGCCGATGAGCAAACTCATTGACTGCCGCTTTCTCTGCAAAAACACTTTCTCTTAATTGAGCCTACGGACGAGAAGAAGAACCACATGCTGGGCGCGCTCATTATTCCAATTAATTTGCACGCCGTGCGTGCGATATTATTACTCGAACCGTGTTGCGTCATTTTGCTATATTGTCGTGGGAGAGTACGTTTGTAGAACGCTGAGGTTCAATGATATAACTAGCCGGTGCCGTCCATATCAGGATTTCTGCGCTGTGCCCATAAATACTGAGAAGGAATGTGTACTGCGTACTATGGAAATGCTCCGACGGAAGACAAACGTCGCTTTCCTGCATTGGTCAGGAACTACCAATATAAAAATACTAATATTTTGTTTTTAATTTTTACACAATGCCTTTAATTATTATCCTTTATTATTATATTTTTATTATAATGAGCTTCAAACATTTCAAAAATAACAAACAATTGCCATTTTTGAAACTTATTTTGCAAATTTTTATAGGTGCTCTAATTTTTTTTATGATCTAACTATTTCTCAATAAACAAATTTGTATTTGACGTAGTTATAAATTATGCAACACTTTGGTCACTTTGGCAAAGATAAGAAGAATAATTGGATAATTCACTACAACTAATCCACCTCTGAATGCACGTGTGTAATTAGGCGAAATATGTATCCAGCTTTCACACGCCCACAAAACGAAGGCCTTCTCTATATAATTTGGCGCAAATTCATCATATCACAGTACAATGAGAGCACATAATGCGAAAAATTAGACAGCCGTAAGCAAACCTTGGGCGCATTTTTAGTTTTCTTTTTAGTTAGGGCACATTTTGAACGCGACCTTGAGATGCAACCAAATTTCAGGGTTCTTTAATATTCAATTCATGCACGGCTTTTATGACGTTACTTTGATAATAATGCACACACAGAGCAGCTGAAATAGACACACGCCTCACTCCGCACCTCTCAAAGTGGAGCTTGCAGAACAATCGAAAGCGCGCGGTCATAATACAAAATAATCTCATGTGTAAATGTGAAAAGAGAGCACGTAATAATGCTGATAGAGAAAGAAAGAAATTCTGACTGAGCCTCACCTTGCCCTTTTGCCCCGTAGCGAATTGCTCGGGTGTAATTCGCTTCGTATCTTGAATCATTAGTGGCGGTTTTTCTATTTATGCAATATTTGGACCACTTATATGCCAACGTTGCATTCGATTGGCGCGTATAGAGTACCGAGTGAGCAAATTGTGAGGTTGAGAGGAAAGTTGAAATGAAAATTTTCTACCTTTCCTTTTTGCTGGAAGCGTTTGAGATTAAAATCGATTAAAAAGATTACTTCGGATTAAAGATTTTCTCAAGATATTATACTTGTGACGATTTTTCCTGGTAAATAAGATAATCATCCTCAATTTTATACTTTTCAAAGAATACAAATTTTAACCATTTGTGCATCTCAAAGTACAAAAGCATCAAAATTTGCTGGCCTGCTGAACGTTATTGGCCTACTTTGAATTTGCTTTGTTCAAAACTGCATTCGGCTACTGTAGCAAATTGTGACATTGCATGGCTCATATCCTCCCTTTGTTTACTAATTTTTTAAAGGCATGGAAATCTGTAAAAAAATTCCGTGTGCTATATTTATTGATACGGCGGATGCGCAGAGTTGTAGCCGTATAAGGAAGAAATTTGCGAATTATGCCAAGCAATGTTTCTTAAATCATTAAAATATTTAAATGAAAAAATTATGCACTCAAAAATCCATCGAGTTAAAAATTGGAAAGAATCAGTTCAATTCCCATTTTTAAATAATATATGACGTTTAAACCATTGCATTTTAAACAAATATGCTATTTTTTTAATAATAATTTTTTTCCGAAGAAAAAACTAACACTCTTGAATTTAATATTTTAATTTTTACCCCCTGATGCGGGAGAATTCAATAAAATTTTACAAATTATTTCAAGGTGCGGTGCTGGCGTGTGTGGGGTATCTGCTTATCTAAGAAGTTATTATGATCATTTGTTAGCGTTAGCTCAGGTTTTAAGACCAAGTATTAAATTTCAAATTTTGACTTTTTATTGGTGTATGTTTGGATTAGTTATAAGCTTTTATATCTGTATCAGATCTATCTGGCTTTGTGAAAGCGAACCAAGGCGCCGTTGTAAATTTGTTAGTTTAATGAGAGATCACGTTCAGTTCCGACAAAGGGACCAAAAGATTTAATCTGCAAGGCAGTGCAAAAAGGTGTGGTGTGTCTTTTAAAATAAATTACCAAAATGAAACCAAACTGGTTATTAAAACATTAAAATTCTTCTTTCTAGAATGAGCTAGTAATTTTCATCATCTAAGTTTTTTCTATAATTTTAATTCGTGCCAATTAAATTTCATTGTGATGATCTTTGTTTGTGTTTAGAGGTCAACGCACTTGGTCGTTAAAAACGTCGCGCATTCCTCACGGAGACGGTGCAGTCGTTTCTGTCGGGGATCGCGAGGAAAGCAAAAGTGGTTCGAAAGCAAAAGTCGTCGTGATTCGGCCAATACAATATAATAATACCCTTCTGGCCGCGAAAGTTGACTTCCATATTCCACATCGTGTCCACTCTTGGGATCAGCCCGTCCAAAATAAAGTGAATTGAATTTGAAACAAAACGTCCGTTTGTTATCTTCCGCTGTCATTACAGGACCGCGCACTGCATTAATCTTTTTGATTAGAATAATTTTCGACAGGCGGTCGAGCTATTATTTCCGGGCCCTTTACTTTTGCAATTTATTATATTAAATTCGTTGCGAAATTTACTGCGGTTGGCCCGATTGCTTTAATCAAACCGCCCTACGCGGAAAAGACATGTCTGCATTTCATTGATAGTGCTGCTTTAACAGGTACAAGATTTATTTGGCGAGTTTTTCAACAGGTCCTGTCTGCACCCCGCGGCGTTTAAGATACAAACTATAAATGCACGTTTTGTTCCTTTTTTCGTGGCTTTCAGTCCTTAACTGATTTGTAAAATATTTATTTTTCTTCTCGTGAATGTAAAGCATATATGGACGAGGGCTGATGGATAACAAAAAAATTACAAACAAATAAGATTTAAATTTGATTATATTTGAAAAAAATGTATAAGCTTTAAAAATACACTAACTGTAAATTTTCCAAATTATTCCAATTAACTTAATAAAAAATTCCAGTCATTTTTAAACTTAATTTTGTCGACATTTCAATTTTTGAACTCTTGTCTGCCCCTGCCACATCCCTGATTTATTTTAGAAATTAAATGCAACTTTTCAATTTTTATTGCCGTTGATCGATTGGAGTAGTAAATAAATCCAAGTGCTTATATAGTCTGGCGCTTTTACTCATGCAGACAGAACGCCATAAAACTTGTGAATTGGCCTCTTTGTCTAATAAAATGTGCTCACTGTGTGTATAATAATGAAATGATTGAATTGCACTTATTGCTCCTTAGCTTAATTCCAGAGCAGAGCTGCATTCTCTTCTCTCAATATGCATCATTACATAAGATCTTGCTGCAAAAAAATAAATATTATACAGTGTGTGTGCCAGACAGGGCACGCATTAATATGTAAACCAGACTGCACAATTAATTTTATTACAGATGCAGACTCGTGCGCAATATATAATGTGGTGCATATGCATATCATTATCACTGCAAAGAATGTATCTAACCTACAATATAGCTGAACTATCACCTGCTAGATTTTATTAATAAGGAAGAAAATTATCCCTTCCTTACTGCTCACTTGCTCAGCTATCAAGAAAGAAGAAAGAATGACCTGAAAATATTATACAAAAAAAGTGGCAAAATAAAATAATTACATTAAAAATTTATGGCTCGCTGAATTTATAAATTTAATAACGATTCTGCTGGAAAAATTGCATTCAATATCAATTTGTGGAAAAATTGTACAATCTCTAAACTATTTTGACTTACTTGTTGAATGATGAAATTTTAACCTTTCTTTATTTAATCAGCAAGTATATCTAAGTAAGAAATTGATGACTAGTATGACTACCATTGCCAATATCATGTGGAGTAACAAAAAAATATATCAGATCTCTTAGGATCCAAGTGCAAATTGACATTTTCAATTCAAGGAGAGCAGCTTTTTATAACAAGCATTGATTTACGCTCCACTAACTGGCATTATCGCTATTAACAGCAATTAGCAAGGCAATTTAGAAATATTTATTAACACCAATAAATACCCATCAAATAATAAATTTGCAGATTTTATGGTCTCATCATTGCCCTCTCAAATATTTGACCTTCTTTTTAATTATTTTTCACCAAATTTAAATTAATGAATCACAGGTTTTAAAAACTGAAAATAAATTTAATGTTGGTTATGCAATTTTCTTTTATTACTTTAATATCATTTCACAAGCTTCAAATCTACTCAAATATACGAGGAGAGTAAGACAAAACAATAGAGAGTATTCAGTAATGATCTCACATCAGCGTGTTTTGCTTACAATTGAGGAATTCGTCGAGACTATACATAGTATCATTACGCGCTGGCATAATAATTCATATTCAATATCAATGAGTTGCTTACACAGTGTGTTGATAGAAGGCACATGCATCATGTTTAAATAATTAATCACCTCGTTACAAACTGACTTACTTTCTACCAAAGTAGGATTTTTAATCATCATAATTAATTAATTACAATCGAGTGAATGCTGACGAGGAGTTTCAAATCCAGTGCCTTACTTTTCTGACAGAGTCAAAAATATTAATTTGCAGAACATCAAAAATACTGTAGGTTATTTTGATCTGATTTGCAAAATTATTTACAGTGTTCTTTGTTTTACTGGAACATTTTTTTCCATTGCACCTGAAAGGGAAACTAGAAAATTTGAATAATTCCCTGCAATGGCTTCAGATTGAAAATGAACTTATTTTCATGGAACCAAAACACCAGTCCAAAGAACAGAAAGTCTAGATGACTAGGATTGCCAAATTCAATTTTTGTTTTGTCGGTTTGTTTTATATTGCTGCGATTTGGTGTTTAAAAATTAAAAAAAGCAGTATGATCTTGAAGAAATTTGGCAGTCAATCTTGATGAAATGATAGATATTTTTATTTCAATGTGAGTTAAATTTTTATACTAAATTTCCTCATTTCATCAAAATCAAAGCATTTGTTTAAACCACTTTCATAGTTGAAAGAGTTGCATTATTTGTATAAAATGTTGGCATGTATAAAAGGGATGAGGTATAAAATGTCATTTTTTTCCTTAATAAAAAATGTTAAACTACAACTTTGGTTTCATGCACACAAACTAGAACAAATATGACAAAAGATGTGATTAAAAATGACTCTTAATTTTATAATGTACAAATAGTAGTAATCAGTAGTAATATTAAAAATGTTTTTAAGTAGCTGTTGCGATCAACGTTAAATGCAAGACGTCAAAATCAGTTTGTGTTATCAGATATACAGTAAAATAAAATTAAAGTCAATTAAAAAAAGGATGAGATTACTTGGCACAAAAATACACAAAAAAGAACACATTCCGAAAAGTAATAAAAAGCGAGAAATTGCAAAAGTATGAAATGCAGCATTGGTTAATTAACTGATATGACATGGGTATTGTCATTTTAATTGTGAGCGCTTGAAACTGAACCAGAGGACTTCGTCTAGTGGTAAACCTTTTTTGCTTTAGTCAAATGTCAACTTGTGCCGCTTAAAAACGTCACTCTCTCGTTTGACTGTCAGGAAAATGTATAAAAAAGTTATTTAGCTACCATCGAGAGCGTGTCGCATTTCCACACTACATAATTAAACACTTGCGCTGCCTCCGCTTCTGAGGTTCTGGTCTTAAAACGGCCCTGACGGCCTCGTCAAACACCTGCATGCAAAATTTCAGTCAGTTTCAATCTTATCAATTATTTATTTTTATTTTACCTGTTTCAGTCCACGCTGTGTGAGGGCAGAGCACTCCATGTAACGAACAGCCCTGACTTTGTTGGCCAACTTCTGGCCCTGCTCTCTGCGAATCGGACTCATTCCTTGCTCGGACAAAATTGCCAGAGACTCCTTGTCTTCCCTCAAGTCAATCTTTGTGCCTGAAAAGTGTTGAAGACAAAAATAAGAAGAATAAAATGAAAATTTAAAAATGAAGCAGAGATATTTTTGGATGGTGTAAAAATATGTCAGAATAATAATTTTAAAAAAAAAATGCATCTACTTTAAATTCTTTAGATGAGGAGCACATCTTTCAAAATTTGAAGTCTAGACATTTCAGCTTAGACAAAAATATGTAATTTAGCCAAAAAATTTATTGCTATTATTTTATTAAAAAACTTGACGATTGCGGCCGTACCGACTAGAATTATTGGTGCGTCTGGACAGTGGTGTTTGATTTCCGGCACCCACTTGGCCGTGACGTTATCACAAGAGCTGGGGGACACCACGGAGAAGCAGATGAGAAATACGTCAGTCTGTGGGTAACTCAAGGGCCGCAGTCGGTCGTAGTCCTCCTGTCCGGCCGTGTCCCAAAGGCCAAGGGAAACAGGGATGCTGTCCACGATCATGGGTGCTGAGTAGTTGTCAAATCTGTTTGGATTTCAGAATTAATTATATGTTAACAATTACTTTACAATCACATTTAAATAATATCTTATTCAAGAGGTAGAAATCAAAATTAAAAAAAAGGAATTGTTTGTTGTGACAGTTAATTTGTCGTATGCTAATGAGCTGCCGCCATCAAAAAGTTTTAATGAAAGTTATCGAAAGACGTTTTATTGTCAGGCGTCATCAGCCGTGCTTTTCTCTGCGGAAGATGAGACGAGCTTAGAAGAGAAAGGGTTATTCGATCTAACCCTGTAAATGTGATTAAAAAGAATTACATTCTCAAAATCAAAAATTCTTTAAAAAAACCAATTGGGAAATTTTGTTGAGCATAATATCTCAGTGAACCGAGACATGATCGAGGAAGATAAATGATGAATTTTTATTATTTAGGAAAATTGGGCAAAATTTATGTTCTGAGGCACTTACACCGTCGGCACGTATTCGCCCGGGAAGCTGTCGGTCGTGTAGGAAATCAACATGCACGTCTTGCCGACCGTGCCGTCGCCGACGACCACGCACTTTATCGGCCGCCCTGAAGACATCGTCCGTCGCTCAGCTCGCACACTCCGGCCAGAAGTTGAGCCGAATCCGCCGCCGTCTCACAAAAGGTCTTCCGCAGGGTTTTGGCTGCCTCGACGTTGGACTATTAAAGAGGCATTGGCCTTATCGGAAGGCGACAGACACTTCGGCAAAAGTAGTTTCTCCCGTCAACCAGAGCTTGCTTGGTTTGGCTTTCCTGCAATTTCACTATTGGCCGCTGTTTCGCGTAGCTGCCGCTTGGCACCTCTACCATCGATACTAAAAACCCGAGTGGGTAGTAACCCAGGAATCATATCGGATTTTGAATGTTAAGGGCAAGGCTAAGAGTTTTTGAGAAAATGTTGATTTCGTTCAATAACACGCTTTAAGTAAATAAATTTTTTGTTGTTACGATTTCACCCAAAATGTGAATCTTCCTTTTTTTCATAACTGCCATTTTTTCCGTTAAATTTATATTTGGTTTTTTACTTCCTTTTTTCCATTGCTGCTGTATTTTTTTTTTATTTAATTTTTGATTGTTATAAATCATAATGCATTCGAACTGAATAAGAAAACATCTAGCGGGTAATAAAATTTTATAGTTAAATTAATGAAACGCGGAGTGATCTTACATGAGAAATTTTTATCAATTATCATCTTTTCAATTGTAGCCATAGGATTTGATGAGCTGATCGTAAGGCTTGGTCATCTTTGCCACCAAACCCCTAGACTGCTTGGTCACCTTCCTGAGGGACTTGATCCTACGCATCCTCAGCACTTGCTTGACTTTCCTCTTAGTCTCAAGGGTGCGCACCACCTGCTGGTACTTCCAGCCGACCTCGTGGGACAGGCGGCCGAGCTGGCAGAACTTGCGGCCAGGCTTGAGGCACAACAGCCTCATCGAGCCAGGCACGACAACCTTCTTTCTCCTGTCGTAGGGTGGTGGGCAGCCGTCATAGGTCTTCAGCCTGCGCAAAGCCTCCTTTCCACGTTCGGTTTTGTGGGGCAACATTCCTTTAAACAAAACAAAAAAATATTTTTATAAATTTGATAAAAAAACTTCGTAAAACAGGAAAATCCTAAATATTTATTACTTCAGATTCAAAAAGGTTTCTTTTCATTATTTATCAAATAATGTAGGTAAGAAAGGTCACATCATGTTAAAATTTACAATTATTAATTGTAGGTTTTCACTATTTACCTCTAACAGTTCTCCAGAAAATTTTGTTGGGTGCTCTGAAGTGGAATGGGCCTCTGGCAGGGTTGACATTACACCTCTTACGAAGGAACGCCAAGTATTTCAGCTTAGCTCTGTAAAGAAAAATAAAAAATTTAGCCAAATTGAACGAGTTACATTTCATCACAATTAACAAACAAGACTTTGTGACAAGAACATTTTTGGTTTCAAGGCGAAATGAAAATTAATTATTTAAGTCTTTTACATTGCGATTCAAACGCATTGCACAAATTTAAAGCATTTTGATACATCAAAACGAACTAATCATTTTAAGTGTTTTGAATAATAAGTTGTTTTGTTTTCATCAATGTTTACACTACATACTCTGGTTTCAATCCAGAATTAAAAGTAAATTTTAATTTCTTTCAAACTAGGCACTTGCGAGATTAAGTTGAATAAAAATGAAAATTATCAAACCTGAAAAAGTTTCCAGAGATGTTAAGTTGTTCCGCATGGACAACGACAACTTTGTTTCCCTGGAGAACAGTTTTGGCCACAACGGCAGCTAAACGACCCAAGAGATGGCCTTTGCCATCGATCACGATGGCCTGAAATGAGAAAATGTTGGTAAGTAACAAGATTGGAGCAAAAATACAACAAATTTGGCATGCAGGGGCCCAAGATGTTAAGACAGTTTCGAACCGCGCGCCTCTCCCGAGAAGCTTGTTTTGAACACTTGCAAATTTCATTTTGAGCTGCCAGAATTTGGAAGAAAACGGGAAAGTTCAAGTTCAGTTGTAAGAGGTCTATAAACAATGATAACCACCAAAAAAGGACTTTTGAATAAAGGACGGACCGAAGTAGCCCATGCCGCTATGGTGGACACGTGGATTGAAAACACCGTGACAGCTCGGCTCGATTTTGGCGTGAAAAAGTCATCGTCGATTAGAAGTTTGGATTCGGCAAACAGCCTGGATTAATTTTGACTTCAAATTGTTGCGGTTTCCCCGTGTTTGAGTCCAAATTGTGGAAAATAACACGAAAAATACAAACCTTGTCGCTGAACCCGGGCATGGTGGATGCCGGAAGAACTCCAATATGGCGGAGCGCAACTTCCTGCGGCGCGACCGCGAAGCTCAAAGCAAAAAGGGGGCGTGGCAACAACAACACACCTCTTTCGTCTTTTCTCCAGTTTCTCCTCGTTTTTCTTACTTTTTATCAAAAGATTTCAATTAAATATTTATAATAGTTGCTTTGAGAATTCTGAAGAGTTAAGGAGTTTTTAATGAAATGTCTAGATTAATCATACCAAAACTCCTTTTAAGGTCAGTCATGGTTTTGAAGCAAATTAAATTTGAAGTCTTTTTTTCCCTTCATATGATGTAAATTATTCGTTTGCAATATTAAATACTTAATTTTCAATTAATCAACTTCTTAGTTTTGTTTTATTAGAAAAGGATAGTTAAAATGAAATTTATTTAATTAATTTCTCATTTAATAATTTTACAGCGCCCCCAGATGTATTTTACCTGTTTTGTCAAGAAGATTTCTCAACTCCAACTCTGGCAGTATCACAAAAGTTCATCGAGAAACGTTCACCAGAACTTACCCAACAGTTCTAGTCCTGCCTGATGGTTCAAGCATTCGTATTAGATATGACGAGCCCAGACAAATTATCACAGTAAATTATATCATAATTTTTACAGCTTATAAAAAAGTAAAAATGAAATTTTTAACTTGCAGCTTCCTGTGGATTTGACTTTGCTGACTGAGAGTGAGAGGAAGGCTCGTTTGGAAAGAAGAAAGCCGAAAGAGAAGATCAAAATTGAAGATGATTATGATGATGATTTTGATCCAACAAAATACTTGAATAAAAAGTAATTTTAGTGAAGTACGTATGTTGTCATACGTTAGTAAATATTGCTTTTTGCTTTATACTAAGTGATCTGTAAAACGATGAAAAAAATGCATTTCATTCATCAAATTATTTGAATTTGTAAGGGATTAGTCGATTAGTTTTTACTTTATAATTCGAATAAAGACCAACTCAAAGACCATTCATGTCTAACAATAATTGAACAGAGACATCTAGGTGTCGAGAGAATAGACTATGACCATATGATTGGAGCTTCAAAACAAAACAAACATGGCAGGACGAATACCTTCCAAAACTTTGTCTTTAAAACAGGTAAACTTTTGAAAAGTTGCTCTTCGCTTAATTAATTTCTCCGTTTTTAGTTTATGACAAGGCAGCAAGTGTTGAAACTGTATAGAGACATTTTAAAGGCAATTCAAAGAATACCTGATGACAGGAACAGGAATGAATTAAAAGACTGGGCAAGGAGTGACTTCAAGCAACACAAAAACCAGACTGACGAGGTAAGCGCGTGTCAATGAATCTATTTGAATAAGATTAATAAATAAACACATTTATGTTTCAGCATAAAATAAAGGCTCTGATTTTTCACGGAGAGAGATCTTTGAAGGAGTTGAACCAATCTTTGGATTTGAGCAACAACTGAATAACACCAAACTCGTGAATTAATCAGCTCAATCTGAGGTTGTTATGTATTTATCATATTTATGATAATTAAATGTAGATCAAGCACATATACATTTTTGAAGAATTATAAAATGAGCCTGAAACTAACATGTTCAGAGACCGACTGAACACAGAATTAGGGCTCCTGAGTCTTGGCAGCTTCAGGAAATCAGTCTCAGACCGTTTTGCCGCTGACTTCAAACTGTCCCGGGAAACCCAGTTCCCTAGAAATCACAACGGCGCCGTGTTTTGCCTCGACATTGATAATACTTATGGCCAGTATGTCCTGGCTGCTTCTGCTTCATCAACCATTAGGATACATAACATCACTCGACCTGGCCTTGACAACTTCGATGATGCGCCCTCAAACTCGGAAAAGCTGCATTTCAGTCACGAGGGTGTGTCCTGCGTACAATGGTACCCAAACAGCATCAAAGTGATGAGCTCTTCTGGCAGGGATGGTTGTCTGAGATTGTGGGACATCTGCAAGAAGGTGTCCGTTGTCACTGTCAAGCCCTGCTCATCTAGACAACCTAAAATCGGGCAGCACCATCAGTCGGCCCCCTCAAAAGTACCTCTCATCGCTGTGGCGTCCACGGACTCGAGCATTCCGATTCTGGACATGCGTTATGGCAACACTCCCATGAGACTGAACAACACGCGAGGACCTGTGAGTTGCGTCCAGTGGTCGCCGATCGACGAAAAGGCCATCGCCTCGGCCTCAGATGGCATCGTCCTGCTCTGGGACGTCCGAGTGCCTAGCAAGCCTCAGTTGCAGATGGACATGTCCAATTCAGTGAACCCTGCAACCAGCTGTGTCTCCCACTTAGGTTTCATCAATGGCCTTGAATTTACCAGGGATGGACTGACCCTGATCTCATATGGCGTTGACTGCGCCGTTCGAATGTGGGACACCCTGAAGGGACGGCTGCTGGACGTCAACTGCGGCTATGTGGAGAACAGGGCCAGGAATGCCCTGCGAATGGCCGTGAACCGTGGCAGCAGGATTTTCATCCCCGCTAGACACAAAATATCAGTTTTCGACCTTGACTCTGGAGAGAAAGTGGCCTCCCTCAGAGGGCACATGGCCGATGTGTATTGCGTGAGGTACAACCCTGTCTTCGAGATGGTGCACTCCGGCGGAAGAGACAGAAATGTGCTCAACTGGAGTTTGAATCGATTCAAAAAACGCTGCTCAAATGCAAAGGAGGACAGTGATGAAGAATCTTAATTGAAAGTTTAAGGAATCTTGCATATAACGGGACATAAACGCTTAATAAATTGACTTTTTTTAATCTTGTTATTTTCTTCCATTGAAATAATAAATTTATTGAGGGAATTATTGGCATTAAAACAAACACAGATAATATCTACACTTTATTGAAGGCAAGGACTTATTTTCAGTGCAAATTCATTGTAGTACCATTTCAGTTCGTAGAGGACATCCGAGAGTGCTTATATAATTAATAATGAAAATAAAATGAAGCTCGCAAAAAATAATTCTAAATAAGTTTCAAGTAAATTACAGGTGAACTTAAACAAGGAAATATACAAAAAAAAAGCAGATCATCAAATAACTAATTGCAAAAATTATCACTTTGATGCTACAAACTAGAAATTGTAACCTTTCTTTAGCTAAAATAACAATAAAATGATAGCTCCCATTTAGCTGCATCCTTAAAATCTATCTTAAAAGCCTTAGACACAATATTTTAAATTATTTAAAGACCAGATTGAGATGAAACCATGGGATGAATCAATGTCAATCCATCAAAAGCAAAATAATGTTAAAGAAATTATGGAAGATAATATAATTATAAAATTTAACACATTGAAGATCGTCGAATGCAGAATTTCATAGCCACCTAAATTTTTTTATTCAGAATGCAAGTGCATCTTATAGCGTAATTTAAAAATCACATCATGAAGAGTGAAGAACAATCTCTCCAAAATTATTAAAAAAAGGATACATTATAAACTAAAACAAGAGCAACCCTTTCATCTTTTGCTCTTTCCCTTGAGTGTGAATCTTTTCCAAAAACTGGTCTGCTTCTTTTCCGGTAGCTCCTCTGCAGGATATATCTGAACCTCCTGCTGCTGCTGATGATGCCGATCGTACTTGTCGTAGCGGTGCTCCCTGGTCGGACTTCCATGTCCAGAGTCACGATCTTCGTCTCTCAAAATGTCCAGGAAGTTTGAGTCCGACTGCTGCGCACGCCCGTTAAAGTTGAGGTTGTTGATGTTAATCTCCCTGAGCTGATTCGGGTCGTGCCGCTCAGGATCCACACGAAACTCGCTCGGGTCTTCGACGAACGCCTGACGCAAGTCTCGCATGATCTTCTTGCGGATGGTTTTCTTCATCGAAAGGTGACGCTCCAAGTGCTTGACGTCCTTTTGCGACAGCGTCCGGTAGTTTTGTTCGGGCTCACGGCTGCGGCTCCGTCGTCCTGTTGATCCGTCGCGGTTCGTCTGCCTTTTGCTCTTGTGTTGCTGCTGGAACACCTGAAGATTAAAACATATATACCGCTTAAATTAAAATATCCACAAAAGCAAGGGTGATTTTAATAAGAAAAATTCCCATAAATGTAAATTTTTTTACACTTTTAAACAAATTATATAAATGATCTAACAGAAGAAATGAAAGAATGAAAGAAATAATTATTAAATTAAAAAAAATCAGATTTTGCTTTTAATTTATGTAAATCAAGGAAATAAGGAAAAAGAACCTCTTCTTCTCCACTGGATCCAATGGAGACGGCGCTGTCAGGATCGGTGGAGGTGCCGCCTGTGTCTGTAACTTGCATCGCGTTGAAGTGACTGATCAATTGGTATTCCTTCATGTCCTTGTTAGGTCTCCTGCGGGACCTGGGGCTGTACTGGACGCCATCAAAAGGCACTCCGAAGATGTCCCGGAGGTGTGGAATATTTCGCTCAGACATTTTCTGCAACAACCAAAACACAATTTATAGTGAAGATTCAAATTAATTATGAATATATCAAAAAATAAATTATGTAGTAATTAGACTAGCCATGAACTTTTGTGGCAAAAGTGCGAAAAAGGTCGAGCAATTAAACTAAGTAGCCTTATCTCCTTTGCGTGCGCCTTTGAATTATATGCACAATATAGTAAGATAATGTCATTTTTTATTTTTGGCACATGAGCACCATAGGAAGTGAATGGGAGTTTCCAGGCGCAAAATTTTTCATAAATACAAGAATAAAGCAGAGAAGACCCTGGGCCTTGAGATTTAGATCAGCGACGAAATGGAAATTTCGCCCCGAGAAGAACAAAAGCTCTGCCGGACCAAAACAAGGTCACTTGAGCTGCGGTAATTGCTGCACCGAGCGAGCGCACGGCGTTTTCAAGAGATTTAAAGCCGGAAACTGGCCGGACAAAAAGTGAAGCACCTCCAGCCATACGTGAGCGGCTCGCGTGTTTCATAGTAATGATATGGATGCTGAGAGATGGAAATGAGGATCAGCTATAAGGAGAATCTGGACCGAATTTCACAGAATTCATCCTCAAATCATCTTGAATGGTTGTATTGAGTTAATTTGTTTATAACATTGAAAAAAGCGGTTATAATAATAAGTAAATTTATATTAAAAGTATTTTCATTCAATTTATTTAAGTAATTTTTAGAACTTGCGATTAATCCGAAAAATGATTGACAGTTTTTAAGATCATTTAAAAAATCCGTTCTGATTTTGTAAAAAATGAAATCGGCTCTGAGCTTTAAAAAATAATGTAAAAATTTTCTATTAAACTAGAGCAAAATAAATAATACTCATGCGGGTCTTGGATATTATACTGGATTTGCTAAATAAAATGCAAAAATCGCCATAAATTACTTTATTATTGAAAGTGTCAATTTGAAGGGAAATCAGTCAAAGTAGAACTCTGACTATTAAATTAAGAAGTAGCATAAATTATTCCCTAAACGCCACATCAGTCGAGATAATTGCGCAATGAAGAGGTAAAAATAGCACCGATCAAAGTAAGAGCGGTCGAAAGTTTAAAATCTGCGCGCAGCTTCCTTCGATGTGGGGCACCTGCGATGGTTAATGACATACACCAGCGTGCATCTCAAATCGCTTCTCGGCCTAACTTTGAGCATCTTCATCCTTTTCGCGTTTTCGTGGCCTGAATTAGACAAAAATAATACACGTTTGTAGGATCCGCGGAAAAGTTCAAAAATAATAATAATAATCCACAGCAACAACTCCAGCAGCGCTTGGTGAGAAAAAAAGCAGTGTCACGTTGACGTTGATCATCAAAAAATTTCAGTAAGTATTACAAAAAATCTGTGAGAAATGCAGTCTGCTGCAGACTACACAATAATAAATTAAAAATAAAGCAGAACAATCTTCAAAATTAGAGCAATAAAAACTTTTTCCTCCAAAGAAAACAACAAATTTCATGTATTTATTGATACTTTCTCTGAAGAAGATATAAGGCATTAATTTGGTTAAATTGTTCAAGTAAAAATTCTAAAAATTAATGTTTGGAGTTTGGATAAAAAATACATTTTTTTTATTAGGAACAGGTATTTGTTCTCAATAACTTATTTGATATTTTCTAATTTAATTTTCTATTAAGTAGCTCTACATGCATAATCACCATAATGAAGTGCAAAAAAAGGGAGGAATCCTAAAAAAGAATTGCCATACCCCTGAAGTTTGAAAAGTACAATAGAGCCATCAATACAAAATCCTATCAATTAGGGTCGATCGCCTTTAAAATATAATAGCCTAGCTAAGTCCGACCTAACTTTTTTTTGAAAAAAAATATAATCCATGATATTTAATCCTGCCACATTAGGATACAAAATTAAAATCTTCCGATTCCTGAATTTTGAAATTTTATGTCTTGTAGTCTTTGATGTTAAAACCTGCCAAAAAAGGGAGGATATAAAAGGCTTATGTGTGTAGTTAACGAAAATGACCGCGCCTAAACTGGCAACGCTACACGCACCTCACTTGATGGCTCTGCACGCATGAAAGAGTGCAATAACAAAGAGCACGTCACTCTAGTTTTACATGTGGCTCTGCGCGGCCAATGCAATGTGGGTTTGCTGATAAGAGTGCGTGCTGCAGCTCGGGTGATTGTTATGCGATGGAAATGAGGCGACTCGGATGTGTTAGAAGTGCATGGATCGCGTCCCGAGTTGCAAAATCTGCTGCACGCTCGGCCTAAATTTAAATTTTTTACACATGTATATATCAAAGCAAGAGGATAAAAATTGCACATGGTTGAATCGCGATTGGTAGCTCTCACTATAAAAATATTGGATTTTTTTTAATAAAAAAAAATATCAACCCCTTATTAATTAACATTTTCAATCAAAATAAATGTTACTTTCAATTTTAGCTTCAATATTTTCTTCCATTGTTCAGCAGTGAAGATGCCAGATTGTTAAATCAGGCCGAATATAGCAAATTAATTTCTTGTCGACAATTTCGGTCTTTCTCTCTTATCAGCAGCTGAAGTCATGCGTGAAAAATGCTCCTTGTTCTATCTATCGTAAAGTCCGAATGTAATTTATCAGGATGACTACAGGAAAAGTAATAAATTTAAAAATGTGGAGCGAGACCCGCCCTTTCGTGACTGCCCGTTACAAATTAATTAATTCTACTGCTCATTCACGCAAACAATGCTCGTGACATGAAGCAGTCATTGTCTCTAAAAAAACAGTAATATGTCACACGCCGGACCTTTGTCAAATAATTAAATTATTTCCCCCATTTCCTGCAAAACTAAAAGATATTATAAAAATTTTTAAAAAATTAACTACAAAAAAATAAATCAAAAATAAAATGAATATAAATTTAGCTTTTAACTTCCTAGAACTCCCTGGTCCTAGGAAGAACCTTATTTAAATACTCATTAATATTATTTCCTTTGTTAAAGCCACCGCCATATCATTGCTATAATCGAGGAAGCATCAAAGACTTTTGCTTGTGCTTTTAAATTCGTGTTTGGATGCATCCGTGGCGGAAGAGGCTCTTGATGTGTTTTGTGTGCTAATTGGTAATGATATTAATGATATGTGCTAGAGCAGTACCACTTTAATACCCGCTTTATTTTATACAGGACATTCGAGTTTCACACTGGCCGTAAACAATTGTGCCAAAACAGAATAAATCTTTTTATTTGCTTTGGCCTCAAATTTTTTTAACCATAATACTTGAATTTTTTTAACACTCATATAAAGGGAAATACAGAAAATTTTGAATATGTTTCTACCATGGCAAAACGATCAGGTATCAACAAGAGCGACATTTTTTTCAATATCTGTGGCCTTAATATTCCAAGATTCCAGAACCCGCCAGAATCCAAAAGAGAAGGGAAATCTAAATTTTTATTCATAAATAACAAAACAGACACCAAAGAATATATTTTTAAAAATGAAATTAAACTTTGAATTCTGGGTTTATTGCTGCGGCCGAGTCTCTTTTGATATTGGGCGTTTTAGCAGACATCTGCAAGAAGTTAATTTTTTCAAATTTTTGTATCGATTGAGAAGAATGAAAAATTATAATATAGTAACAATATTAATAAAATTAAAAATTATGAATAATATATCTATATTTTTCCATGTAAAATATAAATTCAAAAGATTTCAACTATAGGTTTTCTTATTTTTTATAAACTTTTATTAAAACCATATGTTATTGTTGAGATTAGAATTAAAATTTTGAAAAAAATATAATATTTTTTGTACGAAAATAAAAGTTCCCTATTCCTCTGCCGGCACCAAAACGCGGAAATCTTTGCCCTAGTGTGAGCATTCATTGTCTTAATGGATGCGTGCGGCTCTCTATGGTCGGTGATATCGCCGCAGCATAGAGGAAGTAGAACTCGCGTATCTTTTCTACCAGCCATGCAGGGGATAAGGCACATTATTAAGTAAAAGTCACTCGGAAATTCATTTGGAATCGTCCCACGCGACTCCATTCGAACCACAGCTTAATTCGCTCTGCACTTCAATAAGTCAGCGGGAAAAAACGAGCCGGTTAAAAGTTTTTATTATGTGATCGAGAGCTGCGGAGAAGTGAAATGCGTTCGCGTGGTGAGGATGAAACTCGGCGATAAGCACCACCATTTACGCAACTCGAGCCAAATTTTCTTTGCTATCTAAATGGGCTACGAAAAACACACAATTACGTCGGCGGCACTATCGTGTTATAAAATAAGACAAAAAGGAAAGGCAAACTCTTAATCAAATTACAACTGCCGTCTTCAGATACAGAATATTTCTTCACTGGTCAGTCATAAAAAGTAAAGAAAAAGTGATCCATTAATTGTTTACATTTATGAAAATTTGACTGACATAATGATTTGAAATCTTTTCATTTATTTTAATTCCTATAATCACAGATGTGTGTGTGTTTTTTATTAAATTTATTGCATTTAATTAATCGCATGTATTTATATGGTCTCTAATAATAAGAGAAGGGATATGAGCCTTGTAAGGAACTACGCTGGGCAACGCATGCAAATCTTTCTAGAGCATGAAGATGAATTTCCTACGGTTGCTGCGTCCAACTTTCAAAGACACAAATCCATACTGATTGACAAGAAGCTTCCTCAAAAGTAAAATAAAGTTTAAAGTTTATTTGTTGCAAAAGGCGAGAAGATCACCCGAGGGTGAGAAAATCCTTCACCATTTTCCCATTTCTCTCAAGGCTTTAGGCATTTTGTTCATCTCGCATTATGTTTTTGGTTTTATTATTATAACGTGTCAACACGGAAAGCAATGGCTGATTGCTATGGAATTTTCATTTCATGGGACTGGAGAACGAGACTGAGATCATTTGCCGACGACGGCCTTTCTCTCTCGACGAGAGACACCCACACCGAATCGAGCAGTAACGCGAAAGAGTCAAGGTTTGCTCCTCGGTGCTCGGCAACAACGAAATATGTACGCGCCGTTTGCAGTCGAGAGACAAAATTGAATAATAAGTAATTTGTTAAATAATAATGTTTCCTGTTTTTGTCGCTGCACATTATATTTATAGATTTTTTTTTGTTATTTATTTTCAATCAAATTTTTACCATTAGGTTTGCTACAACGCTGAATTCAGTTTTCAAATTGCAGCAACGTAGTATCATGCAAAACTAATAAAATCCAATTAGAACGCAAAAATAATTTTCCTTTTTCATTGCAATTGCAAACAATTGTTACTTATCTGACACGTAAACCACCGCCACCAGCGAATTAAAAAGTGCTCACATGCATGCACAGCTCATCCTCTCTCAATAATTTGCATGCTGTGAGAACTGCACAATAAAAAGTCGGCTGCGCGACTTTTGATCATTAGTCTTGGAGTCGGCGTGCCGCTCGCGATCTGAAAACGCGTCATCGGCAGCCGCATCACGAATCAAAGCCTCCCGCGGCTCTCGTAAAGCACAATCGAGAGCAAAATCACGCCGAACAAAGCAGCGCATCTCATCTCTAATTCATTTTTCCCTCGAATATATACACTGGCGAAACAACACTTTCTCCTTCTAATTGCGTTATTAAATGTCAAGTGCGCGCTCGGATCGAAATTAATATCAATAACGACAGTGTACAACAATATTGTCTTCTCACGACCTTGTTTAGGCGGATTGGCTGCTGATCGCTTGTACTACAAATAATACTTTTCTCCTTGGGCAAGTGCAAACTTGTGTGTGAACTTTGTGCAAAATGAGCTGTGAATCTTCCTGAAAGAGGTTGAGGGTGTTTCGATAGCAAAAAAGTTATTCACGTTGATATGCGTTGATAGTTACAAGTATAAAACAAAATAAATTGTTAAAATGTTTATTTTTTAGAAATTAATAATATAGTTAAAATATTTTTAATAAAAAGAGTATAGGAAATGGAGTCTTCTAAAAGGATTTCTGTTCAAATTTCTTGAATACTGCTGAATACTAGTTGAAAAAGATCAGATTTACTAAAAATTTCTGATTGCCAGATGCGATATTACCATCTCATAAAAATATGAAATTTTATTGCTGATATTTCGAGAAAAATCACGGCTCTAGTTTCACTCACAAATTTCAACCGTTATGTGCCAAAAAATGAGAAATTAGCAAAAAATTGCACAGGTGTATTTTTTTTAGCCTCTTTGATGGTTTTTTGGGATGTGTATCCAAACTTATTTCTTGTTCACATGTCCCTTTGATGGTCAGTGATATGGAACGGAGGTGGCCTAAATAATTTCCACATTCACCTCGGACGCGGCTCAACGTTTTGAGAATTTTTGTGCATCATTCGCGCGCCACTCAAAGCGTCTCGTCATCGCACCTGAGCGATAAAGAGCCGCCGCGAAGTAAGAAGAGTGTGTAAACTGATACAGTAAGGTTATTCCCAATGTACCGTAATCCGAGTGTAAATTGATATATGGAACAAGTTTGCAGAGAGGCTGTGAGTGCATCATCTATCCCATCGCTATACCGCAAGTCGTATTAAAGTTTTTCTGTCCGAAATAATCCCTCGACTTAAAACTTAATTAGTTTTTTGGTTGCCTTCAAAAGGTTTAAAAAAATATATAATTAAAAAAATGGCATTGAAAATAGTGGAACAAAGATATAACAATTTTCAATAAAAAATGAATAAAAAAAAAATGATTTGGAATACAAAATTAAAAAAAAAAAAAAATGATGAGAGCAAATTGAGGATTCTAGTTTTTGTTTCAAATTATTTAACTTGTAGTAAGTTTTGCAACCAATTAATTCTCAAATTTTTAATTAAAAAGAGAAAAAAAAAATGAAATTTTTTTGCTCATCTTCACTGACAATGAGGAAGCTGGATTTTATTTCATTAAATAAATAAATGGTATGTTTATTTTTTGCAAGTAAACTTAATATGCGAATATTGCATGTGCTTTTCCCTGTGGAAGTTTCTGCGATAAGCAAATTTCATAACAGCAGCGCGTACCCACCAAGCATAAAGGAAACCTATGCACACGCGCCTTCTTTTATTACCAAACGAAAAATTACAAAAACCTTCAGCAAGAAGCGCCTCGGAGGAAAAGCCTCATTTAATATCAAGCCACGCACCGGATGTGACCAATTATGCCGTCTTTCGTGTGCATTTTGATGCGATTCAAAGCGCACTGCCAATTTTCAGGCTATAATTTCGACTTTACTTTTCTTGCGGCCGAGCATTGACACCCACACGGTTGCCGACCGATCTAGTTTAAGCACCAAGTGCAATCAAGTTGAACCGTTCGTACAACCTTCAGAGGGCCAAATGTGGTTTTGCAGGTTAAATAAAATTTTAAGTGGCATGAAGGTGTAGCACGGACGGTTATAAAAAGAACATAAAAAATTTGTGACTAGGTTAGAATATTGAATTATTTTCAAAGTCTGTTAATAATAATGATTCAGCCTAACTATTTTATTTAAAGATTAAAAGTTTTAATGGTATAAAAATTAAAAAATTTTCTGTTAAAAAATAAAAATTGCATAATTATGAACATCCATCATAAATTTTACCCACCGTTCAATGCGCATAAAAATATTCTAAAAAATTAAAATAAATTGTTATTTATATATGAATTGATTTAACCCAGAAAAATTTCACTTAAAATTTTCACTGAAAATATGTCAAAATTAAAAACCCGTATTTATCAAAGTACCATACAAAATAGATGGGATTGCTATAGGCCTCAAAATTCTATGGTTTTTTCCTCATTGACTGATAGCAGTTAGAGAATTTCTTTTGTAGTTTTGTTTAAATTTATCACATGCGTTACTGCTTTTCTAAATTATAAAAAAGGACAGGTTGCAAAGTCAATTCGTTCTGTTATTTTTTATCCAAATTCTTTTCAAAACGTATCTAATTGGAAGGAAAGCTCTCCCAATGGGTGAAATTTTCCATAATATGGAATACACAAAAAACTCCATTAATTTCACCGAGCATCAGCAAGATTGAAGTACAATTAAAGGTACGTGTTCAAAGTCGCAAGTGCGCAGTGTAATTACGAGCGGTAACACATGCGAAGGCGACTTTCTACCCGTGAAGTGCGATTAGCGCGGCGCTGCTTTGCTTGTCTTGCCTACGAAGGTGAGTGGACCACTTTTACTTAGCACTGACTGAGCACCAAGGCACGGATGACGTTAGCAAAAGGTGCACGCCAGACAGAAGGAAAACAATAATTGTACATTAGGAGGCTTCTTTTTTAATTTAAATATTGGCTTTCAAATGCTGAAATTTCCCCAACTGCGAGAGCAGATTTATATATAAATTGCGCCGTCTGTTTCCAAGTAATGTACGTTTGTAAACTGGAGAAACTTAATTGTTGAAGTATTTTTAATTACTATTGCCGAACTGTATTTTTAATTTTTTCTAGTCTTTGCATAATGACCTTTGAAGGCAGTAAACTTTTGAATAGGTCGCGTACCCTTGTTGCGGTTATTGTAAAATTATGGCTACAAAAATACAATAGCCCAATTCCGGCTCATCCGTTTGCAAGTCCACGAGTTTGTGGTCTTACCTGTTAATTGCTCGAGTGATGTTCGTCGCAATAAAACGAAATTGCCCTCGTCTAGTTCATAATAGCGGCACCGCAATCCGAGATGGTCTCTTCTCACGTTCAGATTATAGACGGGCCTGTAAAAAACGGACACACAAAATCAATTTGCTTCGCAGCACGCTTTCGTGCATATCTTTTTAAAATGCGAAAGAGAAGACGCACATCCTAATTCTCTCTTTCTTAATGTTGAATAAAAGAAAAACGCGAGAGAGTGATAAGTAGTTTGATCAAATGGAAAATTTGATTGGACGCAGCGTGAGCAAATATTGTTGTAAAATTTATTATTAGATGAGCTTTTGCTTTTTATTTGATTTGACTGCGATTTCGCTTTCACGATGATTTCGTGTTTGTGGTTTTAATCGTTTAAATCAACTCATTCTGAAGAGACTTAACTGGGTCGCTTCAATTGTGGAATGAAACTCATGGTACACGCACGTATCTGATAATTAATCTTTTAAATATTTTGTTCGAAACGCTTGTATGAAAAAAGAAATGCGAAAGGAGCACGCCAATCATCTAGAAATCAACAACATGCGACAATTATTATTATAAAGTTATATGCTGTTTAAAAGAATTTAATAATTGATATAACACAGCTTCTGTTAAAAATCTAAAATCAATCCATTTAGGAGAATAGTATAAAAAATTAATATGAAAAAATGTACTCTGGAGAAAATTTTTAATACTGTTAATAATTAATGGCCATTTCCAAATCAATCTGACCAGTGTTTGGCATGGGTTGTTGGATTTGGATGAAACTTGGCATGGTGATACCCTTAGGGTAGGTGGTCAACCTAAGGTATATAGTTAGTCCAATATCCGAACATTGCCTATTTTACAGGGGCTCAAAGTGGCGATTTTTGCAAAAATACAGTTTCCTTTAATCTCAATTATCTCGGGTTCTAGTGAAACAATTTCAAAAAACTTGACACCGTTTGAAAGCCAATTAAATGGACTTGAATTCGGCTATAAGCGTCAAGGTCGCAGGTCAAAGTTCAAGGTCACTAAAATTTTGATGAAATTTTAAAAACGCCGCCAGATATTGAAGGACCAAAAATATTTAAATCTTTTCCACAGGAAAAATGTTCCAAATTTAATTTTACATCGGTGTACAAATTTTGGTGATATGTATTTTCTTCGTTTTTGAGATATCTACAGGGGAAGTTCAAAAAACGTGGTTTTTTGGCCCTTTTTTGAGGTCGTAAAATTTTAAACGCCTCTAATTTTGCTAGATTTGCCATAAAATTGAGCAAATACACTTCAGGAATGAGGAACTATCATATATAATGCAATTCTATGATCAGAGTCGATTTTGAAATCCACCCCTACCCCTGGGGGTGGGTTTTGGGGTTAATTTTAAATATGCCCAATCTTTGTGTTTTTGATGTCGTTTCCTATGTTTTCGACATCCAGGAACACGAATCTGAAGTCAGTTTTTGTTTAAAATTAATAGCTTTATTAATAATCGCAGTTGAATGAGGCGAGTTTGATCTTCCGACGAATTGCGAGAATCCGAGAACTCACTGCATTCAAGTGCGATTATTGATAAGGCTATTGACTTTAAACAAAAACTGACTTCAGATTCGTGTTCCTGGATGTCGAAAACATAGGAAACGACATCAAAAACACAAAGATTGGGCATATTTAAAATTAACCCCAAAACCCACCCCCAGGGGTAGGGGTGGATTTCAAAATCGACTCTGATCATAGAATTGCATTATATATGATAGTTCCTCATTCCTGAAGTGTATTTGCTCAATTTTATGGCAAATCTAGCAAAATTAGAGGCGTTTAAAATTTTACGACCTCAAAAAAGGGCCAAAAAACCACGTTTTTTGAACTTCCCCTGTAGATATCTCAAAAACGAAGAAAATACATATCACCAAAATTTGTACACCGATGTAAAATTAAATTTGGAACATTTTTCCTGTGGAAAAGATTTAAATATTTTTGGTCCTTCAATATCTGGCGGCGTTTTTAAAATTTCATCAAAATTTTAGTGACCTTGAACTTTGACCTGCGACCTTGACGCTTATAGCCGAATTCAAGTCCATTTAATTGGCTTTCAAACGGTGTCAAGTTTTTTGAAATTGTTTCACTAGAACCCGAGATAATTGAGATTAAAGGAAACTGTATTTTTGCAAAAATCGCCACTTTGAGCCCCTGTAAAATAGGCAATGTTCGGATATTGGACTAACTATATACCTTAGGTTGACCACCTACCCTAAGGGTATCACCATGCCAAGTTTCATCCAAATCCAACAACCCATGCCAAACACTGGTCAGATTGATTTGGAAATGGCCTAATATTATAAAAAATGACACATCAGTGGTTGCAAGCTGTGAGATCCATCAGATCCTTTTGATTTTAAAACGAATAAGATATTAATGTAGTTATTCCTAATTGTAATTAATAATCATGCAATATAATTGCAGTGTTTCTGTCCTCAATCTTTGATAAAGTTTTTATGAGGCCTTCAGAAAATATGCCTTTCCATTGCAAATAATCTGACCGTTCGCAGCAGGGAGCTGCTCTGAACAATAACCCACAATGACTCAAAAAGAAAATCAGAATAATAATTAAACGTTTTGCCGGTTTTTGTGTTGCCAGCGCACCACGCAAACAATGCAAAAACACCCAGTGTTGACACTTCCACTCTCTCTGCACGGTTTTGGCCCAAGGTTGGTGATTAAAAGCGCATTTCATTGGAAGTTTTGCTCTTTCTGATACGAGTGCGAAGCGGCTTAACTGATCGACCTCTACTTATCAAAAAGGCCGCAGACGCACATTTATCGGATTTTAATGTTTTATGCAATGAAATATTACAATTGACCCCCTGTCGAAGAAGCAAGAGAATATGGCAAATGCAATAATTGCATTTTTTTTATTCATTTAAAATTTAATAACAAAATTTAAATTCTGTAAATACGCGGCATCTTTTTTTGTTTTAAAAAGGAAATTTAAAATATTAAATAAGAACGATAAACGAAAAACATGGGTCGTAGTTTTTGGATTTCTGAAAATTTTCTGAAAAAGCTTCAGGAAAAATGAAGATTTAAAATTGGAAGCATTTTTTAAACACTTATAATTTATCCGGAATTTATCTCTTTCCTTTCTGGTCACAAAGAAATCTATTAGCAATTTAATTAATCATATCAAATAAGTTGTTACCAATATTAATTAAGAGAAGATGGTAAGATAAAAGTAAGTATAGGCTACACAACAATCGGCAGGATTAGCTGACGGGAAACAGTGCACATTAATTTATGCAATCAAAATCACTCGCGTGGCAGCCCGGCTGTAATAATTATTTACAAAACAAAACCCGTAACGGTCTCGTTATCGACATTGAGTAACATTTTGATTGTGAAAAAATGGAAGTGCTTATACAGTTAGATATATAATAAATAAGTATGCATTGCAAAATTCATCAGTTCCGCTGCGAGCGCTAGAAAGCACTTAAATTGAAGACGTCAGCGGAATAATTAATTGTATTTTTCCTTTTTGAGGTTTTATTCCTGATTCCACTTGGCTAATCCTCTTCTAAAATTTCCTTCTCGCGGTCATCTCGCTTTGGAGGAGTATCAGCGAGCGAATCGATCTCTTGTTTTGGTCACACGCGACTTGCAAAATAAAATGAACGTCGGCGCGGCGTAAATTTTCAACTCCGACAATCGACTTGCCATCAGACAGCCGTCGGCTTTTTTGTATTTCAGTCTTGTTGTCAAGGAACTCGCTCGGGATTGTTCGCAAGTGGTTGGTTTGTTGGTAGCTTCGACCGAGCGCTGCCTGCACTTGTTGAATTTATTCAGGGAAAGATAAACGCCGCGGTTGGGAATTAATTCTGCGGAACAATGGAGTCGGATTATATGCATGGCAGGTCTATAGCGAATAGCTCATGCAGATAAAATTGAGTGCGAATTCAAGTCATTGAATGCTTTTTAAGGCAATATACATTGTTGCATTTTGTCGAAAAGTGCGTTTATTCTGTTGTTGCATTTTGATTTAATTCATGTGCAACTCCTCCATATTTGTTTTTTTGCGAGAAGCCAACTGAGAAACTAGTTTTTCAGCGCAGCACCAATTTTATTTTCTCGCAAGTATTGCTGGTGCTGTCTGGCGTCAGCACGTTGAAAAAAATCAACCGGTGTGCTGCTGATTCATCGAGAGGGGGCACAAGAGGCTTACAGCCTTCTTTGGCCCTGAGGCTGAACATTGTCGCAGATTTATATAATTATTCTTTTGCAGTTCTCCTTAAGTTCAAAAGCACCCATTCCATTATATTGAAATTTAAAATAAAAAACCTTTTCATATAATTCAGTGTTCCAACCCGAAGTAAATTGAAATTTAGTATTTTGAGTTTACAATCAGATAGATTTATGATCTTTCAGGCATATTAACAAAACACAATATTTTAATTTTAGTTAGAAAATTAAAGCTTCAGCTTGAATTGATCATTGATTACTTTTAGATCTTCAATATTGACACAAAACAGTCCCCTATTGATAAGTGGAGATTTCAATGAATGCATAATATTCTATGTCATTGTTGTTTTTTTTACATCGCCCTTCAATGTTTCAAATAAAAGATAACAATTTGAAGCAAAATCTAGCTAGTTGTTTTTTAGTAAGCCTGCTCGTTAAAAAAATTTGGACTCACAATGAGGTGAAAATAAGCAAGAAGCGCACCTGCAATGGGTCAGCAAATTCAAATTTCCTTTCTACTGGGTACAATTAATTGAGACGTGCCCGTCTTCCTGAATGCTAATTAGACACACTCACGCACTGGTGATGCAGCAGTCCGGCTGACTGACGCTCCTGAACGCCTGGAGAGAAAGGGTCTCATCGTGAGAATCGCATCTTGATCCCCACCCGCCCACGCAAGAGAAAGAAAATTGAAGCGCTCTTATAAATTGCACTGATCAAATTTCCTCTGTACCGCGCCTTCAACCACGAATGGTAACCAGAGAGACTACCTAGAAAATTGCGCGCAGAAACAGTAGACAATATAAAAATGTAATTTCCCAATTTCAAAACAATGCATGGAGGAACTGCAAAACCTTTCTTTGACGCCTTGAGCGATGGATATTATTTTCGGACGTGACTTTTGCGAGGAAGGAGCCGCACGAGGCAAGTAATAATGAATTGTAATGCATGTCCAGTCACGAGTCGATTGCTTATCTTTAACGTGACATCAGGCGTTTGTTTTACAAGTAAATACAAAATTAAGTTGGAATTTTTTATTTTACAAAAACCTTGAATTTGAAATCAAAAAGAATAAATCATTGTCAGGGTCTTGCCCTTACACTTAGTTGATATCAAATGAAACACAATTAACTTCGCTGCGGGTACTCAATAGAATGAAAACGAAGAATATGTTTTCGTCCAAGGTCAATGGGACCAATTGGAAGCGTATCAATCAAGATTTTACGGAAGTCTAAAGCTCTGCTCTAATGATCAAGAGTCTCAATGCGTGGTCCTTGAGAGTTGCTACAGCGATGATCATCATCTATTATTTATCGAAACACCATTCATAAATTAGTGAAACATTAAATTGGACTTGAGAAGTTTTCTTCACCTCTTTCAAATATTAACTTTTCTTCTGCAAGTTTAAAAAACCGCACGAAACCTGAACTTGCCGCAGTTTCAGTTTGCAAAGTAAAGGAGGAGTTGCCTCATCACTTTGACGAAAGAAAAAGTGTAACAAAGATCCACCGCTGAGTGGCCGATTTGGTCCACGGGGTGTTGTAATTGCACGCTGCTCAGGTGCTCACCTGCGGTCAGCGTCGCGGCTGCCGATTTAGCTAATCAGGCGGTGTCTGCAGATATCGTTTTCACGCCGTTCTTTCTCTTTTCATTATATAATTCCAGCTGCAGAGCACCACGCGGCGCAGCCCTCATTGGCTAATTATCCGAGGAGCGGCGACACAGCACCGAGATCGTGCTCCAGCATTATTTCACCCACAAGCTGGTTGTGTATTGAACCAATTTATGAAACATGTACTTTCACTGTTCTATGTTTTGCGACATTTTGGTCGCCGGGTGGTGCCTAAATAAGGAGAGACCATAAAAAGTTGCTTTGCCGATGCGAAAAGTGTTAAAAATTAAGCACGATTTTCAACTAAAAAGTGTTGTTACTCGTTACTTTGATTTTAATATTTTTTGTAGCTACGTTAAAGTGATTGCAATTTATATTTATTTTAAAAATTACTTAAAATTATTTTCAGATGAAAGATTTAAAACGTTAGTTAAATTAAAACAAACAATTTGATAAAATATTTTTGGCAGCTTCTATTGTAATGAATTAAAATTTTTGAATTACTTTGTTCTATTCTCATTTTGGTCTGTCTTTGAAGCTAAAATAACTTATGATAATTGAAATGGGAATCAGCAAATAAAATAGAATTGTGAACAAACTTTCCCTTAATTTGGAAAATTTAAATGTACATGAAGTAAAACTAAGTTTCGACTGAAAAATTTCTTATCTCATTTTTTTTGCATCTGTTGACTAGGAATATGAGGCTCCGTATTTTTTCTTCTTGAAAGAAAAACAATCCAGAACCGCAAACTGCGAGCGTCCCCTTGCAGAATGTGCAAGTCTGAGGAAAACCGAGCTATATGGCTTTTGTGTCACAAGGCTAAGACACGTTATTAAACATATATTGCATAAATACGTATATATGTTGTGCCCCAGAAAGTAAGCGTGCTTGGGGAAGTTCGGCTGATATTGTGAATTGTGGCTGCAAAAGTGAACGTTTACTGCTGCTTTACTTGCTGCTGTCGCGTAGGCTTTGAAAAGGAGCGCGGCGCAGTTGCTCTCTCGATTTATTACTTTATCTGCTTTGACAATCGCAACAAGGCAGACAATGAAGTCAGAGAAAGAGACTCGGCCACGCCTAACCTTCGGTAAATACACACTTGGTGGAGCAAAATAATTCAAGTGTTTGCTACGGTGAAAATAAACGGCTTTAATTGTGTAATGAGAACCGACCAACCCACTGCTTAATCCTATGGCTCTGTCTCAAATTTTGATAGTTGCACCGAAAATTGTCTCCAACGATGAATTGAAGCAATAAAAGAACTCTAAATGAGAGGGCAAAGGGTTAAAAACAAATTATTCACACCCACAAATTTAATGAATAAAAAATATGAGCGGTTATATAAAACATGGACAAAATGTCTCAAATCTTTAAAAACTTCTTATTAATATAAATTGATCAAAGAGTCCGTTCCAGTTTACGGAGTGTTTCACTCAATCATGAAAAGCAAATGAAATGTTTATTAAAGCGAACACAAAGCACACATTATTTATCAAGATGAGACCATTTATTACGTCCGACTTCTTTCGAGTCTGACAACACCATTCTTTTTCAGTCTTTTTTGTATCGACTGGTAATGGGGCAGCCGCTTTGCTGCAGCTTGATTAGCTTGAATTTTCCGAGAACGGCCGCACGGAGCGATGGCCCCGAAACCGGCCCGGCCGCCGAGGACAAAAGAGAACGATTCGTGCAGTCTTATTTCTGTTGCGAGTGCAGTTTTATTTTTATTTATTTTGTGCGAGTTTCCTTTGCTCCTGATTGCCGGTCGCGAGAGGTCACCTGCAGGATGGAGCGTCGACTTACGCGGAACGCAATCAGTGCAATACCGTTGCTTTGCACACCAGATCTGGAGCAAAGTGCCACTCTGACAGACGATCAGCAAAAACTGACCTTCCAGAACGGTCGGAGTTCCATTGCAACAGAATTAGTGGAAGAATAAAATTTATTTTTATTGACAGTATTAAATTTTGAATGTAACTCACTTAAAATATGAAATTAAAATTGAAAAAGTTCAATTTTTCATCAAAAACCAAAGTTAACAAAAGTATTTCTTGACATTCTTATTTAAGAAAAAAATTTGTTTTGGAGTTTGAAAGTAAGAAAACTACTAAGTTTTTTATTGCAACAAAAGTATTTAATTATTATTAATTATTTTAAACTAGCTTTGTGCTGGTTGTTCATTAAGCATTAAGAAAGTGCAAAGCAGATAGATTTCCATCGAAAGAGTTTTTTTTAAATATCCTATTCAAAAAAACTAAATAATTTAGTGTTGATTTAAAATTGAAATTTGTAAAAGAATTACCTTTTCTTTGAAGTTTTTTGCATAATTAAATAATTATTTAAAAACTCATTATGCACTCTTTGCGGAAACATTTATTATTTACGGACGCACTATTTAAGCATTGCACTTAACACACAAGATAAAGCACTTTTTTTCTGAAAATAAAGTTATCTAAGTGCTTTCACTGCGGATGGATAGGCCTGTGTTTTTAACATGTACTTCGACAAGGAAAAGCTCCAAACTTTTAGTTCTCCAGCACGATTCGATCGTTCAACTTCTTGCAATAAAAGAGTTTTCAGGAGTCGCAATAAAACACTCTTGATCCAATGAATCTTCAATTTTAGTGCAGGTCCACTAAAATTTCTAACGATTTCTTTTTTAATTTCAAACTTACTCGCCAAATTGCCGTAATAGTGTTGATTTATTTTTTATAAATTGTGAAACTCCGTCTAAAAAAATCCAATGAAGAAACAGAAAGTCAAATAAAAATGCAATAAAAAAGCTGTAAAACCAGCCGATTTTAAGTGCAGAGTAAGTACAGTTAAGGTTGAATAGGGGGTCTTCAATTATCGCCGCAACCTCTTGCCCCACCCCCCGCGGAAAAGTGCTAGGTGCGGTGAACAAATTGATCCTCAGCAGGGTGCTTCAGGCGAGAGCAATGCGCGGGTGAACCATTTACCGTCCTTTGACCGACTCACTAAACACAAAATAACACGAGAAATGCTGGTACACGCGAAAAACAGTCTTCATAAAAAGAAATCTAAATTGCAATTGTGCACAAAATTCCAGGAATGATTTTTGTTTTGTCTTTTCACAGAATTGAATTGACATATTATATGAAAATTTTCTAAAAAAAAGAATAAATTGTGTAAGAATCTGTGAAATTATGAAAACGTCAAAATTTATATCAAAAATATTTTAGTGTTCCAGTCTAAGTTTTTGATTTAGAACTACAATTTAGTTATTTTGATAAATTTTTAAATTTATTTATTTTTGTTATTCTTGTTAGCGGGTGGTGTTGTTTAGCCTAAAAATACTTTTTCGGTGACAATAATTATGTAATTTGTTTTCCCAAAAATTAAATTTAGCAAATTAGACAGCTAAAAATTGTATAGCTATAATGATTTACAAAAATTTGAAATTAGAACTGCAAACAGAATAAAAAAATCTTTTAAATTATTTTCAAAAATGTTTTTTTTTCCAAAATTTTTGCAATACTTTTTTCTCTTGCCGAATCAAGATTGATAAAAAACTAAAAAGTGATTTTCTTGCTGAAAATAAATTTTCAGTACATCTTGAACTGTGAACTCAAATTTTAACGCATTACGCGTGTTTTTCAAGCTCATCCTTGTATATCGCGCGTCATCCGCTAATTTTATCACTCTCAAAATCCGCGTCCTGTTACATACAGTGTTACCGTACGCAGTGAGATCATGAACGGAATCCGTCAACCAAATAATAAAATCCTCCTCCGAACAATCCTACATTGACAGCTTTATTTTCTTCAGGTAGTATTTTAAAATGCTGACTTAAATTCATAAAAACCAATTAAATCTCAGAATTTAAATAAATACTGTACCAACATGAATGATTGTAGAGCAATTTAATGTAATCAAATTTGACCCTTGCTTACCTTTTTTGCTGAGGCCTCTCGAGTGATGAGCAGAGCAAAAGACGAAATAAAAATTAATCCGTTTCTCGACTCGTGCACTTGTTGCTCGCAGGTGCAGTCCAATTATTGCAGACACACCGACTGCAATCAGTGCACAATCGGAAGAAGTGCAAAGAGAGCGGCGGCTGCTGCTCTGCGTGTTGCTGGGCTGGACTGCTGCCGAGTCTTTTGCACCAAACTCTCTTTAGTCTTTGCTCTTTTCCTGTTTCGCAGGTTCGCTGATCGCAGGTGGCGAACCAAAGGCCAACGATCGTGCCACCTCGTGGCGAAAAAGCGAACCCACGGGACGCACGTGGTCGCCGTGGTGACGGTGGAGGGGGGTGCGAGTATTTGACAACAACAACAGAAAGCCGGCGAAAAAATTCTGCTTCAGCAAAATATCGAGATTATTTTGAAATTTCGCCTGGAAAAGTCGACAATGGTGCTTCTTCACATCAAGCATGGAGCCGAGTCGCTGTTCCTTTACGAGGCAACATGTGACACGGACATGAAGACCGTTTACGAGGAGGTCACTTCGATCTACAACGGCAGGCTCAAAATCACTCAACTCTGTTATGGTATATAATTAGATGGATTAAATCAGAAAAATTTTAAATAAATTAATTTAACAGCTTGATTTCTTCCAACGTGTATCCTTGACATATTAAAATATGTGATATCGTGATTCTTCAAATAAATTACATAATAATAATTTAAATTAAAAAAAATTATTTTCCTTGGTAAAATTTTGAATTTATTAAATTTTTATTGTACAATCTCCAGTAAATTCAGTCTTCCTGAATATACCTACATAATTAAATTTCAATAAATTTTCTGTTAATTTCACAGATATTGAAGATTTGGCTAAGTACGGTCCAGTGATGCCATTGGACATGCAAGGTCTGGCACCAGGGCAGGCTGAGGAACTGAAACTTGTGGACGACTGGGCTGACAAATGTGAGGTCAACGGAGGCTGGTCTTCAAACCCAGACCCCATGGGTCGCCGAAACGGACGACAGCCCAACGAAGACATGCAGAAAGTGCTTTTGAAGTCTGTCGAGGAAGCTAAACAGTCAATTTCAAAGGTAATCTTTATCTCGTACAAAAATAATTAAGGACATTTTTAAAGATTTTCCCTTTTTTTGCAGGATCAAGTTGGAGCTAATATTGCACTGACCACAGCTACTATTTCCGAAGCTCTGCACCAACTTCGAGGAGCAACGATGGTTGTTTATCCGATGGAACTGCCCCCTCATGACCCTTGCTTCTTGACCCAAGAAGAATGTAACAGTGTCATTGGTATTCTCGTCGATGACAGAGAGGTTATTGAATTATACATTTCAAAAAAATTAAAATGAATTTTTAAAATTACAGATCTTATTTTTCAATAAAGAAAATTAAATTTATTTTCAATTAACTATTAATAAAATATTAAATTGTAGTGCATTGATTAGAACTGATTTCATCTTCCTTTCTTTATTTTGAATTTCCAGTTCATAGATGGTACTGAGGCCATGCTGTGGTTCTGCAGCCGTCATTTGTCTCGGGAGGGCCCCCTCCACAAGGCCATCAACTCAAAGAATGAGAAGACCAAAATTGTGGTGAAGCTATCAGGCGCCATCAGTGGACCTCCAGCAAAAGAAGATGCCATCTCAGAGGAGGAGAGGCTGAAGATGTTGGCCTACTATCGACGCAAGCAGGACGAGTTGCAGGTAGGACACATTTTTTTTATCATTTTTTTATCCAGTAAATCACAACTTGCACCAAAGACAGTGACTGGACATGACTTGACTATAAAACTTACAGCAAAAATCTTAACTCTTCCATCCCTTTGTCCTCATCCTATATTCCAGAGCCCTCTCTTTTTTTTAGGAAATCAAATATTGAATGAAAAAAAAACGCTAGAGATTTGTGTATAAATAAATAAAAAGAAGATTAAATTGAGATTATATTAAATTTGATAAATTATTCCAAAAATTTAGGTTGGATTATGTACAAATCACAAAGGAAATGAAACCACTTAATTCATAGTTTAAATTTCACTTTTATTTCCTGCTCCATAATTTTTTATAATTCGTAAAGATACATAATGAGAAATTCGCATCATTTCTTTAGATTCGTGAACTGACCAAGAGTGGCCATGCAAGCATTTTTTGCAAATTTTTCAAGATCGAGGCTGTGCCATTGATTGTTGAAACCCCTTTGTACTGAATGAGAAAAACTGATGCCCTCAATAGTGTAGGTCTAGAAATACGCTGCTATAGAGATCATTGAGAGAAATCGAAATATCAGGTGAGGGGATCCGAATTTTTTCCTGAATACGAAAGGAAGAATCGGAAAGGAAGTACCAGACAAGATTGAGTGCGTGTGTGGAGATAATTAATTACCTATTATTTCCAAAATGCCGTAATAATGCTAGCTACGTCATCGTACGTGTGCTCATCACATGCCTCTATTTTCTTTTTAAAATTGGGTATTTTACGAGATAAACTTGCAAGATATGCCAAAATGTGTTGCACACTTAAAATTAACTCGCAAAATTTTCTTAATATGTAAATGGCGCGGAAATCAATGCAAAAATCATGTGTTTAATAAGAAGCGGCTGTACCTTAATTAACATTTTAAAGTTCAAGAAGTGCTGCCGCTGGCTGGTTGAGGTTTGGGACCTATCGCAGTGTTCGGATTGGCCATCCACTTTTTCGTCTCACTCGTAATCAATATGAGCAATCAAGCCACTTCAATTCACCTCAAGTTGCGGCTGCGTAGTTTTTTTCTCTTAACTTTAAGCTTAAAATTCTACTTCTCTTTCATGTGGTTTCGTCTTCCTAACAATATAATATGCATTATTGTGCTTTGTAAAATAGTATCACATTATCTCATGGAAATCTGGCCGCTGCCGGGTATATCAGGGTGGTAATCAAATCACCCGTCACTTCAGGCAGGCGGCCAGGTTTAAAACAAATTAGGAAAAAAGTCAAATTTCACTTTCCAATGCGGCTCGTAGCAAATATTTCATCAATTTGGAAATTTTTCATTTTCTCGCGGCCTTTTTTTATCACAAAATATTATTTGCACCGGAAACAAAAAATGAAGTTTTCTTCTGGAAAAATCGGAACGCGCAGGGCAGCGGTCCTGTCAAAAGACCTTTGCACCTTTGCTCAACTCTAACTAACAAATTTAGAATATCAATGCTTCCTTTCACTGGACATATTATTTAATTTAATTAATGTAACGAATTCATTAAAACTAATTAAACAAAGCAGCCGTTAGCAATGCAAGTGGATGCATGTCCGTTTGTCAAGAATGTGGCTCATTTGGAATGTTGTAAACTACCAGAGAGAATATATTAAGGAAAAACAAAGGAACTAATTTTGTTAATTAAAAATATTGGCCAAGTATTTTCCTACAAAAGCCACATTTCATCTAGTAAATAAAGCAAGTATTTATCCTTCAAAAATAATTTACAATCCCACTTTTCGAACCCAATGCTTTGATAAAATGGACACGTCCTGCTTGCTTGTCGATTGATCAAGACATTTAGGATAGATATATAAATATCATTGTCAGACAATCTCATAACGTTCAACTACGACAATATTGGCATTTTTACATCTTTGATCAAAACTAAACACCCGCCATAAAGTTCAAATTCTATACGAATCAATTCAAGTTGATCGGCTAACTAAACCCGCCTGCTTCCTAATATAATTATGTACGATGCAAAATGAGTATATCTCCAGTTTGTAACTATATAAATGTAAAGTTATACGCGAATCGATCGTGATTAATTATAAAAAATTATGGCCAATGTTGAAATCGTTAAGGACACTGTGTTCGATCGTCGCTCATAACTATTCTTGCAGTCTTCGAATGGTGAAAACTCTTCACGAAATTTTGACTTTATCCCTTGCCGTCCGGAAATGATCCACCTAGTAAACTTCGTCCTCGGCCTGAAGCTCTTCCCCGTCGCCAGTCTCACTGCAAAGAGAAAACGTATTCCTAAGTGCCACTCGTTACACTTATAATTTATTGCATAATAATATATTGCTGAAAAAAAATTTAAAAAAATCTTTAAAATATGAATATAGTATTAGAGTTACAAACTGAATTTTTTGAAACATAAACTTTCATTATTCTATAATGGCTTTAATTTTTAATAAAATATTCCCTTGGTGAATTTTCAAAACAAAACCATTTAGATAATATTTTCTATTTTTTATTTTATTACTAAAGAATGATTTACTACTCCAATAAGTACTAAAAGAATTTTGTCTCTAAAGTATAATCTTAAAAATTCTCATTTTATAATTAAAGTGCACTACCAAAATTATAATTATAATTTTTATTTTCAGAAATTTAGATAAACAATAAGCAATATTTTTTTTTGTCATTCACTTATGTTTAAAAATCTTAATCTAGAGGGACGGGTCTTTTTTGGAATTTTCGAATACCTACTCACTCTGCTTTTTCCTTGCTACACCCTGGGCAGTACCAGAAGATGAGGGTGCCGACCGTGATGCCGAATATGACTGGCGGCGCCACCAGGGCGATCACCAGGTTCCTCACAGTCTTTTCCCAACTGTATTCGGCCACGACCAGCTCGGTGTAGGTCCTGCTGAAGTAGCAGGGGAATGGAGTCTCGCCGAGGTTTTTGAACTTGCGGGCGAACTCGGTGCAGTTGACCTTGGGCGGGTAGCCGCAGCCCTCGGTGTTGACAAAGAACTTGGTGTCGGTCACGTTGAACTCGCCGATGGCGTCGCGGCCGTTCTTGCTGTCGAAGGGCACCCGCGAGTAGTTGACCTTGATCAGGGTGCACTTGAGCGCGGCCGTGGTGCAGCCCTCGCGACACGAGCTCCACGTGCAGTTCTTCAGGCCGATGGCCGTCTCGAAGCTCGAGACGACGCACGTCACCGGGTCGTGGTCAAAGTCGGCGGCTAAACTTGATATGGCCGGGTCAACTATGAACGGGATGAGGAAGAGAAAGGCGAACACCGCCAGGATTGCCGTCGTGCCGAAACACAGCGACGTGTAGAACTTTGCCTTTTCCCTGTTTCAAATCAAACAAAATGGATTCCTGATTAATTTTTCAAAATAATACGTTTTTTTTTATAAATTGATGTTCACAAAAACTGAAATTATTTTGGAAATATTTTAGGAAATGAACTGTAGAAATAATTTAATTAATTTGTGTTTGAATATTAAATTGGTTAAATAGCTTAATTAAAGCATAAAAATTTGTTTCTAAAGTTTTAATTAAAAAAAGTAATAAATTTAATGCCTTATGAAGATAATTCCCATTCAAATTATCTTTTAATTACTTCAAACTGTCTAACTTTTTAAATTGAACTTAAAATTTATGTAAAATCTTCATACCTAAAGGGGACAATTGGCAGTCCGTCTGGGCCGAGGGCGCCCATGGCCGCCGCGGCCTGTTCTGCATTGAGCTCATCCTCCTCGGTGTCTTCAGGTTCGGTGCTCAGGGGTCGGTGGTGGTCGACGTTGGGCGGATGGTGATGGTGCGTCAACGGCGGGTGGTGCTCCTCGCCGACTCGTTCGTAGGTTGAGCCGGCGAGGCCACCGAGACCTCCGAGGCGCGAGCCCAGCCCTGAGCTGAGCGAGCCGGGCTCCAGAGAGCTGGGCTCGTTGTTGACAGGGGCTCTGTAGAAGCGTCTGATCGGAAACATGACGACCGAACAGCAGTGCTCGCTACACTTGGCTAAGCATTATTGCTGAAAGCACTGCTATATCACCTCTCGCACTAATCAAAGCTGAATCGGAATATAAGTGTGAGTCTATTGCCAAGGGCCTCGAACTGGCCTAAATTTTTTTTTCTAAATAGTTCAAAAACTTTTTTATAATGCAACTGTTCCTTCTTCTTGTTAGTAGTACTCTAAGGGCGTGCTGAGTGCTGGTGCGCCGGTTTAACTTGTTTTCGTTGAGATCAAAGTAATGTGTGTGTGTGTGTGAGTTTTTTTTTATATGTAACGCAGTTCCCCTCCCTTGTGAATGAATAGTAGAGTGCAGCTAGTTGGGCGCACTTGTGTTCTCTCAGTGAAGTCGCCGTAGGATGTTTTTAATTTTTTTTAATAAATTTTTTGACCCGTCTCTCAGCAGCGGCGTGGCTGCTGGCCGTCCAGGTGGGTCAGCGCCAGCAGTGACGGAGGTGGGTCGTAATTCGTCGGCGACTCTGCTGACAGGAGAGGAATGCCTGCAACACAAATAACGCCGGTTAGCTTTTTTACGGGCGCTGTGTAAATACAAGGGTTTAAATGGCTGTTCGGATTCATGCGCGGCTCTAATGGAATGACGGTCGTTCAACAGCTCTGGGTGACAGGGTTAGATAAATGTGGGTAATATATTTCACCGCTTCTGCGCAGCTTGGAACTGCAATGATAATTTTCACTGCAACAAACAAGAGCTTTTGCAATGGGATGCGGTGCCGATTCTATATATTATGTTCTAGGAGCAATTTAAAAGTCTTTTACATCACTGTAAATTTTTTTTAGTCTAATCAAAACTTGGATATTATAATGCTCGTTTTTACACAATCAAAATTTGCAAAAAAAAAATATGTCAAAAAAGAAAAATGTAAAAAAAAAACCAAAGACGTGGAAAATTGTCCACGTTCTATTTTATTTTATTCATTTTATTTTATAACAGATATTTCAGAATTTTTCAAATTATTGGATTGAATAAAAAAATTCATTTTTTATTTTTATCATTTAATTTAATCAGGAAAAATAGTTCGTGCTCTATATCGCCTGCAACCAAAAAGCGGCGCATTTCAAGGACCCTTTTTCGGCATAATTATTCCGCGCCTGCTGTGTGCATGCCGAGGGTTCATTGGGTTGTACCACAATAGGCGTGCTTCACGACACGGCCCGTGTAATGTTTTTATCGACCCTCCAGCTCTAAAATCCACTTCCTCCGCCAACGCCCCATTTGCATAATATTTTTTCTTCACAATGACCGTCAATTTGGATGGAGAAACGAAAAAATTGAATGCTTTTCGCAGAACGAAATTGATCGATTCTCCAGGGGAAGTTTATGAATCCGGCAGCTTTTCACGTCATTTTCCCACAGACGTGAACTTTGAAATGTGATTCGCAAGCGACGCTTATTGATTATAAACCATAACTTTCGAGGACCTATCTATCGCATAGCTTGTTTTTCTGCTTCCCTGACGCAGCAGATTTATTTTACACCATTATTTTTCTCCCCTTCGCCAACGGGAAGAATACAGCAGCCGCCTGCTGATAAGAAGGGTTATGCAACCCGGCCGAGGTCTTTGAATGGTCTGCAAGAAAACAATTTCCAACCTCAAAAGCAGAGGTGGATAAAAATCTCGCCGGCACTATGTATTGATTGTGTTGCACGCAACACACTGTGAGTGCCGGTGAGAGTTAATGGCACCGCGTCACTTTAATTGCACTGCTACCGCGCAGCTTTTTAATCAATACAGCAATCATTCCTACATTTCCTACTCCCGAGTGCGGTCGACGATTATTAGATTTACCCAATGATATTTTCAGAATGTGGCGAAAGATTTAAATCGATCAAAATGTGATTTAAAAATTTGTTATTCAATGGCCATGATTACATGAAATTATATGCAAATCGATATTTCCAGTTTTATTAACTTTTGATGGAAATATTTTTGATCAAAATCGTAGAAGTTATTATAGCTTTGATATTCTCCCAGTGCGGGAAGCCATCTGTGTTAATTTTTTCTTTTCAAAATGACTTCCCTTTGTGGCAGTTTGGGATAATTTTATATAATATTAATTATTATTTATTATCGTTATAATTATTTGAAGTGAATTTTACATTTCCATTTTTTTTTTTTAGCAAAATACAAAGTTATTTCTTACGGGACGGATCTCAGAGTGCTATGGCCGCCCCGCCAACCGCTCCTTCCTCCTCTTCTTCGGTTTCGTTCTTCTCAGCTGCTCCCACTCCTGCGGCCTCAGGGTCTTGCGGTAGGTCTGGTGCCTGGTCAGCACTAAGGCCCGACTTGGACTTTTTCGCCTTTCCACATCCCTTGAAGCGCATCTTGGCATCGTCGCCGACCACGACGCTCTTCTGGCAGGTGACCAGGATGGTGCAGGAAACGACAAACAGGCAACTGGGCACGACGGCTGCGAACATGAACTCCTTGTGCGTCTGCTCGAGGTCAAACCTGGTGATGGCCACCGTCGGGTCGTGGTCGGCATAGAAACAGGGGAAGCGGGCCCTGGCGTTGTGGTCGGTGCCGTCCTTGCCGAAGTCCCTGAGGAAGGTGGCGCACTCGTCCTGCAGCGAGTTGACGCAGCCCTCCTGGTTGATCATCAGGCGGCTCTCGTTGGCGATGATCAGGTCCGTCTCAATTGGGGCCACGCGTCCCGTTGGGTCCAGGGCCTTCTCAACGGCGCCCTGAGCGCTCAGACCCAAGAGGTACGTGAAGTTGGTCAGGTCGGTCATGACGCTTTTCGGCACCAGACTGCCGTTGATGCAGTCGCCGGCCTCGATGCCCCTGGTCGTGTTGGCGATGGTGTAACAGGAGGCCATCAGCACGTACGAGTCCTCACCGCCGTCATCTTTTTCCCACGAGTATATCTCTTCCTCGCCCTCGTCCTCTATGGCCACCGCTTTCAGGCACTGAGAGAGGTAAACCTGAAACCGAGCGATAAATTCTGATTGATCAAGTGTCTCCTTAACTAGCCAGTTTTCCTATCTTGAAATATGATTCTGTGTCATCGATCTCAAGTGGGTAAATTGGGATAAAGTTACATGACTCTTTTTATACAAATTGGCGTTTTAGTTCATATCTCTTTAAAATTGAAGATTAATTTAAACAAATTTTTATTATTTATTCAACCATAAATTTAAAAGCTGAAAGATTTTTTTTAATATCTCTCTTTTCCAATTGAAGAAAAGCAAAATGCTCCAATTTTGCTATCAATAATTATAATATATCTTTGCGTTACCATCTCAAAATGAAACTTTAAAACTAGATATTATTTATCGTGTGTTACGTAAGAGCATCAATGCCAGAATAGGATGGAGATGTTTAAATGTCTTTTTTAATGATAAATAATAGAATTAAATTTAAAATTTCTTTCAATGTTTGGAAATAATTACTCAAAATGCTTTCACTTATGATTAGATAAAATTTAAAATATGAAAAATTTCCTTAAGAGTCCGACTTTGAGTTTATTCTAAATTATAAAAATTAAAAAAATAACTGTTCTCTCACCTTGTCCCCTGATAGCAAGATGGTGTTTTTGTTCCTGGTGGGAATATCGACGCAGCGCCTGTCGCAGTTGTAGGGCGTTTTGATTTTGCCGCAGGTGCCCCTGTTGCAGTCGTGCAGTCCGTCCATCTCAATGCACGTAATCTTGCCCCTGCGGCCGGAGCATTTGAGCGGCGTCTCGGTTTCGGCGAAAACGCACTCGAAGGCGTCTGTGATGTTGATGCACGTGCCCATGGTGCAGTTGAAGGTGCCGGTCAGGTTCTTGCAGTCGTCCGCGATGCACCTGCTCTTCTTGGCGTTCTCCTGGTCTATGCCGTAGCAAGTTTTGTTGGCCGCGTTGCTGCAGTTGTAGAAGACGAGGTCGGAGCCGTTGCGCCTCAGGTTGACGTGGACCTGCGTGCAGGCGCCGGAACTCTTGCTCAGGCACCACTCGCCGCACGTGCCCCACGAGCACATTTCCTGCTGCTGCGATCGGGTGGTGGTGCACATGACAGGCGTGTCGCTGATGCCAGACTTGAATGCTCGGTAGGAGGGCATGTAGACGGCCACCGTCAGGTAGACGAGGGCCACGCTGCTCAGCACCGCCGTCATTTGGCAGATGCAGATGGTGCCGCAGATGCGCGTGTCCTGCGGCGGGATCACAAGATCCTCAACTGGTACTTTCTTCCCCATGGCAGGTCTTTTAGTTCATGTCTGCAAATTTCGAGAGGGGTGCGTTTTTAAAAAAAAAAAATTGTCTCTCGACTCAGTAAGATGACGAATTTTCCTTCAAACTTTTCATAAAGCGAAGCAGGAACATTTAATAAGTATTTTAACCTCAAGCTATAATATTATTTTGCTGTTTTTATTTTAACCAAGGGAAGTTTCAAGAAAAATCCATCAAATTAATTAATCAACTAGTTGCTTGTTGATTCATAAAATTTAATCATTAATTGATTAAATGTTTGATAAAAAACATTGAAACTTGAAATATCCAGAAATACATGCTGCGTAATATTTTGAGATTAAATTATGCTTGTTTAACTTGAAAAGGGCGATTTAAGAGTTTGATTTGCTTAATTTTGGGACTATCATTCTATTTTACAGTTGTTATTTACATTTCACAAATTACTTAAATCGATTAATTACGTCTAGTCATTTCTGCCGAAAGTTATTCTAAAAACGGCACTTAATGTAAGAAAAGCTGTCACGAACCTTGTCAATTCTGATAAGCACAAAAAATAGCTTGTTAAAAATTATTAAATTTTTGTTCCAATTATTTTTTATGTGTTTTTCATCCTCTTCTAAATATTGATTTTGAGATTTGTGAAATCTTATGTCTAGAGAAAAATGAAAAATTTGACTCTAGAATGAATGGTTTCGTGACCAGTTTTCGTATGAGGAAGAGAAATTTTAAACTGTCAGTTCCACGAAGCGAGATCGCTCTGCGCCAATATTGACCTCCCGGCAGACATCACAAAAAATGTCCCGGTGCCGCATAGAAATGTGAAAAAGTCGATCTCGTGCATCGCAATTTCGCCAAATAAAAAGGAAAATTCGCCACCCCTATACTTATGCGAGCCGGATGGGAAATGCGGACGCACTCTGGTTTGCAGCCGAGTCACAGTCTGGTCGGGATGATGGACGGCTCGGTAACCTGGTTGCACACGCTCTTCGGCCTCCAAGTTCTGACCTATACTGGCTGCCGGGCGCCGAGGCCGCTAGGTGGCACCGCCGACGTCACTTTGGAACCCCCTTTACCCCTTGCGGGCCGAGATCAATACGGGGCCTGGCTGTGCCGCATTGCTGCTTCTGCCGACCATAATTTTGCCACTGGTGGCTCGTTTTCTCGCACTCGTGCATGTATGTGAATCGATCTTGAGGAATCTCGGCAAATGTTTCAAAGAAGCAACTTTCGCCCCAAAACCGAACGCGTCCGCAAATGTCGGCGCCACTTATCAATGTTGGCGCCACCCCTCAAAAGATCGAACAATAAATCACACACTTAAGGTGCACGTAAAAAAGGCCTACCCCAACAATCTTGATGAAATTTTATAATCGATTGAGATGTTTAGCCTCCTCAAGTGGCGATGATTGTCTCGTCTGGTTCACTTGTATGCCAACTGGCGGCTGGCATTTATAAAAGGGGTTTCACACCGCCGGTAAATCAAAATAATTAAAGTGTTATTAAAAAGCTTTTTCCAATATTTCTCATGAAAAAGTTTTGAAAGAAAAATTTGAATTAGCCTTTCAAGGCTCCCAAGAAATATAACTGCATAATCTTTGTAAGGAATCTTTGTAAGGCAAATGTTTTATCAAAAGTATTCAAGATGTTCAAATAACACAAAATAATTATATAGGAATCTGAAATAAAAAGAAAATTTCCAAAAAAGAAAATTTCATGCAAAAATTTGGTAAAATTTGTGCAAAAAAAAATGTTAAGGAAATAAAAATGATGAATTTCATTAAATTCCTTTAAAATCAACCCCCTTATCAACGCTATAAAGCTTTCGATTTTCTTTCCGATTTTTTTCTGTGACTAAACGGACGCTCTGCGTGCTCTCTATCAAATCCTAAATCTAATTTAATTTTTCCCGTGTGCTGCATGGATGGCGTGCACATTTTGCGTTCTAACTTCTCATATGGGCCAGCGACGATTTTATGGGTCCCTGCCAAAATATGTCCTCAATTATGGTCGTTTGCGGCAAGTAGGCGTGCATCACACCCTGCAATTGCCCATTCCGATGCTCACGGTTGCCTAGCACCGCTCGCCTCCAATATGGCCTCTGCATAGACGAGCTTTAAAAGTTCATCAATTTTATACACACGACGAGATCCACCACTTAACCACTTTCTTCAGTTGCCGCGCTGCCAAGATTTGCGAAGTAAAATCATATTTCACTATACTTTTGGCACAACAATTACAATTCTTCTGGCGGGCACGTCTCCACTGATGGTGAATTATGCAAATTTAGAATTCCCAGTGGTACCTACTTATTCATTTATGCTCGGTTGTAAATTTATTAAGGTCTTTTTTGTGAGATATTTTGATTAACAAAATATTTTTTGTACGAAATTTTACAAGGTTATTAAAAAAATGTATTTCGATTTCCTTCTTTAAATTAAATAGAGCCATGCAATCGTATTCAAATTATTATTTAAAATAGATAAGTCTAAATTACGTTTGTTTTTACGATTTTAACATTCTAGAGTGGACAGCTCTTTTATCTTTTCCATTAAAGCACTCGGAACATTATGCCTCCCTATAATCTCTCCTAATTATCTATGCAAGAACGGGAAATGGTCTGATTGTGAGTCAATGCTAAAAATAGCAGAGGCAAATATTCACGCGGAGCCTTTCAAAAGTAATTTATTTGATTTATAATATAATATACGAATGTGTGTGTGTGTCGGCGCAGAACTTATACGGGAGTGAAACTAATCGACAATAGAAGAGTGTCACATACAATTTTTTCACCCGACACCATTAGATATAACAATTGTACGTGCCCTGAAAATGTGACGAAGTTTGCAAAAAATTCGTTTATTCCTGCTATATTATTTGTATATTTTATAAAATATCAAAAATTAAGTTGTGAAATTTGGCTTTACGTGACGGCGTGCGTCAACCTTGAATTAATTAATTGCCTGCCCTTTCTTATACGACTTTGGAAGCACGCAAAAGTTAGTGCCGTTGAGCAACACAGCAAACTCGGTCTGACCATCAAGGTGCGAACGGAACGGAAAATTTTCCTCCCCTGATCGAGAAAGCTCTCGCCAGGCGCCAATTTCGCGGCGTTCCACCCACGCACGCCCTTCCACCCCTAGTACGGTGGTGACCAGGGCGGCGAACAGGAACGACTCGTTGACCCTGGGGGGCACCTACCTGCAACAGGCTGCGAGTGTCTCTCGATTTGGCAAACGCTGGCTGCCTCGGGCCGATCGCCGCCGCTGCTTTTGCACTCCAATTCTAACGTGGTAGCAGCCGGGCCTGCAATGCTCCTCTCAGACATTCACGGCCTAAACCAACCCCAGCGCCACCCCTGGCCGAGCCGCACACCCCTTCGACCACGACGACCCGCGCTGCTTGAAAACATCCAGCTGCGCGTAAGCCTCACGCGCCCTCCAGCCGCCAAAAGCCACTCGCCCTTCACACTTTAATCCGCTGCCCAGTCGTCCTTGCCGAGTATGACTTGCAGGGACGATATATCTCGTTGCTCAATCAAATGAGCTGGCAATCAACTCTCGTGGGATCACTTTCTTGGGATGCCAGACTGCTTGATTCGTTATTAAGAGTTTTTTTTTTATTACTATTAGTTTTAGCTGTGAAATCTTTCAAGAGATTTATAAATTAATTTGAAATTAAAATAGGTTAAAATGAAAATGCAAAAATTATTACTTGAATTTTGTATATTTAGTTAATTTTCAAAATTTAATGAGATCCAAGTATTTGTTAAAATTTTTTTTAATAAATAAATAGAACGTTCACCTTTTTTAACCATTGAATTTAAAAATATCTTGTTAAATGTGGTTTTAAACTCTTTAAAAAAATTCCACCAAAAAGCACTAATTGTAAGTAAATAGTCATTAAAAAAGGCCACACATAATGAATTCACCATTCACTTTTTAAATCATGTTTAATACAGGACCTTCGCTGCTTTCAACAATGCAAAAGTGGCTTCCTTTTTGAAGCAGAGAGAAATAAAATATATTGAAAAAATATCGTATCAATTTTTTAGGCATTTTTCTGTTTAGACACGTTGCGCAAACATAATTTTTAGAACGTTTTCGCTCTGCCAATTTCAATCTGACCCCACATTTCAGCACCTATTCTGAAAGCGCCTGCAAGACAAGCTAGTTATGCAACTCGCACGACAAAAATAGAATTCTGATATTATATTTTTACTCTCGCGACTAAAGAGGCAGTTTGCAATTTTCAAAACACAGGTGCATAAATTTCATTAAATTATGCATCGTCAACTTGATAAAGTGTTTAGCTTTCTCAAGGGACGTGTTAAATTCTGTGCCAAGTCGGCCGTCCGTGCAGTAATTAAGAGGGATAAATAATTAACGGCGTCTCTTGTGAGCTTGCAAAAGCAGTGCGAAAACAAAAATTGGATTCGTGAACATTGACACGTGAAATTAAACAACAATGTATCGATACACTCTAAATTCGTCCGCGTACAAACTCCGAAGTGACGTCAAACAAAATCGAAGGCAGGAGGAGCATGCAAGGGTTGACTCGGTCAATAGGGGTTGGCACAGAGCACGGGTACCAACCACGGCGCGCGTTCACCGCGCGCACCCAATCCTCGCCGTTCGATTTCGCAGAAAGGTGGAAAATTCAGACACGGTGCTTGAAATAAAATTCACTAAAAAAAGGAAGAAAGTAAACAAATAGTAAAATAGGTGTCTCGTCGAGCACCTGGTTTGGTCTCAAGTGAAAAGGGTTGCACTAAATAATTCACGAACCGCTTTACCAAAGTGAGTGTAATAAAATTGACATAAATTTTCGCCACCAAAAGCGGCACCTAGAATTAAAAAGGAAAAAGTGGAATATTAAAAATAAAAAATGTGTATTTTTTTAATCTAAGTGGTGGGTGGCGAGGGTGTTCGTGCGTCGGTTGGCGAGCGTGCCTTTGAGCCACTGCGGGCCCAGTGCTCCGTTCTAGACCGTACTTGCAACAGCAAGGCTAAACGGTGCGCTGCTCGCTCGGTGGGTCGCTCGGTGCTCGCTGGTGAACACCCCTTCGACTTCTGTAATGGATATTATCTAGTGCCTTATTACGTTGTCCGCCGTCAGCAGCCCAGCTCGGTGAGTGCAATAAGAAGTTTGTCCTCGCGGGCCGATTTGCGAGCCAGCAGGACCAGCCAGGGGCCTCCCTGGCTGGCCCTGCACTGCTCGCACCGCGGCACGTTTCAACCCTCCCCATGCAATTCAAGGCAAAACCTTTAAAAATTCAAACGTCCCTTCGCTCTGACATTCCGCCACTTGCACGTGTCCGTGAGTTGCGAATTTATTTGCGTACAGAGATGGCACGCAGTGATGTTTGTTTGCGCCCATTACCATACATGTGACATAAAACGGAGCCTAATTATAAATTCAAATCAAGTGTGAATGTCTCGTTAGGGCCCTGTGCACTGTGATGGCTCTATTTGCTGCGCCGGTCCCTAATTTGATTAAACGCTCACGCCGGGTGGGTGCAATTTGGCCAGAGGTCCTAATTGCAATACTCTATCTGAGCTGCTATTTTACGCCAGAAAAGCTTGTTTCGCTCGATTATCCTGCTGAGATGTTTATTAGCAAACTGTCTGAGACCCAAGTCGATAAAAACAACAGCTGATTTGGTACATCTCAATTTTTTAAACGAAATTAAATATCTGAAAGAGAGAAAAAAGCCAAGAGGGAGAGTCAAATTTATAAGTTGAAATTTCTTACGTTACATTAATTCTTCTTGCCGAAATAAACCATGAAAAATTGCATTGTTAATTTCTTTCTATACAACTGTACGTGAAAACTTATTGGCTTAATATATTAAAAATATTTAAATTTTTTTATCTCTTTTAAAAAAATCTTGAAAAAGACCACCGAAATGTAATTAAAAAGAAGTGTTCTAATTATCATCTGTCAACAGCTTGGAAACCAAGTTTTTTTTTTTTTAATTTTTTCACTCTCTTTTTAATGATTTTTGGTCTGTTTTTAAATGAAATTTGGCATGGAATTGCGCAATTCAGTCATTCTTTTAGGACCTGCAGGCGCGAGTGGTGCGTGTCTTTGAGCACGTTCCGGCAGCTCCTTGACTGGCGCATTTAAGAGCTCTGCAGGTTGCCTACTTGCGACAATTGCAGGCGCTTTGAATTAAAACAGCTCCGTCAAAGGCTTTGTTCCACTTTTATAAAAATTCGTTGTTACTTTTGCTAAAAATAATAACTTTTCACATTTTGTAAACGGCGGAAAAATAAATTAATACATTATTCATGTAGTCGTGCGTATAAAATTGGATTTGTTAATTAATATTGAAGGGATTAAATAATGCGGCGTTTGCGGTGTCAGCCCGCTACCGCGCACATACCCGCGGCTGTGACCTCTAATTTACACGCAACCGATGCCTCCTTTGCCTCTAAACCTTTCCTCCATGTCATTTTTATTCACCGCGTGCCTGCTTCTCCGACCCCTTGTTAAGGCGACGTCTTGCACCACTCCACCCCATTCTAATTTAACCCGCGAACAAAAATAAAATCCACCCTCCACCTTATTATTTTATTTTCACTGAAGACATCTGCGTGTGGGTTATTTAAATAAAAAATATATTTTTCAAATAGAAATCTGCAAATAATCTGGTAAAAAATTATTTATTATTTTATTGGAAATTTAATTCTTAACATTATTTTAATTTAATTTTGTCAAATTTGGATTGATTTTATATATGGCATATAAAATTATTGCAGAAGATCTATGAAGGTTAATATTGCGATAAAAGAGTTTATATGCGTCCAAATAAAATTGGTAGCCTATTGCCACTATCATTAGCATAACAATAAACAGGTCGTTCTCCTCTTTCCAAAATGTCTGAAAAATTGGTCATTCCAGAGCTATCAAAAAAGGTGGATTGACTCAAAGCGTTGCTAAATTGGCCATCATCCAGAAAATATCGATCGGGACTAGGCTGGGATGCAAAGTGCGAAATCTCTTGTGAACGCCGGAATGTTTTTGAGGATTGTTGACGTGCCTGACACACATAGTCAGCAACCGCACTCTTTGCGTTTGGCAAATAGTTTTCTACAGCAGGTGCGCCGCGCGACGCTGCTTTCAAATCCATTCACAGCAGCCGCAAGAAAAGCAGTGCGTTGGAGGGCTTCTGTAGTTGTTGCTAATGTCGGCTACAATTTGCGAAACCAAACACACACCTTAAGCTGGGGTGACAATCTCGTTGGTATTGTTAAGCAGATTTTTCACTGAATGGCATTTAGGTGGGTGCTTAAAACAGAAAAATACTAATAGACATTATGACAGGACAGTTACAACTGTTGCAAAACAAAACAATGAGTTGGATATACAATGGAAATAAAATAAATATACCATATAGGAATTAATTTTTGGATTAATTTTGTAATCATTGCATAGAATCATGTATTGTCTTTGAAGTATTTCTCAAAGCAAAACGAGTAAAAATTTATGAAATTCAAAATTAAAACTATTTATTTCCTTTGATTTTTTAAGCCAGTTTTAATCTTTTTATTGATTATTCTTCATTGAAAATTAAAATTCGGGAACATTCTTTTGAAGTATAATATATATTATCTCCTTGTTTTAACTCATAATATAATTTTATTTAAAATAATACAAAAAGAAATTACGGAGAAATTTTTTCAATGGAAAAAATTTTTGACATGTATAAAATTTTGTACGCCATACACAGTTTGTTACTTTGTTCCTAATGCAGATTCATGGTTGAGATTGTCCTCTTTTGATGCTTGAAAAAAAAACATCAGCCAACCCATTTGTACGCCTTTTTCAACGGCTTAACTTTAAATCTGAACAAACAGTACATGCAAAGTTAAAAAAATCCGAGGAAAATATACTGATGATCATTCTGTTCACGTTTTTCTGCCTTCCGCTGCTGAAAAAAAATCCTGAAAAGAAAAATGGAGATTTTCGTAATAAAAAAACTAATGCTTGTATTTTTTTTACTTCAAATCTAAAAATGCTTTAGCGTGACCCTGAGAAGATGCCGAATGGAAATAGAATGGGAAGCAGTAATGGGCAAACTGTCTGGTAATTTGCATGAGAATGCCTGTCGGTGGAGATTTGCGAGGTCACTAGTTCGCCGCCGCACCTACATTGCACTTGAACGACCGTCTCGGTGATATTGCCGTTTGGAGCCGAACCAACTCTGCAGATTATTTTGATTGGATCTTTACTGCATTTTGTTGTAGTAGAGCCAACAGCCAGCCGAGTACATAAATGATTTGGCCTCGTTTCGAACGCAGCAGGCCTGCTTTTGCTCCCTACTGCTAAATACTCGCGCGCGCGGCTCATTTGGTGCTTTCCGCTGTGCCCCCGCTGATCATCGTTCATTTGGCTGAATGTGGCACGATTTGAGGGTTGGAGTGCTCAAATAGAAAAGGCGAATTCAATGCGCGCGGGTGGAGCAAGAAATAATAGTCGGCGGTTGGCACAGCTCGCAAACATTTACAAATATGCAGGTCACGCTTGCCGCAGAATGGAACTGGCCTATGCTTGACTTGTTCAGGGGGCAGAAATGTTTTGTTTTTATCATCGCTGTTTATGTAGCGATATTGTAATCTCATTTTTTTTCTGGGAAATAACTTTCATGATTAACTAAGAATGAAAGGGAGACTCAGATTTTGTGTTTTGTCATTGCTAAAAGTTCTACCAACAGTATTTTATTTTTATACGAATTAAAAAATAACGTTTCTATTAAAAAACAATCAGAAAAAATATTAAAAATTCTTCTGCAAAATTATAAAAAAAAAAAACTGAAGGAAGCCACAAAATATGTAAATTAAAATTAGTGGATAATTTACAGCTAGTGCTTAAAACGTAGGCAAAATTGGAATAAAAAAGTGTTCTCGAATTCTATGACCTGACAAAGCCCAGACGAAATAAAAAGTTTAAATTGAAAGTACAACAATTTAAAACTAACAATAAGCCATAAATTAAAATTGTCACATTCTCACTAAATAATTTCTAACTCTGGAACTGAACAGCTGGAAATAATTCTTGGAAATTATATTGGCTTTTTCCAAGCTATTTATTTTAGATTTAAAATAATTTTGTAAATTGTACACTATTTTTATTTTATTGTCTCCAATAACATACTTTCTCTTTATTCAAGTTTGAATTACAAACTCCTTTTCCCATCACTATTTTACCTTGGGTTGCAATGAGAGTACGGTTGAATTGGGCGGCACAGTCTATCTTTGTGTATTGTATTGCGTGCGCAAAGTAGCCGACTGTAAGCAGCCATTGATTGCGAGCGAGCGGGCGACCGGGTGGGTATCCATCTCTGTCTGGCGTGGCGTGTCACGGCGGCGGAATAAGGGTTGGCACGTTGGCTCGGACGCCATGCCGCCGACCCCTTTACTGCACTGCAGTATACATTTTACAAAAATTCATTTCACATGCCACAATTACTTTGCCGGGTCGCTTTTCCAAAGGCATCAAAAAACCTATCCGCAGTTTGGCGTAGTGAAAGACCGTTTCTGATAGAAACCAGCCAATGTATTTTGCTTAGTTAGAGAGTAAAAGCAAGGCTTAAAGTGGCTCATATGCAAATTGCAAAGTACAAACAACCGTGTAAAAGCTAATGCTTGTCCTTTTTTCTGTACATGACCATATCTGTTTGCAGCAGTGTCGCAGTCAAAGAGCAAATTCTTATAATCTGATCATCTGATCCAAAAATTTCTGCGGGAAATAAAAATAAAAATTGGATTTTTTACTGAAATGTGGAAATATCAGCTAAATTTAAAGAAAGACTTACATACTTTTGCTTCTTGTCGCTGCTCTTAAACGATCAATTTAATTTTTATGTTCATGATTTCTATTATTTTATAAATTCAAATAATTTAGTGATTTACCTTTTATAAATTATTAAGTATACACATGCAACTACTTATTAAGAAAAAGAAATAAATTTTTATTTTCTTAATACAAACATTTTTTTTGCAGGTATATTTTTACACTAACATAAGTCACATGCTGAATTTTTGCCAACTAGCAATTTTCTTTCTTCAGCCAAATTTCAAATCAGCCATCATTACTTTGAGATTTAGATTTATTAACCAAGGTTTCTACCAAAAGTAAGCCAAATTGCGTTGCGCGTTGTTGAAAAAAAAAACGTTCCGTATTCCAGCGGCGCTAAACGCTACACCTGATTAAGTGCCAAACAGCATAAATTTTTCAGCGTCTGTGGACGTAGAATCAATATTTGTACCATTAAATATTTCTCAGGCTGTGGAGCAACGGCAGTGCTCTCTGCAGCGAAAGGAGCAGCTCTGCTAAAAAGAAGGGTCGGAAATCAGAAAATAAAGTTCTTGGCGCTGCTTAGAGCGCTGAGGCGAAATGAGAGCCGCCAGTCCGGCACAGTCTTGTTTGCATCTCTAGTGAATGGTGTACGCAGCGTGGTGGAAAATCAATGCAGCCGTGCCAGCCGCTTACGCTTTCCTCATTGGGACAAAATTAAAAAAAAGCCGTGCATTTGACAGGTTGTGAAATCCACAAAGAGTTCAATTAGCCTCCAGTCTCTAACAATCTGCTCTCTCTTGACAATGATGAAAAAAAATTGAGCCTTCCTATTGCACTCATCTTGTATATCTAATTTCATTAAAAGAGAGAAAAAATAACTAAAAAATTCAAGCAAGTGTAGAAATGAAAAAAATATTAATTTAATTCAATTAACTCTGAAGTTTATTTTTTAATTGTTAATATTTAAAGCTGAAGTGGATCTGGGTGTGGCGAATAAAAAGACCATCTCTGTGGCGTGCTCTGAATGGACACAAAAGCGTTATTCACGCGAAAATTTACAACTTTTTGCCTTGAATTATGTGACGCTTCCGTGGCTGCACATTTTGCTGTCTAACCTTTTGAAATTTCAGCTAGCAAATAAAGGGGCGATGGCACCTCCTCACTAGAGGGCCTGGACCAATCCGCGCGACACGATGGATGGGGAAGCGGCCGACGAGCCCCAGTCCTTTCGCGAGAAGGCCCTTTTCTACACGACGGCCTTCTTCGTCCTGCTGGGCACGTTCAGCCTGTTTGCATTTTTGTTTTTGGTTCCATTCGTTATCGACCCAGCGTTCACCACCATATTTATGCAGGTAATTGGCCTCAGCCACACGAAACAACCGTCTACAGTCATATTGCCCTTACGGTGAATAATTTCCACGCTTTTTTTTCGTTTTCAAGTTTCGACCAATAGAAAAGCCAATAATAAATTCAACTCCGCAAATTCCAGATGATTGCAACAAAAAATGCGTCGAATTGATTATAAATTTGAGTCAGAATTACATTAATTAAATTCAATGACCCCTTAAAACTATACAATCAACTAGTTTTGTGGTGAGCAGCTATATTTTATGATAGTTTTTCCCGTATTTCCTATTGTCAGGCTTCTAAAAAAAATACTGAAAAATACTGAACAACTGAGTGAAGCAAAATCTGCAAAATACTAGAGATTAATATGTGTGATTGAATCAAATCTGCAGTTAAGTATTTTTTTAAAAAGGCCTCTAACGTAAAAAGGTTCAGGAAATACATTTTTGTGCAAAGTATTATAAAAAATCACATAATTCCACAAAAGATTTTTTTCCAAATTCACTGTATTGAAGAGCTTTTCAATAGAACTATAAATGTATTTAACTGAGTTGAAAACCGTTTAATTTTGCTCAATTAAACTCAAGAATGAAAAACGAACAACAAACGATAAAATTTTAACATAAAATAAAATGGAAATTTCGAGTGAAAGCAAAAATTTATTGTAAGCTCCACGCATGTATTAAATAAATTTTTGCCGTCCTTCAAAAAATCGATGTGACCCGCGACAATGCCAAACCTTGTTGAAAACTTAATTCCACCCCTATACAAAAGTAGGCAGCAAACATAAAAATATAAAAACTCAAGTTTCTTTTTCGCACCCTCTTGCGCAGTTTGAGCCGCGGGCGGCCCAGTGCGTGACCTCGGAGACGATCATAAAGCGCGGCACCAAGAATTGCACGTGGGCTTCGTGTCGCGAGGGGTGCACCCGCGAGGTTTACAACTGCACGCAGATCCGCGTCGACTACCGCATCACGCCACTGAGGCGGCTGCCGCAAGCGGCGCCGGACGACGACGCCGAGGTCACGTCGCCGCTGCCCGAGGAGCCGCCGAGCGCCGAACTCAACGAGTGGAGCGCTAGGGTGGCCAAGAAGATTGCCAGTCGGCCGGGCGCCGACTACGAGTCGGGGCCGATCGAGTGGACGGCCGACTGGATAGATCGCACCTCGCCGCACAAACTCAACAAGCGCGACGTCACCATTGTGCCGCTGATGAATGACACCTCCGAGTGGTTCTTCACAGGGGCCAAACTCTTCCCCAACGTTAAGGGGTGGGTAAAAAATTTATTAATTATTGATTGATTTATTAATAAAACGACATAAAGGCGTGCAAAGACATTTATCTAAGTAAGAACAGAAAATACAAAAGAAAAAAATATGAATTGTAATTTATAATTTGATTGTTTAAAAAGCCTAATAACATTTTTTGTTCTAAATTTCAAGTATATTTTTCGACTAACTAATTTTTCTTAAAATTTCATCCTTCATAGATTTCAATTATCTAGTCAAAACTTGATTGATTTTAAAATTGCGCAGAAATGTTAAGTTTGCTATTTTTTTTTTTTAATGAAGCATGTTTTTAAGTTGTCCCTGATCTCGAGTTTAAAAAAGACAACAATGCAAAATTTAAATATTACATATTGTGGATGATATAAGATAAAAGATTCTTGGCTTATGTATAAAGTTTAAGGACTCCTTATTGACATAGTCAAATCAAGTCTTTTCAACAATAGAACCTATTTTGGGCAATTATTGGGAATTTAACAAACCATTGTTGTAAAGACTTGATTTGACTATGTCAATAAGGAGTTCTTAAAACGTGACAAACTAAATCATTTTGTAATAAACAGAACAAATTATCCAAATTCAGCAATCATTTACTAAAATAATAAAAATTTAATAAATAATAAAAACTCCAGGAAAAATAATCATCAACTTAAATTCGAAAAAAAAAATACATATTTGATTTTTAGTTCCAATATAATTATATATTCCAAGTTAAAATATAAATGAAAAAAACTATGAGTTTTTTTTACGAAAAATTATATTTTTTAATAAAAAAGATTAATTAAAAAAAAATTAAACAAACTTGTACATTTTACTTTCATAACTTTCATTAATCTATTTTTTTTTAAATTTACGTTTTGCTCAGGTGCGGCTACCCACCGATGTTGAACTGCACCATATTTTTGTGGAAGTACCAAGCGGTGGGAACCAACTTCACTTGTTACTACAGCCGCGTTGACCCGATGCTAGTGATGAGTGACCTGGACATGAAACAAGTTTACCTGAACCTAGTGCTGGCCACCGCCATCCCGATCCCGTCGTTCATCATCTCGGTCATCTACCTGGCCTTTGCCTACTTTGTCATCTATGCCGAGGAGGAGAGCGTTGACCCCGAGTCCGTGCTTCCTGTCGAAGGCGAGGAGGGCGCGGTTGAGGGCGAGGAGAAAGAGAACCTCAACGACGGCGAGGTGGAGCTGGAGGACAAAGCGCCCCTCGAGGACAGTGGTGGCGGTGGCGACGAAAACATCGGTGGCGACGAGAAGGAGCCCAGCGGAAACGGAAAACCCGCCCAGCAGCCCACGCCGGTCGAGTCCACCCCGGCGTCTGGGTACGTCTCTGCTTCGACCACCCCCATTAAGTAATTCACTCCGACATCTTGAGCTTGCTCTCCTTTTGCCTGGTTTGAATAGAGAGATCGAAAGAAGTGGTTTCAGAGTAGATCTGACTGAATAATTGTTTAACCAGTTTTTGAATTTGCAAGCAAGCACAGCTCAACCGAATTTATTTGCAATAAGGTTTGATAAAAAAGACTAAATTAAAACAAAAATATTTTTATAAATTATATTTCAAAACCCCAACCTTCCTTTAAACTGCCTTTATAATTATGCAAATTTTGCTGTAACTTTAGACAATTTCACTGACTTGACAACCCAACTGACTTGACTGAATTGCACCTAAATACTTAACAAGCACCAATGTTGTTATTTTCACTTATTTCAAAATTTTAGATAATTGATGTGCATTTTGATCAATTTTTAGGTTTTGTAGAAAATTTATTAAAAAATTAATGCATTTCTTTTGTCTGAATTTGCAGCGACTTGATCAAGCCTCCAGCCATGATGGTGGTTCGTCCTACGACCCTTCAGCCGAGTGGACCGATAGCAGCAGTCTGAAGCGACAACTAGCGGGTTTCAAGGGTCCGATCTCCTGGCGTCCGTAAAAAGATAATCTTGCTGCTTGCGCACATGTGTTTCAAACTAAAAGCGCATTTCCATTCCTATTCGACTGCTTTCTGTTTGACCTATGGCAAAAAGCTATGCTGATAGGAGAGATATTCGGGCAGGATCTATGGTGATATTTGTAAATATGGATTTCAAAAAGCTCACAAGTTATTTCGTATGGACGCATACCTAAAGTAAAGTAGCAATCAGTTTTTACAAAATATTGTTTGCACTTGTTAGTTTTTTATAAAGTTCTGAATGCTAAAAGTGATTTGGATGTTTTTGCTCTTGAATTTTTATTTTCAAAATTGACGTATATGTTGGAAAATTTAAGCTCTCTCTGTATAGGCGCAGCACAAGTCAAATCTGGCAAAATGTAGGTTCCCAGAGTGCGCGGCCACTTTTGATTCACTGGAGGAAAATGTGTTAAGCATGCCAAATTTTATTCGACGAGCTACTAACGCCATACATGTACAAACGTGTCCAGAGATTTTGTGAAATTTGTCCACTAATATTCAAAGAAGTTTATTCAAGCAACTCTGAAATTAAGAGAAAGTCTAATATATTTATGAACACCAGTCTCACTCACAGTCACTATCTAAGCATTAATAAGATGTGTGCACTCACGCACAATCACACGCTAGTGGTCTGTGCTTCACAATTACACACGCAGTCCTTCTGAAACAAAGACAAGAATTTCTTTTCATTGGCATCGTCCGTCTTTCATTAACTTAAAAAGAGCAAGAAAATTATGATGTAGTTTGTATTTTTATGAGTGTGCGATTTCCCAAAGGGTGTGAAGTGTGAATGAAACGATTAGCAGTATAGCTCCTAAACTTCCTGTAACGCACACAGTTTGCTACCAACTCTGCTAATAATATGAAAGGCTCACTCGATTTTTGCAGCTTGAGAAGTGATAAGAATGAAAATACATTAAAATAAATTGCTTTTGTAAAATGTTATACTACGCTGCTGTCCAAATAATGATCTCAGCTTAAGCCACGGTTGAATACCAAGCAGAAGAGAAAACGATCTACAAGACTAACTTTTCTTCCCTGCGTGAGAATATTTGTGTTAAATATTGTAATTGATATATTTGAATTTTTGTCACGCTCTTTTAAAGCCAACACTTTGAATTGTTACATACTTCATTTTTCTCTAAAATTATTAATTGATAAAAGCAAAAAAAAAAGCTTGAGGAAATGCTAAAAGCAAAATGACCAAATCGCCCCTTGGTCTTAACCCCTTTGAAATTTTCCTGGCGTGCATTTTTGGTCATCTTGACGCTTGATTTGAATTGCACTTCAACACTCCATCTAATTCCATTGACTGCTTGATCATATATTTTATCATATCTGTGTGTTTAGCGAGATTAAAACTGTTAAAAAATGCAAAATATTTTTAAAAAGACAGAGAGTTAGCACAGGAGGAAAAATATTAAAAACACAAAACGTGTCAACTATTATGTGTGTTTTTACCGCAGTTCTTAGACGTTAGATATCCGGCGCAAAAAAAGTTCCAAAGTTTGCAAACTCTGTATAATAGCATCGCAGTTTTTGTAAAATATTTTGAATGGACCAAAATGGCGTGTGTGTTGGCGAACAAGTTTGTTTAATTTACTCTTAGTTTTTATTCAAACCAAATTTTATTTCAAATAAAAACTATTGCCTTTTGATGTGTGTGAAAAATGTAAAATTTATTATTTACTGAGGTTAAAATTTATAATAATTATCAAATGGAAACTACAACATGTTGGAGTAGCTAGAGCCGAGACTAGCAAAAGTATCATGCAATAAATCAATAACAAATAAGTAGCTGGAAAATTACTGGATGTGCGGTAAGTCAACAAATATAACCAAACCATTAGCAGTATTTTCTAGTCAAAGAAAAAATAACTTAATTTACTGAAAATGAGAGAAAACGAGGTTATTTAATGAAGATATTTATAAAACCATGCTAGCTTACCAAAAGTCATAAAAGTAAAATATAAACAAAGCTCTCGCACACTCATGGCCAACACACACTCATTTCCTTCTTCATATTGCGCGCAAAAAGTTCACTCTCTATCATTTCATGGGGCCTTAATAATCCATTGTAAATGTGAATGCTAATAAAATATTATGAAAATGCAAATAATACTTGCGAACCGTGAAAGTTAATAGCGCTACTTAAATGCAACTGAAATGAATTTTTTCAGTTGTTCCCGGGTTATTAAATTTAGCCTATTTAGCTAATACATACTAGGTATAGTGGCTTGTTAATTTCCAACTTGTGTTCGCAACGCATTTACAAATTAATAAATTGTCATAAAAATCTGTAACAAATATATTGAAACTTCATGAGCAATTTTGGACGCAATCGAAAATAAAGCAAGCGTCTGCAAAAAATTCTCTAAAAGTGAACTTGAAAAGAGAAACTGTGACTAACGTGTCAGGTGATTGTTTTTAAAAGAGCAACTCCTAAATAACACTTTTCTCTCGCACGGGAATAATCTAGCCATATTATTATATCCATGCAAAATTAAAACTCAACATCCACCATAAACGTTTCTGCATACTATGCTGCTCTCAAGAGTCTTGTGTCCGTCATGATGCTTGCGGATTGAACTGTCCGACTAGACATGCCCTTTCAACATAATAGTACAGATAATTATGAGTATTAAAAAAAACACTGCATGAAAAAAAAATGAAATCTCTCGCAACAGTGACAATGGAATAATTATGGAAAACGAATCTCTTGTAAAATGCTTTTTAAACGACTACATGCTGAAAATCGCAATTACTGAGCAACAAATTTACTATTTGAGCATTGCGCTATCGTAAAATAAAGATCATTTTATATAAACTGATTTATTGTATTTCTTTTCTAGTCATTTACATAGTTATTGTAAAAAGTGGATTTTGAAGAAATTGACAGTGAAATTATGCTAAAAATATTATTATTTTCTTCTACCACTTTTTGCTCTTGGGCAAGAGAAATCCGTCATATTTTAACTTTTTTTTATATAATTTCGTGCTTTCTGCAACATGCATGTGACAGAAAAATCAAGAAATATTTGTGGGCTCAAGTCAAACGCAGTAAATTATTTTCATTTCTTCCCATTAACGTAACTAACAAAGTGAATATTTAAGATTGATGACTTCAGAAAACTGTCTATCGTTGGGGAAAAAGATCCTTTTATTAAAAAAAAATATATAGTCTGAAAAGAAATTCATCATTGATGCAACAGTTGCACGTCAATATGTAAAAAAATGCATAGTTGGATGCGTTCAAGAATTTTGCCCTCGCACTTGCTCTAGCGTTCAGAAGCACTCGCGTTCTTCTGCACTCTGATTATAAAAATTTTTACATAGCTTTTCTATAATTTTTCAAACAATTTCAAAAACAAAAATTTAACGTAGTTATTACTTATTTGCTACCGGTTGTCACTATAAACTCAAGACTCAAGTTAACAAACAAATTCAAAATTTTAAAATTTTTAACTCTTCTTGTGGGTTCAAATTATATTTAAGCTGGAGTATTTTTTTTATATATAAATTTAGACACAGTAAAAATTTCAACAACTTGACAAATTAAAACATTTGAATCAGATAGTCTCAATTTCGAACCAATTATTTATGGAAATTATTAAATATCTTCAGAACAACAATTTTGGGCTTGAATTAATAAAAATAATAATTCATAATAAATTGACTGCCATATGAATATTTCAGATTGACGAGAAAACTGTCTATCGATTGCGCAAATAGTTATCTCCGTTTTTACAACGTTATAGCCATAAAACATGATAAAACATTTATCAATGTGTAACAGTTGACATTTAAAATCACCCGCATTTCAGCAACAATGGCAAAATTGTTAATATTGAGAAGAAGAAAACGCTTCAACAATCTACAGTTCAAAGATTAAAAATTCTTACAGTTGAAAAGTTTCAATTTATCAAATCGAAAATGAAATCCAACGAATAATCAGGAGCACAATGAGCAAGCAGCAAAACATCGGCGCCTTGTTTTCCGGCAATAAGATTATATTTGCCGAGAAAACTGGCAAACTGGATAACGGTGCCGCAGGACATTTCGCGGGACCTCTCGTTGTCCAATCACATAATATCGGAGCGATCTATACCATGCCGGCTGACAACCTTGGACACGGAGCCGTCCAACCTGTCCTGGAAAAGCAACTCAACGTCGGCGCCACCTTTTCCGGCAAGAGCATTGAAGCCGCGAAGAGAAACTTTGACCTGGGAAATAGTCCCGTTGGACCTGTTATTGAGCAACACAACAACGTTGGCGCCACCTTTTCCGGCATCACCATTCAAGCCGACAAGCATGGTGCCGTTGGACCTGTGGTCGATGAACGTGCCAACCACCAGACCCCTTGATCTGTGATCACGCCCTGGACTTTGAAAATTTCGAAATAAAGTTTCAATCTGAAGTTTGAAAAAAAATTTACTTTTTTAAATTCGTAAGAAATCTTTTTATCCTGCAAATTTTCAATATTATTTTCGATTAATTATTAATTTCTCACAAAATTTGTCCGGACTTCATAAAATTAACTTTTTATAGGGATTTTCAATCACAAAAACACTTTGGATACTTTGATCACTATGAATCCTAAGGGCAATGTAATGACACTAATGACAGCAACGGTTACTTAGTAAAGTCGACACCACTTTACTTACCTAGATAACAATTTTTAATCACTGTAAATTTCTATTTGGATGACTAATGAAAGGCCCGGAAAGACCAAAAAATACAATTCTATTGTTTTAAGTTGAAAATCCTTGTTTGATTCACTTTCCTTATTACGTTGAATCTATAGCTGGCGAGGAGAGAAAAGTGCCTGCAGCTCGAGGCGCCGCAACCAGCACGACCTCCCTGCAAAGCGTGTTGCATACGTTCTAAATCAAAGTAAACTGTAATGTAAATTAAATTATTGTTTGTAATATTTATTTCTGTGGCTGAAGAGGGGGATTTTTTTGTTTGTTAAATCCTCGTTTGGAGAAATCTTATAAAAGTGTCATGTTCCTGAACAATATATTTATGCACTAGATATTCAACCGGTTCAGCGTGTATGAAGTATGTATTGTGGGTTTGCATGCTTTGTATTCAAATTATTGAAAATAAAATAAAATGATTGAAATATGCTGTTTAAAAACAAGAAGCTCAACTTTTAAATTTATAATTTTAAATTATGATATTACAAGTCAACATCATTGGCTGTATTAATTCGGACGATGCAATAAAAATATATTTTCAAACGCCGTGTTGCCGCAGAACCATAATACTGAAAGTACGCAAATTCAGCGCGCAACCTTGAAGCGGCCTGCATCCGCTCTCTTTTCCGCTTTTCCTGACGCGAAAACCAGAAAACTCACTAGCAGTTATAAAAATGTGGCGGACAGCAAAACTTCTGGTTGCTTTGGCTGTGACTTTATTTGCTTTGACGTCTACAGCTGCTTACGATACAACAGCTTCCACAAACGGAAATATTTCTACAAATGACAGTAAGTTAGTAAAAATTAAAAGCTGCCAATTTTTATCAAGAAAATCTAACAAGGTGCGACTTCACCCACGCCAACGTCTGGCAGCGTTCCATTAGTGTCCCCTGGGCTAAATGCCATCCTAGGTATGACTTTTTTGCAGTCTGGAGGAACAAATGCATCATCCACAGGAGTTGCCAGAAGTCCAGAAATCAAAGTAGATTCGCAACCCGTCACTCCTGAGAATTTGAACACACCTGTAGTAGCTATGCCAGGAAGGCACAGAAATTTTAGACAATTTCCAGAAAACGGTGACGTGCCTCAAAAATCAGACCCATATCCCCCAATGGTAGTTGTTGAGCAGTCTTTGCCACCCATAAAGCCGCTGGTTATGCCTCCAACACCAGAGGTTTTGCCTTCACCATTACCTTTAACAGTCGGAGTATTTCAAGTAAAATAGGACCGTTTATTTATTTTCATATTAGGGAGCCAAACTCGGAGAGCTACCAGACAACGTTGACCAGCTCAAAGAGGTATGATATGGAAGATTTGAAAACAAAAATCCGATGCAATGTAACTTAACATTAATATAATTTTGACATTTTTTAACTTAGATGGTCCGGAAAAGGGATGATGCCAATACCTTTTTGAATTCAAGAGTAATAAAAAATAAATTAAAATGGAAACAAATTTGACAAAAAAATTCCGGGAATGCAGATTGCTGAAGTGGAAAACAAGTGCAACAATCCTGGACCTATAGGAATCGTTCGTAAACATTTCTGTTCCAAAATAAACGATATAATTGTCTTTTAGATGCCATCTATTATGCCTATGTGCAAATGTCCTCCGGCAAACGATGAATCAATTGGTTGCGCACAAGTAAATATTGTGATTCATAAATCATTTCACTTGTGGATAATCTGAGTATTTTAGGTTTTGAAAATGAAGGATGATGAGATGGAAAATTTGAGGGAACGTGTCAGAGTTTTAGAATCAAGGGAGTGTGGTGTAAATATTTTTTAAATTATCATTTTAAAATATGAAAATATTAATAACTGAAAAACAGAACACAAAGCAAAAAAAGAATAAGTTGGAAATAATTGTGCAGCAAAAGAAAAGCAATAACAAAAAATCAAAAAAGTCTTCAGAGAAGGTTTTATATTTCTAATATATGCGTTGGAAAATTTTCAATTATTTTTATGCAGGTTGTGGCCACCACAGATATTCCTACCAAAAACAACGATAAGTTCACCGCCTGCTCAATTGAAGTAAGCTAATGACATTTAATATTTTTTTGAACTGAAAATTTTATGTTGTTTAGCTGGACCAAGAAAAGTCAGTTACGCAAGCGTTGCAACAAGGCGTAATAAAAAAAAATGAATTTTTTGATAATATTTTTATAAATTAAAAATTCAATTAAGATCATGGAAAGGGACGTCACACTTACAAGTCTGCAAGAAATGTTAAAGAATGCTGAGCAGAGGGTCTCCATTGTATGATATATGTTTCAAATTTTAAAATCTTGATTTCCAACTAGGTTGTTTAATGCTTTCTTTTAGTTATTGTTTAGTGAGCTTTAGTTATTATAATTACAATTAATCTTTTTTTTTTCGTTCCTCCGTGCCACAATGCTAACATTTTCAACGTTTTACACTTTCTATAAAAAATTTTAGATACAAAATGCTGAAGTAAGTGCATGCGAAATTAAGGTGATAATCTCAATGCAAATTTTTTGTCATTAATTAATTTGAAAATAAACTTGCTATTGTAGATGGCAAACATCAAGGCAGATTTAGCAAACTGCAAGGATGAAAAGAACCAAATGTCAGCAGCCAGTTTTGGAAGAGTAAGCAGACCCTTAATGATGAAATACGTCGATGAAGACGATGAATTAGACGATGATGATGATGACGATTGTGGTGTTTTACTTTTATATTTCTAAATTATTTAAAAGTTTCTAATTATTCGTCAAAAGATGATTGCTTAGAAGAAGATGATAAAAGGGATATCATGAAAATGGTGGCCAAACTTATGACCGGTAAGAAAAATGTTCAAATGTTATAATTTAAATCTTTTTTCAGTGCTTTTTTAACTTCTATATATATTAGATTATCAAAATGTTTTAGGAACTGTTGTTAGCGTTCAAAGATTACCGCTGAAAATGAAGAAACGCGTAGAAAACAAAATACCTATTGTCACTTTTGGAGAAAAAGAGTACTACTTTTTCAATGGGTGGAGAGTACAGAATACCTTTTATTGCGCTAATTTTGTAATTTTAATTATTTAATTCAAGTTTAACTGGAATCAAGCAAACAAAGAATGTGAAAAACGCAACATGCGTTTAGTGAGTATTGATAGTGAAGATGAAAACGCAATGCTCTTCAAGGGTAAATTAAAAAGTAGGGAATTTCATCAATTATAAATTTTGAATTTTAGAAATAAACAATACCAAAGTTCCGTACTGGACTGGCGGACGGGAAACAAGCGGAAAAGGCGATTTCCAATGGGCTCCTCTTAAATGGAGCTTTGGCTTCACCAACTGGGGCGACGGTCAGCCTTCATATGGTGAGAATTAAATGTTATAAACTAGCTTTAAATTTAGGATTTCAATTTTTTGTCAAAACTTTTAGACGGTCGCTTGAAATCGTGCGTCCAGTTGGCATCGACAAGCAGCGGTGCCCCTTGGAATGTTGACAATTGCAATAAACAAATGAATTTCATTTGTGAGAAACAGATCCAGCCAACCCAATCGTCTTACAATTAATTCAACCTCGATCTGTCGGAGGTGCACATTATTTTTTTTTTTAAATCTAACAATAAGCGCTTTTTGATTGCACATTTCAGAACACAATTTGGACTCGATTATTAAACTTTCAAACTTATTTTAATTTTTATTTTATTTTAAATATTTCCTTCATGATTCATGATGAACAGTCATTTTATTTATTTATTTTTGGTACCAGGCCAGTTCCTCAGATTTGCAGAGTAATCAAAATGTTAGATCCCGTGGAAAAAAATATATATAAATATTTCGTAAATAAAATTAAACAAGATAGCAAAATAATAAATATTTTCACATTACGTGAAAACTTAAAATACGTAAATTACGTAAAACTTAATCATAAATATTAAACTCTAAATTAACTTTTAAATTTTTAAATGAAAACGCAAAAAGAGATATAATTTATCCAATGATAATATTATTATGGATGAACTCCCAGAATATGTACTGATCTATACATACATTCACATTTTAAATGCATTTAAATTGCTCAATAAAGACATATCCCCCCAAAATATGCAAAATTTTCCATGAAAAATAGTAATGTATATTGTAATTAAGAGTAAATTTTGTTACAGCAAAAAATCCACAAATAAAGTTCTTAATTCACTTACGTTTTAGTGTACTCTCATGCGCAAGGTTCTCATCCCTGTCCAGAAAGACACGAATGCATAAAGTGCAAGTGCATGAAATGTCTTGCAAGTTCCACGGTTTTATGAGTCGCGCTGGCCATGAGTGCATGCAAGACCAAGACCATGACCATAATATAATAAGAAACAAGCGCTTCGCACTTGCGTTAAACGCAAGCATTTTCGGAATGTTGTTGTGGGACTCCATTTGATGTTTACTTTTAATTTTAATTTTAAATTTGAATTAAATTGGAGAGAAGGAAAAGAAATAACGTTTAAAACGAGAAAAGCGAGAAAAAAGATACAAATCAGCGTAAAGAATCAATTTGGAACACCCTGTAGGCTATGAGTTGAAGGGTGGAAGGTAAGGGGACGCGCGGGAAACCCGCGCGAGTCGAATCGGTCCGAAAGTTGCGAAATCGGCCAGAGTTTAAGTCGCCGAACCCTCTGTAGTAGTTGACGAAGCGTCGGCTTGGTGCAAAAAGCGCGGGAAACTACGGGGGGTAGTCGTCTCCAAAGTAATCAAAACCCCCTCAAAGTTGGCATTGGAACACCCTACACAGGTCCCTCAACCCGCGGGAACCTGCAAACCGCGCGGGAAAGCCTCGGTAGAAAGTTATGTTGAATGAAATCAAAAACCCTCAGAGTCAGCATTGGAACACCCTGTAGTGGGCATTCAACCCGGGGGCCTTGGCGAGCCCGCGTGCACCCCTTGGTTTGTAAAAGCCTTGAAAACTTTCAAAAGATTTCAAAGTTTACTTTGGAACACTTTAGACCGGGCAATTACCCCTTATTGACTTTGTTACCCATCGTAAGATCCATGGTTTCAACGTACACGCGAGCCCTGTATAAATTTTCCAAAGTTCATTTTGGAACACCCTGTACTGGATAATTACCCCTTATTTACTTGCACACCCTCGTGGAACCCTTAGGAAAATGTCTCCTTCAAAGTAATGAAATATCCTCAAAGTAAGCATTAGAATACCCTAGCGTGGTCAGTCCTTCCGCGTGAACTTGCGAAACGCGCGTGGAACCCTCGTGGTTGTATATCGCTTTTAAGCTTTTAAATTTTGTTAAAGTTTGCTTTGGAACACCCTATACTGGATAACTATCCCTTATTTCCTTGCAGATGCCGCGTGAAACCGTGGAGCACAATTTATTTGAAACCTCTTAAAACGATTTTGAGGCCCATTTTGGAACACCCTGTACCTTGTAATTACCCCTGATTTACATGCGAACCCATCGTGAAATCGTCGGTTGTAATTTACTTGAAACGCCCCTGAGAAATTTTCATAGTTTGTTTTGGAACACCCTATACTGGGCAACCTACCCTCATGAACCTTGAAACCCCTCGCAAGCCCCACGATGTTAATGTGCTTGAAAGTCTTACTATAAATTTTAAAGGTTTTGTTTTGGAACCTATACTGAGCAATTGACCCTTTAGCACTTGCAAAACCGGCATGAAACTCTTGGGCATATTTTCTTGCCCATAAAAAATTTCCCATTTGAACTTTGGAACACCCTACAATGGGCCATAATCCTTAATTTGCATATGTAATTCCCACGAATTGTACAGCGTAATTTATTGGGAAATAAAAATATAAAAAATTTTAATAGTTAGCTTTGGAGCACCCTGTAGCAGCATCATAGCGCGTGTGATTTTAAGCCGCGGGAAACACATTGGAACGCGCGCGTCTTTGCCGCGACCTCGGGAAAGACGCCCGTGACATTTGAATTGAATTAGTAAAAGAATTGTAAAATTAAATTTGGTTCACCCCATGGTGGTCAGAGATGGCGCGTGCAATTGTATGACACGCGGGAATAAATTGTATGCATATTTTTTTCAATGTAAATGCAAATCAGTAGAAATGTGCTTTGAAAAATCTGAAACATAAAATTAACACGGGCGCGTTGGTGAAAGCAGCGGAAAGTTCACCGTGTCAATTTTATTTTAAAAATTATGCGGACTCTAACTCTTTATGTATTTTCCAACCGCAATCGACCTTAATCGGCCGCGGGTTATGAATTTCGGCTCGGGGGCCACTGGGGGGCCGCCTTGGGCCCGCGGCGATCATTACGTCTCATCGCGAGCGAAAACGCGTGTTAAATCCCATAAGCCGAATTCTTTGCCGAAAAATCGGCAATTCGACCACGGCGGGCTTGTGAGAACCCTCGAAAAATCAGCCTTAAAATTAGCTTCATTTTATTTTTTAAAAATCGAAAATCCGTCCACTAGAACGGCCGCGGCGGCCTCGCGCGTTTGCTTTTTTCCCCCATAAGAATAACACTGGCCGCGAGTTAGCGAAGCGACGGACGAAACTCGGAGGCGCCGCGTGTTAATAAAATTCCTCGGAAAACAGCGATTTATGCATTTTGCATCCGCCGCGGGCGGAATTAGGCCGCCGGGGCCGAATTTCACCTCGTGGGGTCAGCGGGGGTCGTAGGGGGCCTGTGGCGGCCGTTCCGACCCTGTCCGTGCGCAAACCCATGCAAAATCCCTTAAGCCGAGAATTGGCATAAAAATTCTCAAAAAACACCCATTTATGCATTTTACCTCCACCGCCGGCCGATTTCGGCCGCGGGTGACGAATTTCTGCCTGGGGGGCCCCCGGGGGGCCACCTTGGGCCCGCGGCGATCATTACGTCTCGTCCGAAGCAAAAGCGCATGTTAAATCCCATAAGAAAATTTTTTTGCCGAACAATCAGCAATTCGGCCACGGCGGGCGCGGGCGACCACTTGAAAAATCGTCCCAAAAATTAGCTTCATTTTGTTTTTTAAAAATCGAAAATCCGTCCACTAGAACGGCCGCGGCGGCCTCCGGCGTTTGCTTATTTCCCCCATAAGAATAACACAGGCCGCGAGTTAGCGAAGCGACGGACGAAACTCGGAGGCGCCGCGTGTTAATAAAATTCCCCGGAACCCCGCGATTCGTGCTTATTTCATCAGCGGCCGGCCGAATTCGGCCGCGGGTGACGAATTTCGGCCCTGGGACCGCAGGTGGGCCACGGGGGGCCCGCCTCGAGCGACCCAATTCGCGTCGAGCGAAAACCCATGCTAAATCCCATAAGAAAAAAATTTTGCCGAAAAATCGGCAATTCGGCCGCGGCGGGGCCGGGCGACCCCTGGAAAAATCGGCCCAAAAATTAGCTTCATTTTGGTGTGCGAAAAACGAAAATCCGACCACCGGAACGGCCGCGGCGGCCGCCGGCGTCTGCTCGCCCGTTCTCCCATAAGAAAAGCATTGCAAGGTCGTTTTGCATAAATTTCAAAAGCCTAAGGCTTTTTCGCTATGGGAATGCGACCCATGGTCCTATGGTGATTCGGACGCGTCTCGCGAAGGCGCACAGCTGGCTGAATTACTTGGTCAGGATTTTTGACTTTCGCCCATGTGTTTTCTCGAAAAAACCGGTTTTTGCACCCTTCGGAGGGCTGGCAAACCGTCGAAAAAAAATCGCAAGGGTCGAGCGTACCCGGGGCGATTTGGGGCACGAGTGGGGGCAACTCGCCCCGGTTTGTCCCAATAGTTTCCTATTTTTTGTGTCAGCCGTTTTCGCACTTTAATGTAGAAAAAAATGCGATTTTTTGCGATTTTCTCGAAAAACCCTGAATTTAAGGTGGGAAAGAGGGCCCTGAGCGAAGAACGAGCGACGACGTCAAATTAGAGAATTTAATTGCGCGTCGAAGGGTGCTAGTGCCATCGTTCTCGCTTGGATAGGGGCGGAGCAACAATGCGCGAAAGCGAAAAAGACGTATTTGGGCCGCGCGGGCCCGGCGGGGCCTCGATCAAAAATCGGGCGAATACGGGTGGTCGAAATGGGGTTCCCTACCGGGTGATACGGCGCTGCGCGGCAAAACAGTCGAGAAAGAAAAGTGCGACTTGGTATTATAGTGTTAGAAAAAAAAGTTTGCCGTTTTCCTGCAAAAAAGCATAAAAGTTAGTAGGCGCCGCATGGTGGTGCTTTGAGCAACTATAAAATTGCGATGTTGCTGCACTTGCTGCAGCAGCAGTGAAGAGTGAAGCAAACAAAAATGGCGAGCTTGGCAGCCGCGGCTCTGCTGGACGAGCTAATGGGCAGGAACAGAAACATCCTGCCCGATGATGTCCAGAACAAAATCAGCTGGGATGATCCTGACGTAAGTGTCCACTGTCCGAGCCTCTAAACGAGCTCCTGAACCGAGCCGATCGCCCAATTTCAGATATGCAAGTTGCACCTCGTCAAGTTGTGTCCACACGAGTTGTTTGTAAATACGCGAGCCGATCTGGGCCCGTGTCCGAAAATCCATGACGACGAGATGCGGAAGGAGTACGCAAAGCAGTCGACCTACCGGAAACAGCAGTACGAGGACGAGTTCATCCGCTTCTGTCAGGGAATGCTGAACGAAGTTGAGAGGAAAATAGCCAAGGGCAAAGTTCGCCTTGCCCTTAGCGGACGTTCGGCTGAAGCTATTGAGGTAAATAAAATGACTTTAAATTTAAATTATTTCATTATTTAACATATATTTTATAGGCTCCTGAAAACGAAAAGGCCGAAACAGAGGAAATTCGCGAATTGACGGACAAAATCAACGGACTGGTCGAAGAGGCTGAGAAGTCTGGGATAATGGGCAATGTGGATGAGGCTCAAGAGTGCATGCGTCAGTGCGATGAAATCAGAGAGCAGCGCGAGCAACTCCGCAGACAGAACGGCTATTCTTGGACAAACGAACTTGCTCAAGCTCAGGAAAAGCAGATGGAGGTGTGCGAAACGTGCGGTGCTTTCTTGATCGTTGGGGACGCCCAGCAACGAATTGATGATCACTTGCAGGGCAAGCAGCACATGGGCTACGCCAGGCTTAAGGAAGCTGTTGATGAAATCTTGGTATTTTGAACATGAAAAGGTCCTATTTGAAAATAATTAAAAGTTTTACAGGATATTAGAAAGAAGGCAAAAGAGGAGCGGGAGAAAAGGCGAGAAGACGAACGGAAAGAGAGGGTGCGGGCTCAGAAAGCAGAAGAAAAGTTGAGGGAAGCAGAAAGAGAAGTGCGGAGAATGGGTCGGGGAGGCAAAGATGAAGAAGAACCCCCCAGACACACCAACAGAAAACCCAAGCAGGGAAAACACAGATCTCGTTCAAGGTCTCGAAGCCCTCATTTTAAAGGCAATCGCAGGGAAGCTGGCAGAGATCACGATCGGCATGAAAAACCAAGGTTAGCATAGAATCTGTATGCCATAGACAGATTGATTTACCGTTTTGTTTCAAACAGACATGCTAGAAGAAGTCCAGAACACCGAAGGGACTACCGAGAGGAAAGGAATCGCAACGACAGAAGTATTAAGTCTTTAGTAATGGATGATAGTTTGTTATTGTATTATTTTTTAAATTTCAGATGGTGGTAGGAGTTACAAAGACTCCAGTCGAAGGGGTTCCTAGGTTGTCTAAATACAAGTTAGTCAAAGCTGGAGCTCGAGGTAAGTGGAGACGGTCAAAAAAAGTAGCTTTAAAAAATCAGGAACTTGTTCCCTGAGCATGCTTTTAATTATTCCAATCAAAAAGTTGCCATGCAGGTATGTGGCGACTCTTTTAACGAAAGGGTTGAATTTGGAAAATGTTCATGTTGAATCTATCTATCACTTTGCTATTGCTTTTGTTTTGATTTTCCAAATGTAAAAAATATAAATTGTGGTGGACAATTAGAACACAGCTATGCGAGTCAAGCGAGCATCACGTCAGTTGTTGCCAACAAATGAGCCTGTCCATTACAGTGGAACCAGCAATATAGTCTGCTGCTACAATAACCCTCAGGTGACCCAGTTCTAGATAGACAACAGTATCGAACCTGTTGCTATTGGCAATTATATAGGGATTGTTCACATAAAAATTTATTTGAGGAATCCTATCATAAATAAGCGTTTATTTTAAATTGGTGGTTGTTTTTAGCTAATGAATTAATTAACTCCCGGGATTTTTGGAAAACATTAAGTAAGAAATATTAAGAGAGATGCATTTATGTGCCTTTCAATTTCATTGCATAAGAAATTACAGATAAGAAAGGGGAATTTCAAACTGCATGTTACTTTATAAGTAAAATATTTTGTGACAGCCAATTTTGAATTTCTTGACTACATGAAAACATCAAATGCTTATTCGAAGACTGACATCTAAATTTTGTTTTCAGTGCGTTTCAAAAATGCGTTACGAAGCTCATCTCCTGGGTTTGATTGATGACTGATGACATGATATATCATCTGCTCTTGGAACACCACACAAGGTGACTTAATTTTAATGGCCTCTGCATTCCTAATTTCCCTTGTTGTAATTATTTCTCTCTCACGCCCACTAAATGTTTTAAATTATTTCCAAAATTTATCGCTCCTTTCTGAAGAAGTTGACACCCTTATATTATGAGGTTTTAATGTATGGAGTGCTATTATCTTGTTAAAAAGTGGGCTATAATAATTTGCCATTATTATCATGTATTTTGTTGCTTTCTAACAAAAAAAAAAAAAAAAAAAAAAATTGTGGTAAGTGCTCAAATCCCAGAGAATCCATCAATCAGTGCATGTTGAAGTATGTAAAGTAGTAATAAAGTTTTATTTGTTAATTATAAAGTCTGTCGAGCTCGCAGACAAAGTGAGAGTTTACAGCATCCTGGCTAATGAACTGCCAGTAAAAGTTGAACATAAAATTATGCATTTAGCATTTTAACAACAAAAAAGTGTATGACAGTTGATTGAACAAATAAATAAGAAAAAATAGCCACTGGTGACTTTTATTAAATTCTATGTATACATTATTATATAATATATACCATATAATCCAGCTTGTCAAAGGAAAGGGTTATAATGTTTGCATAAGTGGCAACACCGCATTGCGTACAGTTGTCATGTCAGTAGCTAGGCAGATGGCAGACAACACAAAAGTTAAAGCATTGAAGTTCATTATTTGTGATTCAACACTTGAGTTAACATTTTTTCGATAATGGATATGTTAACGAGAGACTTAGCAAATGACTATGCAGAATATGTCAAAGTTGATATGAATGAAGAAGTAATATATATTTAAAATCTTTTTCTTTATCTTGCTTATTAAACAAAATATTTTCTTGCGTATAGTTGAAAGTAGTCGGTGAAACTGTGGAAGATATGCTCACAAGGCTTGAAGAATTTGGAAGCTTATTAGAAGGGGTAATAAATATTTCTTTGAGAAGTATATGTTGCTCATTAAGCCTTTTTGCAATTTAAGGTTCATAATGGAGGAACTAGCAGTCTATTGCACTTAGGACCCGAAATACAAATTAGCTGCCAGGCACTAGATGGAGTTTTCAAAAAGATCGACCAAATTGAAAAGCTAGTGACCAGAGTTAAAAAAGATGTCAGTACAATGGAAGCGCATTTAGATTCCGCTGAAGCAAAGTGTGGTCTTGCCTCTTCTGACCTCCGAAGCTTCTTCAAACCATTATTCTCAGTAATATTTGAAAAACCTCTGTAATTCAAAATGTAATCTCAGTATTATTGCTTCAGAAAAATAACCCTGCGGCATTCCCTGAGGCCAACTACTCTGTCTATGAGCCACCAGAAATATTCAAAACTTCAGATTTTTTCCCTTCAAGTGAAGAGCAAGGCGGAAAAAATTGAAATAATAATGATTGTGATAGTTACATTTAATAAAACTTTGGGGAATTGGTTGAAATAAAACTTATCGGCCACTATCATCAGAATTTATAGATATATATTTAAGTTTTATTGTTATTTACATTTGGAACGTCTCAATCCAATGACAAAAAAATTTGTTAGCTTTTCGCAGCTTCATTATAATATGTACAACAATGTGAGCTCATTGTGCCAGTTAAAGAAAACTGGATCAGTAAAAGTCAGCGCAAAAATATTCTGAAAAAATGATTATCCTTGATTGATTTATGACATAAAGCATGTTGCAGGACACAGCATCAATATACAGCATATGGTAAACCAATAAGACGTTAAGTGAAAATTGAACGATTCAGTTTTGTATTATAGTTACATTAAACAACATTGTTGACTCACTTATCTTCTTTGAGGAGCAGAATGCTGTTGTAAATTTTGACAGCTTGGCCAATTTTGAACCCAAGCAAATCCACAAGGTCAGATTGACTGAGCATTAGGAAGGCATTTCCGTTGATATTCTAAGAAAAAATTAGATATTTATGAACAAATAGAGACTAAAAGTATAATTAAATATTACCTCATCAATAAATATTTTAGTCTTGTCTTTTGCTCCTATAACTTGCTCGGTAAATGACGATACCTTTTCTGGTGACCATTTCTTGACGCTATCGGCCTTTGTATCAAATTTGCCATCAATGCTGCTCCAGTTGACAAGTTTTGAATGTGTAGCCCGGGAGACTGGCATGCTCTTTACAGAAGGTGCATATCCAGGCCTGAACACAGAGTCATGCACATCGGATCGAACAGAGGCGCTCATGGGCTTGGTGACGACAAGCTCGATGCCTCTAATCTTCCTTCTCCTAATTTGCGGAACTTCAATCTGGGGGTCCTCGTTCTCGATTGTTGCCTCATCCTCCTCTGGCATTTCTTCTTCCTCTTCCTCCTCCTCCATTTTTGACTCTACTTTTTCTTCCAGTTGCTTCTGTTTACAGTCTTTGTATCTGCAAAGTCTAGCCTTGGCCAAATTTGATGTCGACAATGGACAAGATCCCATGTGAGGTAGAACAAATTGGCTGTTTTTCAGAAGGGCTCGGCACCCTTGGGTATAACACTGGTATTCAACACCTGGCACTAGTTAAGTTAAAGTTTATTTATCATTTATTTTCATCTGAGCAAGTTTATTACCAGGCGGTGGGCCAAGAGGGTGCCCTGTTTTGTTGCACCAGCCCATCGGATGTATGTCAGGGGAATCGCAGTCCATCCACGTAGATGTCTCCAAAGGCCAGTTATCAAAACCTATGTGTAATCTGCTATTCTTCACTTCAAGAATTGATCCAACCCTGCAAAGTCTAAATAAGCAATGAATTCAACAAAACATTCCTTTTTCCAACCTTATTAATTGAGGGAATCTTGGGTCAACACACTCCAGTTTCATTCCCTTTTTAAAACCAGGGCAAGTTTTTGGCTTAAAAGCCCTGATTGGAACAGCTTGAGATTTTGTCTCTTGCAAATAATCATCCCAGCTGAAGTCCTTCATGCCTGCAAAAGAAATATTAAATCTTGCATTAAGCAATATAAAGAAAAATGAACCTTTTGGAGGCAACAATTCCACTCCCACAGAATCACACCAACCTACAGGGTGGATGTATGGGGATGATGGGTCAGCCCAGTAGTCATAAGTATCATCCCAAAGATCAAAATGGATAAGAATGCGGCCACCCAAAATGTCTGTCACTGTCGCAACACAAACTAGTTCATGATTGGATTTGTCAAGGGCTTCAAGCTTCATCCCAACTCTGAATCCACTGGGTCCCAACGCCTGAAATTTTTCGGTAAAAAAAAAATTCGAGTTTTATAGGACATTGATTTTTACATTTTTGCTAGTTTGACGGTGGACAAATAAGTTTCTTGGCGCCAGGGGAGCATTGGTTACTTTCAAATAATGCGCCCAGGTAAATTTCTTTGCAAAAGCCTTGGGTGGCGTCAATTTTCTCCCAATCTTTTCGCAATGTCCTGCAGGAAAAATGTCCTTGCTGTCAGCATTGACCCAGTAATCATTGGCGTCATTAGAACCATCCATGTGAAGCTTTACCCGGAATCCTAAAATACGGAATTTATTTATGCTATTATTTAACACACTCATTTGCGTACCTTTTGTGGCAACCACTGACAGAACAACAAACTGAGATGGAATGCGAGGATCGATGCCTTCCAGTTTCATTCCAGGCTTAAAACCATTGGCCCTGTCTGGAAATCCACCCTCTTCAAATAGCTTAGCTGGAGCTGCTCTAGTCTTGGTAAATTCCAGGTACTTGGGCCACAAGAAGTTAGGAGTTCGGTCAGTGTTAAAATTAATCCACGGCATATCATTCGGATATCCCTTTTAAAAAAACTTTTACATTACAAAGTTTCATTTTGAAGCACTTTTACCTCGTTGTTTCTTGGATCTTCTTCAGGGTCACTGATTGGAGTAGCTGATGAAGACGGTGCAGGCGAACTTGGTTCAGTGTTTGGTTTGCTATCTCCAAGTACACTATCTGACGTTGGAGTTTCTTCAGGATCTGGCGAATCAGGACAGGGCAAAGCCTCACTGGTTCCCTCTTCTGAGCCAATTGCAGAAAATGTCCACTTTGATGTGTCCAGCATCTGAAGTTGTACCTCAGCCGCTTCTGCACGCTTTTTTTCAAGTTTTTCCAACTCTTCTTGTTCTTTCTTTTTGCGAATAGCAGCTTTGCGCTTTTCAAATTTATCAGAGCATGTTGAACTGCAAAACCTAGGATTGAAATAATTATATATAATAATGATTTTTTTTTTTGCTTATTTAACTCTATCAATACAAACCTTTTCTTTATAAACTCGGATGCCAACCCATAGCAGCCACACTGCTCACAACAACAGGTGTCCAATGAGCTCACTTTTTCTTTTCTGGACCTCTTTTTGGGCACAGTTTCACCTGCAGAAACATATTACTAGCATTTCAAAAGGCTTAAAATTACAAAAAAAATATATACCGTCTGCGTCTGATTTGGTTTTGTTATGGATGAAGGGAATATTTTCACACTTTTTTAGCAAATCTTCTGTGTCCAGCTCCATGTCAGAATCCTCAGACTCCTCAACCAATTCCATGAGACCAAGCTCATTTACTCGGAACTATAAAAGGATTTTTTTAATTCACGAACCATGCACGTCGAAAAATTACCTTTAAATTGCTTCCAGGCAAAACGCCAACACCATCTCGCCACTCAAGAAGATTGGCTGGGTCAAAGTCTTCTATGGCAGGCTTAATGAGGCTCTCGTCAATTTTTGTTGCAATTTTAGCACCAGTTTTTTTGTCGCGTACAAATTTTTGTTTTCTCTTTTTATTTGCTTCCACAATCTTTTCTTCTGCATCCATTCTCCTCAGCTCTTCCTGAAGTTTCTCCTTAAGCATTGCTTGAGTGGGTTTATCAGTCTTTCTGGAGCCTAAAATGCTAGGTCTCTTGAACTGCCTAGGAGGAGGCTTCGGTTTTTCTTCATCAGTTTTCTTGTCTCCTTTATCATCGGAATCATTTTCACTTTCAGCTTCGTCTTTCTTCAGTTCCTGGCTTTGGCGGGTCTGGTCACATTGGCCAGCGCCCTCAGAAATGTCTTGCTCCAAAAGCTCTGTCATTTCTTCCATTTTTTCATCCGACTCTAAAACAATGCCCTTGGCCTCATCATTCTGCTTTTCTCCTGCAGAAACCTCTTGCTTTTTCTCTTCACCTTCAACACTCTCGTTTGCTTCTGTGTCTGTAGGACCTTTAAAAGTAATTAGATTCGGGAACTCGTTCACGATGGCCATGTAGCTTCCGTCGCTCATTTTTTTGTATGTGACATTAGCTGGATCCACGCTTCCAGTTGGCAATTTGAATTCAATGGAGGGCTTTGCTGTGGCATTACTTGCGTCTTTTCCCTTTTCAGCCGTGTCAACCATTTCACCTCCTGCTAAGGGCTGCATTTTCTTTGCTTGCTGTCCAGGAGAGATCTTGCTCAGTTGATTCATAACCTGCTGAGCAATTTGCACAATCGAGTTGCCTTGCGCTGCCGGAGAGTCTTTAGTCACTACAAAAGATAATCTTAAATTAAAAATATATTTGAGACAAATAATAAATTTTCTACCTTTTCTTGAAAATGTCAAGACATTCGTTGCTGGAACAGTAGTGGTGGTCTTAGTGGTTGAAGATGCAGAAGGTGTGATGCTGATTTTTGCTCCAGCAGGTGCACCTGTTGTCACGACTTTGACAGCACTTTGGCCTGTAGGTAAGATGTAAAATATTTATCATTAGCCAAGAAATTTAATATTACCACCACTCCCAAGCGGGGTCAAAACTCCAAGCAGGGTGCTTGATCCCTGTGCATTCCTTGAGCCAGTGTTGATAATAAGATTTTGGAAAGTCTGTGAACCAGAAGAAATAGTCCCTCCTGCCTGTGTTGTTGGTACAATATGGGCAATGGTAGAGGTTCCGTCTGGTTTGGGGATCAGAAATGCAGGGACCAGCATTCGCGATGCTGCCTAGAAAGTATTAAAAATGTTTTTTCAGTCAAATAAAATTCTCAAGTAAAAAATATTTAATGTTAATAAAAGAAAAATTCATAAAATAAAATGACACATGTCGGCATAAAAAAAATGACAACATTTTTCTTCCACAAAGACACACAAAGACAAATAAATTTTTAGATTAAATAATGAAAATAAGGATTTTGCGTACTGCATTGCTTGGAATTGTAATGTTTGTTGACAGGCTACTTGAGTCAGTGGTTGATGTTGATGTGGAGGCAGAAGAGGCTGCCGTTGTTATAGCAGCTGCCTTATTGGTACTTGGAGAGTAAACTTTAATGATGTTTGGTTGTGTTGAGCTCATCTGCAAAGACAGAATATTATATTTAGAAAACAATATAATTGCTCGTTATTTGCCAAAGCATGGAAACAAAAAAATAATACAATGTCGAGACAGTGTCGAACCCTTAAAAGGTGTTAAAAAGGTGGGGCTTTTTAAAAAAATGGCATAAAATTGTTCACTTCCAAAATTTTATAATGCATCGATTAAATTGAGAATAAATACAGTAATATCTGTGAATTAATATTCCTGCTTTTCATCATTTATAATACTTTGTAATATATAGCTACAGGTAATTTTTGAAAAACGATATTTATTTATTTATTTATTTTTTTTTTTGGGTCAAGCCTCAAGCCAAGACAAAGTGTTTTATCGGCCTGTGCGCTTATTGAGCTTGCGGAAGGCACGCTCCAAATGGATTCATTTTGGATGAATTCATCACATTTGCAGAATAACTTTGTACCCTACTAAAAAAAATATTGAATTTGGCAGGGGAAATTGAAAATTTACCATATTATTTTAAGGTGTGGATTACACAAGAAAGTTGGTATTACCAGAAAGTCTAAGTTGCTAGAAACTTTGACGTCAGAATAAGATATAAAGTGCTTATTTCACACAAAAATGATTTATTACAATACAAAGCAGATTGGGTTGGGGAAAAAATATGTTTTTATTTTCCTGAAATCCTGAGCTAATTATTCTCCTACAATATTTGCAAAATAATATCTTACAATAATATAAAGTGTACTTAAATAAGAACGATTATGTATTGATTTTACTTTATTTTGAGACTTCAGGATTATTTATTGTGATTTATTGTAAAAGGGAATATTTATTTAGTTAGAACTTTAAAAGATCAGCATGAAGTTGTGAAATGCAAATTTGACAAATTCCGAGGACGAAAAGAGAACATGCAGCTTGTTCCCTTCAAGCTGCACAAATACACACTTATTGAACACTTCATCAAACTGTGTGCGCTACAATTTAAAAAAATGCAACGGGCAGAACGGAAGGCTGGTTTGGAATTTCTGATGTGAAATAATTGAGAAAAAGAAGTATAACACAACCGTCACAAGTGACATGCAAAATGTTTGTCGAATGAGAGAACCCCGGTGTGTGCTTATACGTTTTAGCTGATCTTGTACTAACGTCGCAACTTATTTTAATCTATTCTTTCGAAAAAGGCACGATTTCAGCACTGCGTAATTGCGGCGACGAAACTAATGTCAAGCAAATCAAACTCACTCGTGATTTTGCACCAGTGCAAAAGAAACCTGGGCAATAATTCGGTGATCAGGGCAATTGATTTGAGCGCCTCAAAGGCAGGCGGGTCGACTTATCACGAGGAGGGCTTGTATGGCAAAACAAGCGAGCGAGCGGCCGGAATTGAAAGCCACGCCGCCAAGCCCTCCAAAAAAGTTCACTCGTCAACATAAATATCTCTTTTTTTGCAACACAGATATAATAAAAAAAATAAAAAAACATTATATTTTATATTCTGCGTAAAGAAATAACCTGGAGTAATGAAAAATATATTTTAATGAAAATTTAAAAGGGTAGATTTTTAAAATTATAAAATTAAAAAGAAACAAAAAGATTCTACTGAAGATAAAACGTGGCCTCCAATGAAACTATTAATGGTTGATCAACACAACATATGAGTGGGGATCTTGAATGTAAATATTAACTGAACTATAAATTCAGGGTTCGTAATTTATTAATAAAAATATGAAAATCTTTAAACTTCTAAAAAAAAATGTTACACAATACTATTTTTGCAATCTTTTTAAATTTTGCATTTTTTCCATTCAATAAGTTTCAAAGTCGTCATTATACTGCCTTTTAAGCTGCAGGATATAAATTTTGAATTTTTTTATCCTATTTTCGGAAAATTTCGCTTTCCAATGCAAAAGAACTGTAGTTCCAATGAGGTCAAATTTATTTTTCTGGAAACGGCGCTTGAATAAAAAGTTGGCGACGGGGGCGTTCAAATGTGAGCGACACCACCATCGCTTGAAAACGGCGCGAATTTTGATGAAAACAACAAATATGAACCAATTTTAGTTGAATTCTTGTCCTTAAACGCCAAAAACCTCGGAGTTACATAACTATTTTGATAAAATGGACTGTATAAGTGTCAATGAATTTTTCATGAAAGCGTAAATCAGCAATTCGGAAACGCTGGAACGAGTTTCGTACAACACACTTGAAACTGTAAACTTTTGTAACAAGTGCAACGCGATTCTTTTTCTTCAAATTTTCAAACGTTTCCAAGCCCGTTTCCAAAGGTTTATAAGTCTTCAAGCAATTTTTATGAGAATGAATACCATTTCAGTTGTGATCAGCGTAAGAGTAATAGGCGGAATTGCAAAATTGTGAAAGACTACCGAACACAGGAGTCGTAGCGTTTGGCTTAGATTTTTTAGCATTTCTCCGGCTGAGCGAAAGAAGCGGCCCGAGCAGAATCAAACAGACAAAAGTTCGACAAATCTGTGACGTGAAAAGTGCAAATGGGATGGTGGAATCCACCAAATTGGGTTGCTTTTTATGAAAATATTACCTTGATGCCTAATACATTCGCAGACTTGCAGGCAGATCGAGTGCTGCTACCATCGGCGGTGAGTGGGTCCACCAAGATGAGAGCCAATCAGAACGCGACTTTCATCTACCCGCTGCCGAGCAGCGCCTCTGCCGCAGAGTGGTCGGTTGCGAACTAAAATATTTACAGTGTTGCCGTTTCCCACGCCCGCCTCGCGCCTTCTCGCCTTGTTTTTGTTTGCGTTCTTGAGATTTGCAAAACACACCAGACACTAGCAGAGCAGATGTAAAATTGGAGTAAAAGTCTTGGTATCTCTTGGAAAATTTGCCCAGGATTGTTCCCATGAAGTTAACTGAGGAACACAACAACGTAAGAGGTGACTGGAAATTTTTTCATGTAGCACAATCGGGCCGAATCGGTTCAAAATAATTAAAAAATCTAGCTTTAAATTTAACTTTTCATTTTCTGAAGATTTTTACAGCTTTTATAAGACCTCAGAAATATTATACAAAAAATCTTGTTCTCGATGGGATCAAAATTCAATTAATTTCTTCTAAACTTGCGTTATCCTTTTTTTAGGAAAAAATGAATGAAGAAGAAGTAGTTGAGCGCTTGCACAAGTACAAAGAGGCAATCAAGCAGGATGTCCTCTTCATCAATATCGCTGACAAACTTATTACCCATAAGTTACTTGACAGAGACGAGTATTACCTTCTGAAAGAAATTCCCGAAAATGCACTACGTATGGAGAAATACCTGAATGACGTGTTGCCGAAAAAATTAGACGGATTTGGATACGCGTCTGCTTTTTCACATGTGCTTCGTATGACGGAGCCTCTGTGGCTTGCTGAAAAAATCAGGCCCCTTACACCTGACCCTCAATCGGCTAAGAAAGCCAGCAAAAGAAGGATTTCCAAATCAACATCACCGAGGAACCAATCTACGAGGAAAGACCAAGAGTCTCCCTCTTCATCGGGCGATGAGGTCGACGCTGTTAAGATTTGTCGATCAGAAACACCCAAGGAATCTGCTGCGGCCGGCAAAATAAACAACAATGATCAAGTTGAAGACAGAAGCAAATATTTGCAACTTGGTAATTCATGTTCAGCATAATATATCAGATTCAGGAAAAAACTAATTTTTTATTTGTATTTTTGCAGAAATCTCAAAGGAAATGATTGATGTAGTTAGCAACGACATTTATGTAATCCAAAAGTGGTGCTCCCTAGTACACGCCCTGGATATGGATAGCGACATGGCCTCTCTTCGCGTGAAAATGTTTTTAAATCCAGATGGAATAGATTACGTCATTGCTTCACTTATCAAAAGTTGGATTGGAAAAAATCCTAAGACAGCAAATTTGGGTTCATTGATTGATGCGCTAAGGAACGCAAGATTCAACTACGCTGCTTGTAAATACTATTAAATTTTTCTAATGGAAGTTTCCTGATCTTAAACTTTTCTTTTCAGGCCAGCTTGAGGAAACATTTATGACAACATTGTCATCATAGCCGCAGTAAATCGGCAAAGCCAACACACATCACCTTAAAATTACTCTCAGAATGGTCCAATATGCTTAATCTTGCCCCTATTGGGTGCTCAATTTTTTTATGTCACACCATAATTTCTCTACGTAACACTTTGTGTTGGTGCATCACCAGATCTCCACGAAACGTATTTTTATGATTTTTTTTATAATTTTCAGTTTTATTGTTAGTGTCCATGTGCAAGCTTATTCCTGGAGTTTAATTTTGTGCAATTTTCAAAGTGATTAAATAGTGTAATCCAAAACTTGACCGTATTAGCATTAGCATCTCCAAATAAATAATTAATGACAGGTCTGGATTTGCTATCGCCCATACAGGCCCTAGCCCAATTAAACACAAGTCTATGGTGAAACGATGTATTCAAATGTATGTAGACTACATTGCTGAAATAGGCTGCACTTTCTTAACAATATTGCATAGCAGTTGCACAGTGGGTGGATTAGCAGTTGTCCGCGCCTGACACTACATTTAATTTGATTAAAAAAATTTAAAATTGACAAATTTTTTTCCATTTGGAGTGGATTGCAAATGCAAATATTTGAAATTTCATTATTGTTCATTATTAAGTTTTACCCTTATCTCATCCATAGTTCATAAAAAAGTATTCACCTACAAGGCAAATTGCTAAAACTAGAACACCTGCTTGATAACTATTTAATTTTCACCTCGTAAGATTTTATTTACTTGATAGTGCACCATGAACAGTTTTATCAACTTGGTTATCTCAATTTGCATTTTTGTGAGGAATCGCATTATACTTGTGTGTTCCTCAAAAATATAGGAGTTAAGATCTTATTCATAGTTATTCCATACCACACCTGTTATGCTAGAAATAATAAATGGTTGAAAGTAATATGTTGAAGTCAAGAATTAAGTTTGGCTTGCCAGGACACCTCTTGCTATGTAAGTTCCAGGTAATTTCTTTGTAAGAATAGAACAAATAAAGATTAAAAATCACTCACTAAACAATATTTGATCCTTTTTTATCCAAATAACCCACTATGGTTTTAGCTTGTTGAATCATCCTAGGAATTATAAGAGCTGGGTTAGACATCATCTCAAAGGACTTAGACAAACAGGTGATTGCAACGAGGGTAGATCAAATGCGATCATATTAAGCTTAAAAATAGTTCCCACCCACAGCTACAAGTTATATGATTTCAAAGGTCTTTCATTGCAAGGACCCATTCAGTTTCAAAGGTGGTTCAACAAAGACAAATTTTTTTGAGGGTCTGAAAATATCAACACTTTAAAAAAATTTGAAGTTGCGAGCACTATGATAACTGCTTTTTTTCGTAAAAGATAATAGCCATCATAAATTTTTTAATCGCATCTAAATTCCATTTATTTAGAGATTTCCTTTGTTTCTTAATTTGCATGACATGAAATTAATACAACTACGCTTTGCTAAATGCGCTAAATGAAACAATGGTATCTTGTTCAAATTTACTTATTCTTTATTTAATGAAGGTTTCCACAAATGAAAAATAAAAAAATTGCAATTTCAAGTGACATGATAAACAAAGAAATTGAGACAAAATAAAAATTGTACATGATTACAAACACCTACTCCAGCCGGCGTTTTGTAAAAAGAATCCATTATTCAGCATTATAGAGTTGTGTGTAAATGTACTTTGGAGACTTACATATAAAGCATTTTGCAATTTTCACACATTGGAACAAAATCCTCATTCTTTAATAATTGTGTAGCATGTGCGCAATATTTTAGAGAGCCCAGTGTTAAGGCACAGCCCTAAAAGCTTTCCATAGTCGCCTGCACCTTGAGCAATTTGCAAAAAAAGATTTAGGATTGGCAACATGAAGGTTATTTCATTAAAAAAGACATAATATTGCAAAGTATAAATACAAGAACGTGCAATTTTTTACACCTAGAGTAATAATATTTCCTTTACAGAGAGATGTCGGAGACAAAGTACATTACACTTGGTACAAGTAATCATTTCCAATGACCTGTTACAATCAGCATGAGCATTTATTACAAAACTGCATTATTAATTGGATTTTAATAAAAATCTTTTTGGCGTCAAATACTGCATGGATTTTGCTAAAACCTAGGCCAATTAAGAATTGGTCCAAGCAAAATAAAGGTTAAAATAGAACGGTTTGCTTTGAAAAAATCGCATCTAAAAACTGCTGTACGGAATTTTTGTCACATTAGTTTAAATTCAGTCTAGCTCATATTTCAGCGAACGAAATAAAGCTATAGTAACAAGTCAAGGGATCGTATCATTTTTAAATAAGGACAAAGGGAATCAATTTGTTATTTCAAACTTATTCTTCCCTATATACTCATTAAAATAGAAAATTGAAATAAAAATTAAAAGGAAATTGATAAAATATGATAGAGAGGTCCAATATTTAATATTTGTATGACTCAAATTTTAGATTCACAAATAGTATTCAATTAATACTACAAGTTTCATATCAAACACCATTTTTTTTCACAATTTGGTACCTAAAGGCAAGCCAAGGCAGATGTGATGCAAAAATAATAATAAAGGCTGTTGCCTACTTTTCAAAAAAATTAGTTTTTATATTTTCAATAATGATCAGATAATAATAAAATAAATGAATATAATGGTGAAGAAGTGATGATTAGCAAATTACGTAAAATTCGGGAGGACAGTAAAGACGTTTGGCGACGCGGCTAATGAAAATGACTTACAATTAAGTCGGGATTTAGCAAAAAGACAATGATGAAGTTTACTCTTCATCCTCCCCTTCATCCTCCTCCTCTGCTTCTTCGTCCTTGTCTTTTTCCGCTGGCGCTTCTGTTGAATCGGCCTGTAAAATGTTCAACAAGTCAGTGCCAAGATTTGCGCAATATTTAATCACACGCTGCCCTTAATAATGAATGCAAAAAGAAATTTGTTACGAACTTTGTAAGGAAACAAAGTTCAATGCCATAAGAAGACTAATACCAAAATAATAAACCAGCTTTCTGGTTGCATCCTATTTCTCCTCAGACGCAACAATTTTTTATTATTATTTTTAATATGATATTATAAATAAGTAAATTTCCTGTTTAACAGAACAAGTTAAAAAAAATCACACCTTTCACTAGAACATTCAGCAGCTCTCTTTTCAACAAAAGATCAAAAACAAAACATCTATTTGTAAAGTAACAATACAGGTCTGCTATATATTCCAAGGATTTAAAATCGCATTTGTCGTGTGATTAATAGTCCAATCACTCCCAGACGCCCTTTTGGCACAGGAGCAACTGGCAAGTAAGAGTATTTTCTAGATGCTGAATGGACAGAATCTTTTCGGCACAATTTTTAATGAAAACACTCACCTGATCAGGTTTTGTTTCCTCGCTTGCTTCAGCTACGGCAGTCTTAAAGTTCACGGGCACTGGAATCTCAATGTCTCTGTCAATTGATGCCTATGGGAAAAATTAATATTCTGAAACCCTTAAATTTAAAATGGAGCAAGCAAAAACGTACCTCTCGGCTTCCAGCCACTCCATTTACTGTGCCGTTTGTGCCCTCCTTCTTTGCCGCTTTAGCAGGGTCAACAGGAACTTTCAGGAATTTTTCCAACTCATCGATTTCATTGCTCAAATCAAAGTCATCGTAATCCTGAAAACAAAGCATAATGGGGGAGTAAAATAACAAAAATATAAATTATTTTCATAAAACACTTGAATTAATAAAGTAACAACCCATTACACTGTCCTAAAATGATAAAATAAGAGGGTAATAACCTTAGTTTAATTTCTGGCTAAAATGTCAAGCAGAGAATAAAAATATTCAAATATAATAATCTGCGCTGCAAAGAAGGTTTTGGATGTTTCCACAAATAAGTTTTTATTTTTATTAACTAGCATGAAATAAAGCGTTAAGTAGTCTAATTTAAGTTGTTGCACAAGAGGAGCTTATTCATATAATTATACAATTTACAGTGTATAATATATTGCTAAAACGTAACGACGAAAATACTCAGCCAACAAAGTGCATGTATATATTTGTCTAATGCTACAAATGTAACGTATGAATTGTATAGCAATGAGACATGAGACACTCATTATTCTTATTTATAACACACTTTGATCTAAATAAAAATAAAAAGTTGATTAGACGTCAAAACGTAAGTTTAGCCCATCAGTAAATCAATAGACAAAATTAGCATTACAACAGATCTAATAATTAAATAGAATTAAATCATCACATTTTTTAGTCTGATCAAAACAAATTTTGTTTGTTCTTTTCTTGTTGCTATACGAGCTGAAGCACAAAATAAGGAAAGTCGCTGAGGCTTGAAAAACTGATTCACGAAGTTGCGCAAAAAAATTATATTGATTCATGCAGAGCCTGACGCCTGACCGCCTAATGGTAAGTTTTGCAACTTTATCTTATCGTTCAATTGTATAAACAATCTAGAAGCACCGACGCCTCGTAAAAATACTTATTTTAGCAACGAAAGTTTTTTGCGTTTCATTCAATGGCATTTTTAAAAAGTTTTTTTTAAAAAAAAAAAAAAAATTAGAAAAATAAATTTTTGTAATTTAATTCTAAATGAAAAGTAATTGCTTGTCTTAATAAAATTAAAAGACAAAAGACGACAGAAAGTAAAATTCAAGCTTTCTCTTTTGAAGAATCTCCTTATATGGCAAAAAAATTTAGCGCACACCAATTCATCTCATGTCAATAAACTGGTTAGTGTGCGGCCCGCACCGAGCACACACCGTGCATTAATGCACATCAAATTAGTTCAACCACTGCTCGGCTCAATGAGCCACACAGAGGAAACGAACGACTCGGAGCGACTGGCAAGAGGGAAGTGGGTGTGGCCCTCTCCCTTTGCTAGAAAAAGTACAAAAAATTGCCAATTTAAACAACTGACCCCACAGTACTCCTCGTCGTTGAAAATCTGGGGTGGCAGAGGGTGGCGATCGTTGTCTCTGTTCTTGCTGTTTTTCTGCATGAACTCTTTGTCCCCTTCCTTGCCCGGCTCTGTGATGTCCACGGCTTCGTAACTTATGCCTTTGCTCTCGAGGATCATCTGCACTCGTTGCTGGCGTTTTTTCACCTGCCACAAACACGAAATAAAATTTTTATTACAAAATCTGTATTCATATAGAACTATTTAAAATGACAAATTTTTTTATAATTATGTGCATACATAGTTGTTTTAATTTCTACAGATCAGAAAGTTGATTGCTTTAAAGACCCTAGTTGTCTGCTTGTTTCCCCATCAGTTATTTACTCAAACGAGTAGTCACGTCGTCAGCTTTTAGACAGCATTTGACTTAATTGGTCTGCAAGGTCAAGGTCATCGACGAATTGACAAATGCACCAAAACAAACTATGCATCAGAATTTTTTACAATGAACTTTATGAACTCTCCCTGTTCCGATTTGTTTTTAACTTCTATTAAAGAGCATTCCCGTTGAACCAATTTTCTTGGCCAGGGCATGAGACATGGCGAAGAGTAGGGAATAATTAGCACTACGGCATAATTTGCGAGAAAATTCGACTTTCAACGCGGCGGCACTGAGCATGTGCTTGTCGCCGAACAGACATTTCGGACTCTATTGTGTTAGCAAGCGAGACGAGATCCCAAGAGAAGAGAGAGTCGGCCCGGAATGCAGTTCGTTTGGTTAGCGGAGTTCAGGGCGCTTACCTCTTTGTTTCCGGATATTCCAGAGATGAAGACCTTGACGACCATCTTCAGGCTTGTTTCCTAACCCTTGCAGCCGATTCCTCTTGCGGTTAATTTTACTACGACCCGGGAAATCCGAAGCTCCTTTCAGTCAGCTGCTTCTGGTGCTACGCCTTGATTGGCAAAACCAATGTCTTCCTCGACCACCGGAGCGACTCGGCGCCACCGTCGACCGCCTCTCCCTCTCGCCGCACACCGCGAAAGGACCCTTCCCCTGCCTCCGTGCGCCGTCTCCACTGCTTCTTCTTGAGGAATGTTATTTTTTGCAACCCACCCTCCCATCTCCCCCGCCGCCCCCTATCAAATTCCGCCTTCTGATTCTGATGCTGCGCTCTGATAATTTTACAGGCGGACAACCACAAGGACGATTGATTTTGCTCTCAATTATAAAATGATTTTCAAAATTCCATAAATCATTACTCTGCAAAAGTTGAAATAAAATTGTTTTCGCAAATTTAGAAACACATATTGTAAAATATTTTGAAATAAAATAAACTGATTATACACCATTTAAAAAAATTAAGAATTTATCCTCTGTTAATAACAACAGTTCTCAAAGGAGCGACGTTGGCAAAAAACTGAGACGCATGTTTCACAGACGCAGCAAGTCTTTTAGATTCCTCATCCTCTGTTTCTACATGAGCTAGGACAGCTAAAGACGATCTTTTCCCTCCACTGTAAGAATAAATCAATTAATATCATAAATTAATTAATTTTTAAATAATGTTAATACTTTTCAATAAAAATTGATGCAAGTAGCCACTGAAGAAAGCATTGCACTTGTTTCACAGAGCAATTCAAGCCGAGGAGCACACTGATGTCGTCTACGATTAGAGCCACTCGATCATAATTTTTGTGCAGGGTTTTCACATTTTCTTCAACTTGTCTGCAAAGCCACTGTAGGAGAACATCGCCTGTTTGAACTGAATTTGAGTCTAGCAATTTCTCTTGGGATGCCTTCAAATTGTCAATGAACTTCACTTGTTCTTTCTCTATACAGCTCTTCAAATTGAAACCAATTTTCATTCCAATGTAATTGTAGTGGCTCTGCGGGTGTAGAAGGGCCACAAAACAAACCCCCTCGTTGTTCTTCAAGGAGTAGTCAATAATGGTGCTCAAAATGTGATTTCCGTGGCTGTGGTTTCCATTTTCAACAACTCCGATCAACTTCCCATCGTGCTTTTCTCTTTTCTTCAGTTCAAGCTGTACGGATATCTGGCTCTCTTTTATTTTCCTGAGAAAAATTTGTGTCTTAACTCTTAATCAAAATTAGTCACACAAACATTGCAGAATAAAATTGAAATTGCGAGACGGTATTTCATCGCTTCTTTCTGCACATCGACTTACGTCGAGGACTCGTCAACAGATATTGAGTCAAAAATAGAACTTACGGATCCATTGTCAATTAATTGGCTATCGTCCACTTTTAATCTGGCTGCGGTTCATTGAAAATTTTGTGACATCAACCAAGAAATTCTCACCATGTGTTTTTGCTTCCAAGCAAAATAAAAGATTCAAACTTCCCGGTGATGCAAAGACTCCTGATTGGCCAATTAGAACCTCGTGACCTTTACAGTGCCACTGTTGCACCAATGGAAATTCTCCAACCAAGCATACATATGTTTTAGGTGACGTCACTTACAATCTCGGGTTCCATATTTGTTGTTGTTTCATGCGAGTTAAAAAGTGTAACTCAATTCGGTCTGATTGCGCTGAAAAATTAGCCGCTTTTTTCGCATACAGTCGTCGACCCGGCGAGAGAAATGGCTAGTGCGGGAGGTAGAGCAGCCGGTGCTCAAAGGGTTCTGGCCAAACTGCAGGAGTCGCTGAGCAATGAGAAATATTATGAGGCGCATCAGATGTACAGAACTCTCTACTTTCGGTATGAAAACATTTGAAAAAAATGCAAAATAAAAAAAATCCTAATGAATATCTAATAAATTACAGCTACTCTAGCCAAAAGCGGTACCCAGAATTGCTCGATTTGCTCTACGACGGTGCTACAAAATTATTGTTGAAGAATCAGGTGCGTATGCATTAAAAAATTGCTCAACCGTACTTGGTGCACACCATATTAATCTTGCTCTACCTACGCTACAATAAGTGCATTTAAACGTCACATGTCATTGCATATTCTCTTTTACAGCAAGGAAGTGGGGCCGACTTGGCAATTCTTTTTGTCGATGTCTTGACAACTGCAAATTCTCCAACATCCGAGGAAAACTTCCAGAAAATTTCGCAGTAATTCTAAATTTAAAACTTTTGAAAATAAAACTAGTGTGTTTTGTAGTTTGTTCCAACTCATCAACTCCTCCGCACCTGAACGAGACACTTATCTTGTCAAGGCTTTACGATGGTCGGGCATGGACGAGACGAAAAAGGGACACCCGCAGCTACACAAAGCCATTGCGCAAGTCTTTTGGAAAGGTTGGGTTTTTCATAATTTGTCTTTAGAAAGATTTTGAAACATTTCTATGCTTACAGAAAAAAATTACTTCTTGGCTCGCTTCCATTTTATGCATTCTCCTGATGGTCGTAACTGTGCAAAAATGTTGGTGGAACTCCATGTTGCTAGAGGCTTTTCAAATGAAGTTGACCTTTTCATCGCCCAGGCTGTTCTCCAGTAAGGAAGATTAAATCAGTGGATTAATTACCATATCAACAATACATTCACTTTTTTGCAGATATTTGTGCCTCCAAAACAAAAATGCTGCTGTATTAGCTTTTACAAGTTACACAGCAAATCATCCAAACATCATGAAAAGGAACCCTCCGTTCATTATGCCTCTGTTGAATTTCCTTTGGTTTTTGTTGCAAGCAATTGAAAGGTGTGTAATAAACATCAAGCTCAAACTGTTTAAATTTAAACTCATTTTCAGCGGTAAACTAGCCATTTTCAAAATGCTGTGTGATAAGTATCGGCCAAGCTTAGGAAGAGATCCATCTTACCAGGAGTATTTGGATAAAATTGCCCAAATCTTCTTTGGGGTCCGTCCTCCCCCAAATTCTAGACCTCGAGGATTGTTTGGTATTTTTTTTCTGCTATTGTAAAAGGTGATATTTTTAATCTAATCTTATAGACAACCTTTTGCAACAACTATTGGGTGGCGCAGACGATGATTCTGATGAAGAAGGAGCCTCTGCAAGTTCTAGTTCTGGTCAAAAATCTCAGCCAATGGAAACTGAAATGGATTAAGAGTTGCCTTTTGATATTTTGTTTAATGTCGCAATTTTTTTACTTTACAATTTGAGCTATTTGTATAGATGGGCTGGAGATCACTAAATACTTGCTGATGCATACCATAAACTTTACAAAAGCACTGATTATTTGCCTAGTTAAAACTATAATCAATTCGATGATGAAAGGCAGACTGATGCTATCCATCTTATTATTATATTTATTGGAAAACTTTAACTCAAAACGGTTTTGTTAAATACTTGTAATTTCAATGCTTATGTTAATTCTTTGGTTTTTTTAATAAAGAATTTCTAATATAAAATTGCTGTATACAGCTGTATATTATTTGTTGTGCCTTGATAAGTACATCAAAAAGTAAACGCCATTGTGTTATAAAATAAAATATATTCTTCATTAAGTTAACATTCACAATAAACTTTTCATCTTTGATTTAAATAATATGCCTCCACCCTTTATGTTGTCTTTTCGAACAGTAAATATACAGATAAATTTTGTGTGATGTAAAAATATTGCATGGGGGATCAATCAAGTAGTGGTTTGGCAAAGTAAAAGTTGTAACATCGAAAACAACACAGTCTCGTCAGCATATTATAATTAAATATTAATTACACTGCCCTATAAGCTATTACTGTGTTGGAGTTCTAGTCAGATCTCACCCATGGCAAAAATTATGTTCGAAAGGGCTTTTCTCGCATCATTCTCCTCAAAGCCTTCCAACTCCTGCAAGGCTTTTTGAGCATGGTGTCTCTGAAGCTCCTTGGTCTGGGCAATCCCTGGTCCTTTCATGACAGCAGCGTGTATCTGCAATTTGATTTACTTTATTAGTAACGTAAAGTAGGCACTTATTTAGGTTAAGCTGACCTTAGAGTAATCAACATCATCAATGTTTTCCCTGCCTTTGTCTATCTCTTCAAAAAGAGATGGGTCATGTTGAAGGGTGAAGATGACTGGAGCCGACGTCAAGGTGAATGACATCTGTCCGTCTGCCCCAGCGGAGCTAGTAAAAGGCTCCAGTTCGAGACATGCTTGCCAAGCCAGAGCCAAGTGTTGTCCAAATCTGTAACCCATCAACTGCAGCTCCTCTCCATGGCCAGCCAGTTTCAGTGTGCCTTGACAAGACTTGCCCAATAGGCTACCGGCTGACAAAACACTGCGCAAGGTCCAGTCCTGCTCTGTGAGCCCTGGTGAAGGCAACGGCTGGTTTTGTTTGTCTCGTTCTCCGACAAATTCAGCTTCAGCCATGTCCCGCACAGCACTGCTCATCAGCTCGACCAGCTAATTTTGAGACACATGCACTTTATTCAGTGGAAACAGTTAATGGGAAAATCAAACCTCACAGTTTCGAAGAGTGGCAAGTTCAGCACAAGAGTTGCCAAGTAAATAGTCACCACTTAGTAAGGCAATTTTGTTGCCAAAGGTCATGTCTTGCATAGTGCGATCGTCGGGGTACATTCCAGGGTAAATGTTAACTAAGCCCTTGTGCACGAGATTGCTTGTCCTGATCATTTCGGTGACCTCTGCCAAAGCACGTTGGCTGAAATAGAAGATTATATAACAACAGTTTGATACCAAAAATAGCTATACTAACCTGTGAAGAACACCTGCAGCTTTGTCAATTTCAATATCGTCCACAAGCTTGTGTCCAGCTACTTTAGATACCAGAAGGACGATGAGACCCCAGGCTTGCATGCTGCTTCGTCCATTATTTAATAAGCCCCTGAATAAAGACAAATGAATACATCTGACATTTTAAAAAGAGAAAAAACTTATTACTTTGCGGTTTTCAGGAGTGGGTGGTTAGAGCCAACCAATTTACGCAAATGGAGAGCGATATTGGCAATTTCATCACTGAGCAACCATCGCAAACTTAAGAAGGACGTAGGATAGCCGACGATTTTTTCAGCTTCTGACACGGCCCTATTCCAATCTGGTCGGGGGTTGATGGCCTGTTTGTTGAGCTGGACGGAAGACGTGGAGAATAAATTATGTCCTTGCACAAGCACTGACACAGTGGGTGCATTCCGGTACACCAGACTAGTCTTGGAGAACAGGAATCTTCCTGCTCTGGACACACAGTAAATGGGTTTCGTTGCAAGAGACATTTTTTCTCGTTTCACTCTCGACTCTGTCTGTGGATCCGTCTGCTGCGCACACTAAACTTTCGTACACATTGAACTCTCTCCGGATTCTAGTTCAGGTTTGTAGGTCTTGAGGATGTTCTCTGAAAGAGAAAGTTTTCCATACAAATCAAAGGAGTGAAAAACGTAAAAATTAAAATCATAGAGCATGGTATTGGTGGAGAAAGTTTTCTCCTGCCACCTGCTGCTGCACCTGAGAAGATCGAAGGTACCTACCACCTTCGGAGAAAAATACCTGGAAGGGAGAACCATTGTTGCCAGACTTTCAAACACAACAACAAAGCACTCGCCCTTGGCGAGTCGCTTGGCGAGTCGCTTTTGTTCACTTTTTTCTTTTATGGCAGAGAAGAGGCCTTGCTTTGGTATGGGCAAGTCTTTGTGAAGGAATTGTTTAAAATCTGCAAATATATGATAATTTAATCAATGCTCAAAAACACAATTAACAACTAAATTACTCACAAGGTTTCAACTTCTTGATCACGACTCACGTCTTTTTGCCCTCCTTGTTTTTGCCTTTCTGTGTTTACTAGCGCCTGATAGTGATTGGTGGGCAACCAGATAACTCTGAAATCCAACCAATTGCGAATGAGAAAAGAAACTAATCTGAAACCATTTGGCGCGATTTGGAAGCAAATACATGAGCTTATTGGGCTGAATAAGTGTAAATTACTTATTCATAATAATGCGCCACGCCACATTTGGAAATTTGAATTATTATGTGAAACATGAAATACATATATGGCAGAAAATATTTTTAATTATTTTATTAATTTTTTTTAAATGCTTTTTCACTTCATGACTGTATACTTTCAAGACTCAATACCATTAATAATATTTTTGATATTATTTATGCTTTAAATTTATGAGGTATAATAATTAAATACATGAATTATTCTACCACTTATATATTTATCATAAAAATTTAATAGTGTTTTAAATAATATTATGATTAAAATGTAAATTTATGGTGTGCGTTTTTGAATTAATGCATAATTTATTTTTCATTTAAATATAAAATTTTTGATGCAATTAAATTATTCCATATTATATTTTGAAATAATTCTAACGTTTTATGAAAATAAATTTTTTTAAATGCAGAATAATTAATAGAATTAATTAGGATAACTTCAAAATATAATTATGTGATTTATGCCAATAATTCAACTCATAGGGTGACATTAAAAAAAAGACTATTAAAATTGAAAATTAATGAGCCAACTTAATGGTCTTATAGTTATAAGCTTGTATTATTTACACATTTGTACCAGATTTGTTAATTTTATAAATAAATAGTTTCTTTGTTTTTCTTTGCCTTTGAATTTATTTGACATTAATTTTGCTACAAAAATTGACCTTAAGCAAGGTTTAGCCCAACTTTATTTCTCACTTCAGCCCAAGTTTTATCAGCTATTGAATGTGCTCGACAAGCACCATTGTCCAACACTTTTTGAACATAGCCTGGATCTTTCACTATCCTATCATACTCTTGTCTTATGGGAGTTAAATATTCAATTAAAACGTCAGCAACACGTAACTTAAATTTAGCGGTATCTACGTCAGCATTTTCAGAACAAACCTGCTGAGGGGTCTTGCCTGTACAAAGAGAAACCAAGTCAATTAGAGTTGCTACTCCTCGTCGATTTTCAGGATCGTAAGTAACTTTGGAAGTGAAATCTGTGATGGCCTTTTTACATTTTTCCAAAATCACTTTAGGTTCATCCAAAAGGTTTATCCTGCTTTTAGGATCAGGGTCAGACTTTGACATTTTCTTCTCAGGGTTTCGTAAACTTCGTAACCGACCAGATTGACTCTCTATCAAAGCAGATTCATAGATAACTTTTAAAATGGACAATTGTAACTCTTACTTTCGACCATGGCCTCAATCCGGGGAAAGGTCTTCCCATACCGAGAGTTAAAATTTTTGGCTAACTCTTGTACTAAATAAATGTGTGGCAACTGATCTTCGCCAACAGGAACATGCGTTGCTCTAATAAAATATTGTGTCTGTTAGAAAATATGAGCAGGCTAGTTTTGAAAACGACTTACTTATAGAGAAGAATATCTGCAGTTTGTAGAACTGGATAGAGGAAAATACCCAGGGGGATTTCTTTGCCACATAAAGCCGACTTTTCTTTAAACTGTGGTAAATGTCCCAGACGAGCCATCGTTGTCATGCAACAGAGGACCCAGCACAGTTCAGAGTGACGACTCACCTATTAAAATTGTTATTTATGTGTAATTTTGGACTAACAATAAGCTATTTATTTTAGCTTACAGACGATTGTAAAAATAATACACTCTTTTCGGGGCAAATTCCACTTGCTAGAAGCGATGCTGTGCATGCTAAATTATTTTTTAAAAGCTCTTTTGGTTCCTATAAAATTACAAAGATCAAAATTTTTATATGATTGAGATACTGCCATAAATTTACGTGTTTCATCGTGATTGCGTGCAAATCAACAACGCTGAGGATAATATCTTCTCCTTGATCTTGCAATTCCTTCCATTTTCGAATGGCTCCAAAATAATTGCCAGCGTGCAAATGCCCTGTTGGTTGGATTCCAGAGAATATCCTCCTCTTATGATGTTCAGCACTTTTACTTGACTGAAATTGAAAAAAATTGAATAAACGATGATGGAAAAAAATCTAGTTAACACAGACTTGTTTGCTGAGAAGTTCTGCAGTCATGGAGAAATGTCTCTTGACTATTTTTCCAAGGAGAGATCGATGCATTTCTGTTTTGCTGAAGTTTTGGCAAACGATGAGTGGTAAACAAAATTTAATTCATTTCACGTGGATGCAAAATTTTGGAGATCAAACCTAGAAGAGAATGGAGAAGAACGCAAATTGTATACAAAAAGCACAAGGCGGCCTACGCTGATCGAAAATACAAAATAAAAATCAAATAAAAATAAATACAAATGCAGCCAACCGCACGTGGGTGAAGCCGACGACCACGCCCACCACAAGTAGTTTTGTTTCTCCCTTTCCCCCTACCCAACAAGAAAATTTTTTCCTCTGATTTACTCACTCCAATATAATATAATTTAATATTGCTAATATTGATCGACTCAATCGCCAGTTAGTTGACTTTTTTTAAAGTTTAAAATACCCTAAAGTTATGTGTATTCAAATCTAATGGGTTATGAAAAATTGAAAAAATGCTAATATAGGGTCGTTTTTTATGAAAATTAAGTCAGCTTTTATCATGTAATCAGATAAATAAATTAATTTCTGAATTTTTGGCACCATCCAAATGTCGAAAAATTCGGCCGTCGTTCGGCAATCGGCGTCTAAAGTTGGGGGCGGGTCGCGATGTCTGCGAGTCCACACGCCCACTTTTGCTGCGACGGCGAAAGCACACCTTTGTTGAGCAAAAGTAGCGATCGGAAACTTTGGAGCGACGTTTTTGCCAAAAATAAAGATTGTCTCGCGGCCGTATGCATATAATTATTTAGCAGGATTATTTAAAAGCTTAATATTCACGCGGCCGATGCGACTAGGGAGTTTAAAACCGAAAAAATCACCACGAAATGTGGCCGAGCGGGTGCCGTGGAGCCGGGTTTGGCGCAAAGATGAAGTCGCGGGGAGGGAATAAGACATTAATCCGATCAGTTTTACCCTACCTTTACCGGGATATTAAATTTTTGAAGTCCCTTGGTCATCGAGAGTCCTCAAAAGTCCTCCGTTGAGGGAAAACCGGCGACATAAGCGAGACGACTCCGGCGGCGGCTCCTTCTTGGCGCAAGCGATGCACGCGAGCGCCACGAGAGGGCGAAAAAGCGGCGGGAAGAAAATTGAATGAAAACGATAATTAAAAAATTAATTACAGGAAGGCACGGAGATTAACAAATCTTATATTAAAAATTTTGAAAAAAAATTAGAATTTTTTTGATATTTTTTTTATCAAAATCCAACCACGAGTTAAAAAGTTCCATAAGGGTTTGCTAATGGTGTTGCCATAATTAAAATATTTATTTTAGAGAAAAAAACTTAATTACAAAGTTGTTGGCAAAGATTTATTCTTTCATAATGTTTTTGATTAAATTTTGGAATCTTGATTTTTTCTTCATGAAAAAATGCTTTGAATTTGAAATTGTCAATTTTTACAATGAAAAAAATTTTTTGGAATTTTTTCAAGATAGCCAATCTAATTCTCGTTTAATTTTGACCCTAGATTCCAATTTTCATTCAAATATTCCTGGCCGTATTGAAAAAACAAACGATTTTCCGAAAGATGCAGATTCCCCGAAACGGGCGACTTACATAGCACTATTCTTTAGCGTTTAATTAACAAACCGCTTGGAATATTTGAATGAAAATTGGAATCTAGGGTCAAAATTAAACGAGAATTAGATTGGCTATCTTGAAAAAATTCCAAAAAATTTTTTTCATTGTAAAAATTGACAATTTCAAATTCAAAGCATTTTTTCATGAAGAAAAAATCAAGATTCCAAAATTTAATCAAAAACATTATGAAAGAATAAATCTTTGCCAACAACTTTGTAATTAAGTTTTTTTCTCTAAAATAAATATTTTAATTATGGCAACACCATTAGCAAACCCTTATGGAACTTTTTAACTCGTGGTTGGATTTTGATAAAAAAAATATCAAAAAAATTCTAATTTTTTTTCAAAATTTTTAATATAAGATTTGTTAATCTCCGTGCCTTCCTGTAATTAATTTTTTAATTATCGTTTTCATTCAATTTTCTTCCCGCCGCTTTTTCGCCCTCTCGTGGCGCTCGCGTGCATCGCTTGCGCCAAGAAGGAGCCGCCGCCGGAGTCGTCTCGCTTATGTCGCCGGTTTTCCCTCAACGGAGGACTTTTGAGGACTCTCGATGACCAAGGGACTTCAAAAATTTAATATCCCGGTAAAGGTAGGGTAAAACTGATCGGATTAATGTCTTATTCCCTCCCCGCGACTTCATCTTTGCGCCAAACCCGGCTCCACGGCACCCGCTCGGCCACATTTCGTGGTGATTTTTTCGGTTTTAAACTCCCTAGTCGCATCGGCCGCGTGAATATTAAGCTTTTAAATAATCCTGCTAAATAATTATATGCATACGGCCGCGAGACAATCTTTATTTTTGGCAAAAACGTCGCTCCAAAGTTTCCGATCGCTACTTTTGCTCAACAAAGGTGTGCTTTCGCCGTCGCAGCAAAAGTGGGCGTGTGGACTCGCAGACATCGCGACCCGCCCCCAACTTTAGACGCCGATTGCCGAACGACGGCCGAATTTTTCGACATTTGGATGGTGCCAAAAATTCAGAAATTAATTTATTTATCTGATTACATGATAAAAGCTGACTTAATTTTCATAAAAAACGACCCTATAGGGTTTTGATTTAATAAATGTAATATCCGGTAATATCCGCCGTTATATCCTTTTCCCAAATTAATTTTTTGTTCATTTATAATTATATAATGTATGGAAACAGATAAAACATAAATATTTTATAACATCTCATTTTAATCATCATAATTATATTTTTTTTCATACATTTTATTGTGTGATTCAATCTTTAACAAGAATTAAAAGTCGATAATGTATAAAAGAGAAAAACAATTCCAATAACAACAGCTTTAAAGGAGAATGTTCAGCATGATTTAACAAGAGAAACTATTATGCACGTTACAACTTCTTTGGCTAGGGAAAAAATTAAAATGAGCAAAAATTACAATAATTATAGCGCTGGAATGGAGAAGCTTGAATATTACGGAAAATTAATTAAAATATATCTTTCTCACATATACTGTTGATAATTGTTTCAGTACAGTGAAGTAAAAACATCCTATAAAGTCATGATCATATACACACTAGCTGTTGGTGCAATTCACTGATTATCAAATAAAATTTTAACTTTAAACCAAGCTAGTGATTTTGAATTCAACAATTTTTTTTTAAATTATTTTAGATTGCTTAAGGCAGCAAGTTTTTTTTAGACCAGTAGCAATCTGTACAGTAATAACATCTCGACGAATTTTATCACAGCTCCTATCTAAAGACATCAACTATCTAAGTATCTATTCAAATTAATTTTAATCACTTTTAGCCATGACACTATCAGCTATTCCAATCACAAACATCATTAGTAGATTTCAGCATGATGAAGAACGATGAAAATGAACATATAAAATGTTATGCTATGGCAGAGGAGTTAAGAGTTTTTGGAAAATATAGTTGTTCATTTTTAAATAAATGTCTCGACGAAAATCTCAATGCTCGACATTGCGTCTAAAAATATGGCACGCTTCTATTGTTAAAATATTGTATTTGTGTGCTCTCAATTTAATTTTTGTGCGAAAAATCTCATTAAACAGAAAACTTCATAAATTGGATAACATCAAATCTAAAAATGCAGAACCCACTGCTTACTGAGGAGCACTTGGAGGAGTGACTCCTAGGTTCTTTCTCAGTTGTTCTAAGAAGACAAACGTAAGAACTGTGTGCGGCCCAAGACGAACAAACGCAGGTACGTAGCCCTTGAAGAAACCAAGCGGGCCAAGTTTTCCAGTGTATGTTATCAAATGCCATAGGTTCTATCAATAAATTTTTATACAAAATAAAAATAAAATAAAAAAAAGTGAAAACTAATATTACCCTGAATTCTCCTGGCTGGGCATTCATAGCTCGCGTCTTAATCACGTCTAGTGGCTGTGTCATGGTAGTTGCAACAGCTCCCTTAGATTATAAAAATATTTGATTAACATTTTGGGCAAATGAATTAAAAAATTTAAAAACTTACTGCTGTGAGGCTGGACAAGAAGTGTGTGATAAGATTATCCTCAAAATAGCCTGATGCAAGGAGCATCAGCTTGACTTGGTCGTAAAATGACAATTGGCCCACAGTCATGAGAACGGCCCTGCTTGTGGCAGTAGTGGCCCCAGCAAAGAGTCGGCGCACTCCCTCTTCTTGATAAACCCTCCATAGACCATCAAATGCATGCTTGTAGCTAAAATGTTTTAATATATAAAATGATAATAAAAACAAATTATTTTATCTACTTTCTTCTTGATTCGGGTGGCAGTTTTATGTCGTTTTGCATTCTGACATTGATCATGTCAGCAGGTGTGCCAATAAAGCCTCCTGCAGCTCCTGCTAGGGAAGCAAGGGCAACCCGCTGATAAAATGGAATGGCCTCACCAGACGGAGCAACCGCTTGTTTTGCCGCCTTTTTTAAAAAAAAATACCAAATTAGCGACACAAATTTAAAGTTACTCAAACCTTTAATTTATGTGAAAAAAATTAAAAATTTGTAAATATCATGTTTACTTAAATTTAACTTTTAGTTAACATTAGAGATATTTTTCTTCCTTTACGTCAGAGCCACCGCTTTAAATGCTAATTATATTACAACGAAAGAGGTGCTGTAAAGACGAGCCCCACGGCGGGGCCGGGACAAGCCTCTTTAAACAAGTTGCGTGCGCAAGAGCTGAAAAAAAGAGTTACCTCATAAATGCCGAATCTGGTTGTTGAATATGACAACTGCCTGCAGAGTGACGCCGACAGACCACTATACAGTGCCAAAACTCCTTGCTGACGCACGATGGTTGCCGCCATCCGTCCCAAACTTGACTTGCCCTCTTGTTGTGTTTGGAGGTGGACCTAAAATTATATATTGCTACTTATTTTGAGAGCAAATTTTTTCTTTATTATATATTTAAACAAAGTTATAACAAAAAATTTAACTTTAGCAAAGGGGCAACAAAAGATAGCTTTTTTTACTTTTAACAGCTTGTTTTTTTTTATACTTTTACAATGATCAAAGTCTACATCAAAAAATAAAATCTGACCCAGAGTTCATGTAACTTGACTGCCGCTCCCAATGCACAAATGAGGGGGCGTGGCAAAAGATAATGAATGAAACCGTATGCAGAGAGTACTCCAGCTTGCGAAGCCATAGAAATTTTAAGCAATTAAAAAAAACTCACTTTCAGCAAATCCAAAGGGTGAGTGCAACAAGCTGCTCCGGCAGAAGCAACCCCTCCAAAGTACCATCTCGACAATTTCTTCGCATCACCTCCCATTTTATCACAATAAAAAGTGGCCGAAAGATATGAGAGTGAAGATCGATGCCTCAATTTCCTTAAATGGAATTAAAATTAAATGAAAATTGCAGAATTTTTATAACTTAAAACCAGGATCTCACCTGTATGTATGAGCAAAATGGATCAAACTCCAAGAGCAATCAAATAACAGCACGACTGGAGAAGAGGCTCCTGCGCGAATATGGTCTGATGGAGCGAGACGGCTCGTGATTTAGTTTAGTAATAAAGTGATAATTGCGCTCCCATCAATACATAAATACGGTGCTCAATTCAGCGGGTCGCAGGCAGTAAGTCGGCTGTCACGATTTCATAGTGCAGGTGGTGCGGCGAGAGCGAGGTTTTGAGCGAGCTGGTCAAAAAAAAGAGTGTCAGTGACAGCAGCTCGCACTCGCACGCACAAAAACTCCTCTCCCCGTCTAAAAGTGTCGACTGACCTTGAGGCGCGCATGTGCGCCAACTACATTGTTGGTTGAAAGTGAAACTCAATGCTTGCAAAGATAAAATAATATTTGTTCAAAAAACCGAAAAAAAGCAAACAAGGGGTGGCTTAACGGAGAGATAAAAATGCAACACCATTGAAGTACTCCTGCAAAAGATTAACTAACTCCGCACTCCGCCGAGCTTTTCCTTTTTTTGCGACAGATTTATAATTTTGTGATTTGTGCTGTAGCCAAGAGCGCCTGCAGCTTCTTGAGGTTAGGCAACATGCCAAGCATGCGAGTCTTGCAAATTGCATAAGCAGCCGTAAATTAAAATAAATAATGAAAAATCAGCAGTAAAATAAAATGATAGTGGATCACTCACTGGATGCAATTATTATTGAAACGGCAAATTTTTACACTGATATTAAGCAGCTTGGATTTTAATTTTCTTACTTTCAAATTTTACAAAGTAATGAAAAAAAACTGACTAGAAAAGTTTGGCAGTAATAATGTTCTTCAGTGTCTTGAGCCATTCCGCGCCTTGAGGTTTAACGCAAGTACATTCATCGTCCGCTTTACGCACCGAATGGCACAATGATGCTCGACTCGGAATCAGCTCTACTTTGTAAACATCCGGTTTTTGCGATTTATTTACCATCATTACGGTGTTGGCTAATAATTGATTTTTTAGCGTTTCAATTATCAATATTGATAATAAAAAATAACGTTTTTGTACTTACTGCACACATATTTGTGACTGAACAACCAGGCAATTGTGATGAAGATGGGAAAGGTTCGTATGAAGTAGCGGACCCGAGCGAGAATGCCATTGATTACAAAGAATAAGAGGCGAATCTGAAACAACAAACACAAGCAAATTTCAAGTAAGCGAAAAAAATTAAATTTTAATTAGATACATAGGATGAATAATACAAACCGTTGTGAAGAAGACATAGTAGACCGTGGTTGTTGGCAGTGAGTAAATTAATACAGTGAAGAGCAGTACACCTACGAACAACTGGCTCGGAGGGTAGTCAAAACTATCCACACATTGTCTCTGAGGGTTCCACTTGCGCCCCAGAAACAGCCTCCAAAGGTACACTAATGCCTTCAGTTGCAATGAGCAAAATCTTAAATACAAAAAAATATTATCCTGGTAATCAAATTAAATAAAACATTCTTTATACGCACCGAGCTGCATAAACGTAGATGCAGTAGGCATGGAAGCTTGCCAGAGCAATGAGATCAGCAATGATGGCAATGTGAGTTGTGATTCCTAAGAATCCGAGCCATTGGAGAGCATGGAATGCAATTGACAAAACAGGCTGGCAGTGATCTTGAAACGGAGAAAAAAACATTTTTTGATTTGAAAAGAATAATCAAGAAAGTTATTACCTAGAAACACCCACCAGAGGTTGACATTGTAAATAAAAAACTTCCCGAGAAATCGGTTCAAGTGGGTGTTTAATTTTAACCCTGCTGGTGAGCCCATCAAGAAGGACAAGAGCGACCTTAGCAAGACAACTCCTTCCTGAAATAAATTGTTATTTAGAAAAATTGCTGCACAAATTATAGACTTAAAATATTTACATCTATGACAGACATTGCCCAGTCGACTAGGAGTTGTGCAGTGAAGAGGTTGAGGAAATAATGAATGATGACCACACCAAGGACACAGTCGATCAGGGCGGCGGTCAAATGGTTCAGGGCAGCGATACTGTTTCTTCCATCACGGTACAAACACTGGCAGGACCATACAAGACCCTTGGAAAGGTTGTGCAGGTGCGTCAGTGAAGAGCTGTGGCTCAGGAAAGTTTTGATGTATTCTTTCGGGGGCTTCATTTCGTAGGAATATTAACACAACGTTTTAGTAATAATTGCCTAATAATATTTTAAATTTGTACGTCAACATTTTCGAGTTTTCCGTAAAAAAATAAAATTGAACAAAAGCACCGCACCGCTTCGATCCTTTTCTTCTTTGTTTTTGTTTTGAATTTTGCAAGAGGGAGGAGAATGGGCGTGTGTAAATCATCATTTAAAATATTTCGCGGCAAAGGCACGTGGAAGCAATAATTGTTAGTTTCGTGTTTGAACGTCGAATGTAAGGTTTTATATTATTGTAAAGCTTTGTTCGATCAATCAGCAATACAATGTAAATGTATTTGAATGTAACCAAACAAAAACATTTAATTTATTTTGTAGTTGGTGAAATTTCGAATTGAACTGATCAACAACCATAATAGTCCGTTTTTAATTTTAATAACAATGATATGGTTTATTATAATTTTTTAAATAAGTTTACTTCTTGTTAACTCTTGTTTCTTAAAACTGCTAAAAATATAAGTTTTTTTTTTAATTTTATCTTGATCCACAGAGAGGCCCAGAGAGGCCTGCGCCACATTAAGTTATAAAAAGGTTATTTGCTCTTATAATTACTCTGGTTCAGAATCAAAGTTTTATTTTATTTATTTGTGTCCAAACATTCATGAAAATTGTTTTATGCATATTTCTTAATATTTTGTAAATTTTCCCTTCAATAAAACAATAAAAAACAAATTAGATATTGAATGCGTTAGAAATCTTTAGCGGCTCCATATTATAAAATTTGAGCAGTACAAATATTTACGTAGCACTCATTATTATCACCCTACACAGGACTTGCATGGCTTTAATTGGAGCGTTCCTCGATCTCTCGCAACGAGTAGCACCTTAAAAGATCCTGCTCCGTGGTCGCCATAGGGGTGATTGCACTCTGCCAAAGGTGCTAATCGCACGCGTTGGCTTGAATTTAATATTTATGTGCTCCTCGTCGTGTTTCTTTCCATCACGGCGGAATTAAAAGCGAAGAGGTGAAGGATGATGTCGACAAGCACCACCACCTACTTGATTTTCTGCTCTTTTTTTTATTTTCGCTACGCCGAATGGGAATTAAAGCACGCCAGAAAAACGTTTTCCGCCTGGGTTGTTGATCCGTTCGAACGAACCCCTTGCTAGTCTGCGATCTTGGTGCCCACCAGCCCCCGCACTGTGAGTACATATATGGGCACAACGGGTCCCTTCGGACTTGACGCGCAACACAAACGCCTCGCTTTAACCTTGACGCGCTCGCTCAGGGACCACACCCGGATCGACCCATGCAAGAAAATAAAGTGACACCGCTAATAATAACAAAAATAGAATAAGCGTAACAGTGAATCTCATTTTTCTTTCTTTATACTTGAGTAGTAGTGCTCAATGATGACCCTTGTGGTAACCTTTCATCGAGTGTGCTTACATTAAAATTGAATACTCTAAGGATCTTTGTTATAGTTGATTCAATAGCGTGAGTGTGGCTGGAAAAAATATCAAGAAATATCATGGAGTGTATTTACAAGCTATTTAAAATTACAATAAATTTACAATAATATTCTTTGCCACCTGCTTTAATAACTTGTTTTTCATCACTTGATCAAAAAATCAAAAATTTTAAAAAGTTGCACTTTTTTATTTAATTTAATTTATAGTTATGTTAACTTTCTGCCTGATTTTTTCATTCGTATTGTTCTAATTGAGTAAACATGTCTAGGTGCAAAAAAGAAAGAAATTAATTTTGAATGAGTTACCATGCGTTGTAAAATATTTTTTCTTTATTGTGCCGATTAGGTAAAGTTCATTAACCAAAGCAGCAGGAACAGGAAAAACAAATCTTTAGAACACTAATTTCTGAAACAATGGGGTGCGTAGGTTTGATAGAAGGAAGGGCGCAATTTTCATATGGAGAAGTCGCAAATTATTTAAAGCCGCGGCAAAGATGCAAAGGTGCCCTTCAAGGGCAAAGAAAATATTCTGCTTAAAATTCCGAGTGGGAGCACTGGGAGCCGAAAACGCGAATGTGAAATTAGCAAGGGCCGCGCATTGTAATATTATATATTATCATGTACATGTGCGCGTGGGCTCGTGCCAAACAAGTGCGCCACACGTAAAAACTTAAATTACACACACTTTGCAAAGACGCATTTCAAAGAAATGGCTCGAGACTGCTTTTGCTTCTGTTTCAAAAATCAAGCGCGCACAACGGACCTTCGATTAGTTGATTGACAACAATGATTCTTTCAAAGGACACGTAACTTTAAGAATGGTAATTGTAAATTGTATGCGTGAAGAATAATTTTAGAAAAATCCAGGGCTTGGTACAAAAGCTTCATGGATATGATTTAATTAGCGGCATGTTACACAATGGAGCAATTTTCCATGCATTTTTTTACCAAGCCACGAAATAGACGAATTAAATTTCCCACTAATAAAATCATACAGCAGGACATCAAGAGTTGAAAAGTCTTGATTGTCCACGCGTGAATAGATGGCTGATAATTAAGGCGGTGAAAAGCGAAAGGAAGATTAACTCGCGTGTGTTCTTTGATCGAGAGTGTCTTGAGGTGAGCGTGACAAGTGATTTCCATTGTTGTCCGAGACTTTTCGACCGCACGGCAGCATCTCTTCCTTCAGAACCGACAGCTTTCGTTCACAAAAAATATAAAAGACGCGTGGTAAATTCAACACTCTGCGAGATCAGAAAATTGGAATTCTATAGGTAAATTTCTTAGAATAGGCTCTCAAGCCAAGAGGATAAATGTGACGGCAAGCACAGAGACGAGTTCCCGCTGTGGAGTCAAAAAGTGCCGACTGCGGCGATATTCAATTAAAAGTTAACACGCTTGAAAATCTAGATTCAATTTAGAATGCACGAATACATGTGTGCGAAAACAACAACTAAGTAGGTCTGGGTAGGTCTGCAAAATTTACTTGCTGATGGGTTTTTTTTTCAGAAGAAAGATTTTAAAAATTTACATCAGGTAGTTATTTCAATTTTCCTTGTAAAATATTTTAAAATTAATTACTCAAATTAAGAATATAAATAATTTAATTTTTGAAATTTGTGTAATAATTTTTGTTTAATTCCTTTATAAATCTAAAGCATAAAGAACTATATATTTTAATAAGCTTCTACTTGGGCACTTGGGCTATGTTATATTTTTGAAGAAAATTATCTGTATAAAACTACAAAAATATAGTTATTCAACAAGATTAAGAAATCATGTATCATTAGAATTTTTTATTCTAATCTAAACATATAAATTTTTTTCGTAAAGGAAGTTTAGTTAAAATGATATATACATGCAGTAATGAATAATTTAAAATTAAATTAAATTTGCAGACTTCATAGCCACAAGGCCAGATCGAAAAGATCAGTCATTTCTGCTCTGCGGTCATTTGTCAATTGTTTGCTCTCATTTCGCTCAATATAGGCAGTAAAGGTGATCGCACATACACACTATTATTTGTGCAGCTCAATCTCATTACACACATTGTTACATGTCAGTCGAACAAGTGGTTCGCAAACGGAATTCACTTTCACACCAGTTGACCTGCGGAACGCCCTTTGGCCCATTATTATTGTTGCCATTTGTTTGGCGCCAAAGGAATTTGGTCTTGTGGGTACACCAACACAAAGATCTCGAGCAGCGAAGGTAAATAATGACACTTGATATTGGGTGCAGATGTTGGAAAGTCGTAAAATTGCAGCGGCCTTTGCACAAATTCGTGGGCCATTCATTCCAAAATTAAAAAGTTCGTGGACAAATAAGGTAAATTAAAACAAAAATGACCGTGAAATTCAGCTTTCTAAATTATTTGCAAAATTTCTTAGTCACTTTATAGTCACAAAGTTTATTGTGCAAATAGTTGCAACATTAATATAAAACGAAGATATCATAAATAAAATAGCTAGCAAATGTGTCACTGCGAGCTCAGCGGATTTAATGAATTTGTAAATTAGAGTGATTTGCGACTTAGCAAAAGCTCTAGGCTCTAGGTGGGCGAAACGCTCAGGCATCTGTGAAAACTAAGTGTGGGACTACCTTAAGGTCAGGCGGAATGAAATATTATGTCTCGCAGCACAATAAAATGCAGAGAAGTGGATTGAAGATGACGGATGGTGTGCCGATTAGGCGCTTTAATTAGGCGTTGCAAGGTCAAGCGCTACTTTTAATTCGCAAAATCTGATTACACAAAATAAAATCCTCGCCAAAACTGGTTTTGCAAACTGATCGCCGCCTGCAATAAGACGATTTTGTCAGAAAGGGCGTCATAATATTTGAATAGAACATGGAGCGGTGCTGATTTTGATTGATTTCACGCTGAAATTATGCTCCCACACATCATTAATCAATAACGCAATTTAATAATTGAAAATTTTATACATACTGCTATGCTATGACCAGTTATATGACTTGTTTTTAAGAGGTTTTTACGTGGTCTTACCTAAACTGTGTGAGAAATACCACGTGAAAACATATATTATTAAAAAATATTATATCTCTATTTAGCCATTTCATGTGTTTGTTGTTAAGTTCCAAAATTAAAAATAAATATTTCCATGTACCTAATAATAATTATTATTTATGGGAAAAAATGCAAAATAAATAATTAATTGTGTAATTTGGTGATAATATTATGCAAAAATTGAAGAAGTCTTAATTAATTTTGATAGTAATTTTATAATACAGGAACAATTTAGAGAGGTCGATATAAAAAATTGCTGTAAAACTTTTCAATGATTCTTGAATTTTAATTATTATGAAAAGATCTAGAACGAATCTTTGGAATCTCCCGCTTTTTTAAATATTTTATATATTATTTTACGCATGTTAAGACAAAGAGTGAAGCTATGAAGTAACTAATCCTATTGAACACTATGACACTAGAATGTCACATGTGCATAATCTTAATCTGATCGTGCCATGGTATACATCGCTCGCGGTTTTGACATTTGCATAACAAACGTAAAAGATTCGCAGCGCAGCGACACATTTCACGGTGGCTGCTAAGGACAAGGAAACGAAACCAGAAACAGTACTGCGGCTATAAGCTCTGTCCCCAGCTCTGATTCTTATCCCTGTTGCAATCGTTGCACATTATGCAGGTCTGACTGCGTGCATGCGGTTTGTGTATTATTATTCTTCATACTCTGTGTTTGCTTTTCCCACGCAGACATAATCTGGAGTAATAAAGAGCCGCCGAGGTGGAGAAAGTACCGCGTAAATTAAAACTGTTTGGGGTGCGACTTTATGTAACTGATAATTAATAGCTCAACTGGCCAAACACTTCTCTGCTTGATGGATTTGAACATTACCTGCCTCTCGCAAATTACTATTTTCTATTGCATACATGTAAATGATATTCTCGTAACAATGTCAACATAAATGTGGGTTGCAAGTGTAATTAAGTTGTTAAATTATTAAATTAAATTTGTGCTTACTATTAGAGTTAATTATTTATAAGGGTGCCAACGGGTTTCGTTTAAAAGGGCTATTTTACAAGGTTGATAATTCACAAAAAACATCATGAAGCAAATTTGAAACTGAACCATATCGGTTTGAAATTAATTTTTTTCCTTCAATTCTACGCATGTTTATTTTAGAGCTGCATTGAATTTTTTCATTCGCCAATTTGATTTCAATTTCAATTTAAGTCCATTGAACATCTTAAATGCAAACAGCTGAACTTCAATAAGTTAAAAAGTGTACTTTTTTCCACCGCTGCAGAGTGCTTCAGAGGTCGACACTTCTCCACCAGATCGTGTCCAATAACTGCCGATCTACCACTGATAAATTTACTTTTGATTTGCGTCAATAAATTAAACCGAGGATCGTGCTCAACTAGATTAAAGCGCGTGATTCTCTTCTATAAAATTCTCCATCCAACACACAGGATTAACTTGTGTTGTGCCCTATAAATTTCATTCTCTTGTCGTTTTGTACATTTAAAATGATACGGATTACAAACGGGGCGCTCAGCAAGTCAGAGAGGAATTTCAAGCTCAAGGCTAGCCAGCTTTGTATACGTTTAATTCATTCTTGTAAAACACGACGCTTCCCATTAAATGTCATAATTTTTACTTCCTTGAATATGATCTATGATGTGGAAAAATTCAAAAAATGGAAAATTAATTTTTTTGCGCTTATTCAGGTTAATAATTATTAATTATGAAGAAAATAATGATCACTAGTAGTAGTATTGTAATTTTCATGTGTATTAATTTTCTTCAATAACTTCATTAAATTTTGGTTTTCTGTTTCATTATTTTTCATCCTGGAACAGTAACTTTTATTTTTATTTAGATCCGTTTTCGGCTCATATCCCGCTCAAAACATCCTGGTCAATTTTATGATCTTCCAAGCAGACGGAATAAAACACGCGTCTCACAATATACCTGCTTTGATGAAAAACACTAATATACATTTCGGCTTAATTAACTTTATGCTTCAAGCCAAAAATATATTGAGTAGCCATAAAAGCGGCAGACAACAACAAGCACTGATTTTAATTGCCGATTTTCATTTTCTGCGAAGGGAAAATTTTCAGCTTCACACAATTCAACGTTTCCAATCTAATTACACGCGATGAGTGTCGAGCGATATAATAAATTATTTCTTTCTTGATGGACGCGGTGCAATCCGTCTCATTGCTATATAACATAACGTGCAGGAAGCGTTGTTTCCTAGTAAGTCCTTTGTTATGGCAAATTGCCATGCAAGGAAGAAAAATTATATTTTTACCTCAAGCTACAACAGTTGTATTTTGAAATTATATCATTGATTGAATTATTGCAAATTGTTTTATTACAAAACATTTAATTGTTGTTGACGACTAAGATTGCGGCTTGATTGATTCACGTGTTTGTTTGTATAAATTTTAATTAAATATGACAAGATGTGCAATAATTTCATTTGGAATTCATTTAGCTCTCGCGCACTCGCATCATGTATGTCCGTGCCTTGCAATTTTAAATACAAAAAGGTTCTCAAGAAAAAGCTCTGAGTAAATATTGATGCTTTCAAATATTTACACAGTATTACGTTTCAGCTAGATTGTTGGTCAGGAAAAAATATTCTGAATCATTTCCTTTGCTTTCTTGTGTAAACAAAAATCTGCAATTTACCTCCGGGAAAAATGTCAAATTAACTTTACGCTGCAAAAAATCAACTGGGAATTTTTTCTAATTGACCGTCTCCTTAACTTTCCTTGATGCACCGAGTCATCCGTGACGTCATACTTTAAAAAATCATTGAAGTAAAACAAAGTGATATGTACGATCGATCACGTAAGGTGCGTCACGAGGCCTGCAAGTGTCAATACCGAGCAAGTATGCGCGTCTGTGATCAAAATCGTAAAAATATCGTTTAGAGGCCGCGACGCGTCACGCGCACGTTACATATTTTGGGCCGAGCATTGTTTGGGCTGCGTGCTTTTTTACGAGAGCGGATTCCCATATTCGTAAGCAAGCGGCACTCCAAGCGGCGAACACAATGAGCTCATTAATTCAGTCAGCCAGCCAACAATAAAAGTCGGCGAATCTGGAAAGTCGAGTTTTTCGATTATTATAAAGTGTCTCTGCACTGAAGCTAGTTTTGTACGTGCACTATACGCTTGCAAATCTTGAAATGATGCGCAGACAGTGCGCCAATTAATTAGAAGTGTTCTTTTAAATTTATCTTAAAAGACTTCATTCCCATTGCAAGTTAGTTTCTTTATGAATTATAAAAAGGGCTAATATTAATAACTTTAATTAAAACTTCAATGAAGTTACTTCATTTTGCTTTAAATGGTGATGAGATTGGATGTGATCGCTGTAAAAGTTTTTGCTTACTTAACTTTATTTTAAGTTTTGTTAAATTTGATCAAAATTTAAAGCTTCAAAATTAAATGGAAAAAAAGAAGTTTAATAATAAACTTAATTAATTTTTCATCTTTCTATTTATGTTTACATTTAAAAATTTTACGGAAACTTTTCTTAATTTTAAAAAACTTCATGAATATTTTTTGTCTTATAAAACCGTTTTTAATTTTCTGTTGCCCTTTTTAAAAAGAAGATCCCTGATGTAATAAACCGACAGTTAATGTGAGGCAACCGATTCCACACGTAATAAACTTTTTCGGCCTGAGCATTGACTTGGAGCAACTACCTAGTATGTTCATGCGTACAATAAGGAAACCTGCAGACCGTCAATCAAGCGGCTGCCAAAAAGTCGAAGGTCTCGCTGCTCATCCTTTTTTTGCCCACGAATCATTTTGGCCGCCGCCGTACGCGCGCAGATTTGTATTAATTCGTCAACCGCAGGTCTGAAACCCACGGGAGGGTGGCCTGATATGGACTGAGATTGGCTAAGGCTGGTGGCCGCGTGGGCCGCGTGGACAGCACTGGGGAGTGAGTGCTGCTGGCGGGCGTGGGAGCGCAGCCGAGCAGAGCAAGGACAGGATTGCTGCATCCAAGTCAGTCGTACCTTTACCTCGCAAAGGGACCTCTGCTTACCTACCAACATGCTGCTCCGCCACACACTTACGGTCAGTTTACACATTATTACACTTTGCAATTTTATCACTTATGTTGTTTGACCATGGAATTGATTATATTTGCACAATATTACTATATCCTAGTTGCCATGTATCATTGAGCATTTTCCAGCTGATGAATTATTAAAAAAAAAATCGATTTTGCTGAACAAAACATGTGTTTTTTGTGCTCCAAAATCAAATAAAAAATAAAAGCAAAGCTGATTTAAAATCATTTAACGTTAATTAATTTTTATTTGTAAATATGTGAAAAACTTAGCATGCATTATTTTAATTTATCCTGAAACGAGATTTTAAACGTACATTTAATATTGTTTGTCAAAATTATATGTTTGATAATTTTTTTTAACTTCACTATCAATAAGGGCAATAGTAAATCGAGCTTAAAAATTTTTCAATATAAATATAAAAGTTAAACACCTTTCAATGAAATCCGAGGTCATGGTATCAATAAAAACAGTTTATTTCACGCACACCCACTCATTTGAATGCAACATTAGTCACAGAGTGCTAAAATGTATAAGAAATAAGATCACCGCACATTCCGAACGAAAAGGCACGTCACGCAGACCTAATTGTTAACCTGCCGATCGCACAAATCAAAAAGCATGACTCGGAATATTAATTTTAAATTTAACCGGCTCGATTAGAATATCGGTGTAGACGATAATTAATCATCATGGTGCGAGAGATGATCGGTGTTGCACGCGGCCGCATTCACTTTCTCACAAACAAAGCCGCATCACTTCAGTCTACGATCTTTTGCTCTGATACAGAAAATTATTAATTATTAACGGGAGGTGCGGTCTGAGACCAAAATGTTAAATCGCGTCAGGAGACTCGGCGAATAATTCATACACTGACGATGGAATCGGCATAAAATTCACATTTGAATTAAATGATAAACTGCCAGCGGGAATATCTCGCCAAAAAAGGCACTGTGTTTTAATAGTTTGTTGTTGAAAAAAGGGAAATTCTTGCACAGTGGCTAATTTACTCGCAGACGAAATGATGTAACTTGTTTTCTGCTCGATTTGCATGCTAATGTGACGCTGAACCGACCACTGTCATGCATCAAAATGTCAAAGGCTTAATTGGAGCGAGAAGCTCATTAAAAGATCGAGTCTTGTTCAAATATAAAAAAAACTTCAGAGCGTCCGTGAACTTTCAGGAAAATTTTTGCAGAAAATACATAAGTTCTGTTACACAGTTTTAAGCAAAATCAGTATAAAATAATTTTGCGAAAAAAGAATTAAATTACATAATATGCTAATGAAGGTGCCAAAACTGAAGTGAATTATGAACTCAATTTTTAATAAATGAACTCCATTACTTTTTACGACTGGGAACCGGCTTAAAAAATCTTCTTCCACTTGCCTCTGAGTGGACGTTAAATAATTCGTCAACACAAAGCAGTAGGAAGTGAACAAAGAGGCGTTGAATTTTCATATTGAGAAAAGCAGAGCTTTTTTTGCGGAAGGAAGTCGACCGGCGCTGGAATTCCACTTGCGATTGCGCGCGCTTGCTGACCCGAAGGTGCGCTCCTGATCGGGTCCCTCTCTCCCTTATAGAAAGGACTTTCTCCATTCATCTGAATCCGAGCTCGTTTTCATGCTTGTTGTGTCATAAAGTGGCTCGGCAGGCCGGCGTGCACTTACGGCTTTTGCGATCGAGAGACATATGAGCCGGCGACCGCAAGTTCTGCACCCCGACACCCAATATGCGCAGGATTACAGCTTCTGGTGCGGCCGTACTGGTATGTTTGCCAAAACTACCTTGTTTTCCATACCTGTTCATGAACGTGGCTTTGACCTCTCCCAGCAGGAAACTAGAAACTAGTGCGAAATTTCCATCATGAGAAATTGTTTAAGCATCTGAAATCGGAGACTTTGACCAGCTAACAATATAAAAACTATTATTCCTGACTGATATTTTTTAGTAACCTTTCTTGAGATTATTTATTGAAGGTTAAAACAGATATAAATTCCAACTTAAATTATCCTTTCAAAAATGTTCAATTTTATTTTGTTAAATTGATTTTGTGATTGGTCATCAGAAGGGTGGCAAATAATTATCACTCTGCAAGGAATTACACTCTTTCGTTAATAATCTGCTTAGTTGAGCAGAAAATTGGCACACTGTACAAAATAGGTCAAAAAGAAAGTAGTGGGATTGAATTTCAATTATATCACAGTACGATCATATTTCTTTTGCTCTATGAAAAAAAATTAACCAGAAAACGAGCAGACTGGTTTTGTAGCAATCGTCTATATTAAGCATTTGAGAAGTTTAGCTAATTTGCTGAAAGCTGCCTGAAAGATAAATTGTTTAAAATCTTAATGAAATTTGACTAATTAACTTTACAAAAGTTTGAGGAGCATTTAACCGCATACTTGAATGTTTGAAAATTTTCTATTTTCTTCCGTTTGAATTAGTTGTAAAAAAAATCAAATTCAGGAAATGTCAGTTTGGCTACAAATTGTATAATTAAAGCTGTCAACAAAAAGTAAATTCATCTAGAGCATTTTATAAAATGCGTAGAAAATTTGGCGAACCCTTTACATCTCACCGCTAGCGGCAAAGGAAAACAAATCCATTGTGTTTGCCGCTCACAAAAAGAGCGAAAAGAAGTCGTTCACTCTGTCAGTAGCACGTCGACTTTGTATTTTTATTATTTCCAAGTTGCGGTGCGTGCAGACTAAGCAAACAGTTTAAAACTCACTCAGCATCTTGTAAAGCACGTGAATTTGAGCGTTGCAAAAAAATTCAAGGGCAGCTCTGTGATCGGAATTTTAAAAACGTACACATATGAAAAGATTTACGCGTTGAGAAACCTGCAGCAATTTCAGACGCTGAAAATGGAAGTGCGCGGATGAGCTATGAGCGTCGCACAGCAAAATGCGGTAGACAATAATATTACAGCCCTTAAAGGACAAAAGAATTTTTTAATTCGTTGTTTTGGCACTCGGGAACAATTAAGTTCTTAGTTTTTGGAGTCATAAGAAAAAATAAAGAGGAGATAAGTACATAAATTTCTTAATAAATTTTCAAACAAATTAAAAATACAAATTAACTAAATATTTCCGGTACCTTAAGCAAATTGTTATCTAAACTTTTTTATTATATGAATTATTTTTATGTTAAAATTAATAAAATTATGACAAAATGTTAGGGGCGTTAAGGGAACTCCTTGGAAAAAAATAATTTGGTGACAGGAAAGAAAGTTTAGGATGAAATTGCGCGCTCAAATTGATTGAATATCGTAAATTCTCTTCGCTGCAGACCGAACTTCCTCTCTCTCTTCTCTAACGTTTTTTATTCGTTTATAAATCTCTAAGTCGTGACAACAGCTTATAATAATTTCTCCATTATGATTGAGCGCAATCCAATCACAGGCTCAGCACACACATGGTGCTCCTTGATCGCTTAAAAAACGAAAAACAGCTACGCCTTGGGCAGCAATATAATTTTCGGCTACCGCCTGGGACGCGAGTTTTGTTCTCGTCATAAAAGGCTAATAATCGGCCCTATTGTGACACAACGCCAAGAGATAATTCCAGTTTTATTGCAAATGAAAGGTGGAAGTGTCGGGCGTTGATGTCTTTTTCGGTTTGAGACGTCCGTCGGAGGCGCATCACAGCGCTTCTTGCTCAAGTCCATGTCAAAAAATTATGCACGCCTGCGTTGAAAAAAGTTTAATAACATAATAAAATTTCTCATCCAATTGTGTTCATAGAATCCGTTTTGACTTTTGACAGTTTTAGAGTCTATAACATTGTTTGACGTCTAACTTTAAAATTGAACGAGGAGGAAAGTTTTTTTTTATGAATTTTTCAAATTAGGAGTGAAAAGAAGAGTGAAAAAATATTAATTTAAATTGGGTTTAGGAACCGATTTATTAAAATAAAAACTTAATATTTAAACATATTTATAAGGGTCCCAATTAAAAATTCGTTTTTATGAGCAATGGAAAAAATAATTAAGTGGTAAGAAATCTTATTTATTTTTTTACAAACTGTATTACAGTGAAATTTAAAGAGATCTCAAAATTTCATACAACCTGGGGAATTACAAAATATGAATTAAATATTTTGCAATTTCTTCCATCTATTGATTGAGAAAAATAATCCTCTTTCTCTCTCTGATGATCTGCATAATAAATCACTTTCAAGAATGAGATTGACAAGCGTCTAGTCTGGCGAGCGTGCAATTACTGATGAACGCAAAACAAGGAAAATTCCAGCGGCAGACGCCGCTCGTCGTCCCACATGAAATCCCATACGCATTATTTAATATGATATAAACGGCGTAACATCGCTGCTTCTTTAGCAACTCACTCGCGAGAGAGCAGATTCACATTTATTTTGCGTGCACCGCCTTTTAAGGCTGCTGAAGAAACGGGAATGAAATAAAGCGAAACTGCTGAGAGGCCGATCGAGTTGATGTCTTGTGTTTTCTCTTTGAGCATTACATCATAATGATCCCGAACCTTTTTGTTGAGACTATTGCTTTTTGCTGGGATTACAAATTACCTGAGTCCCTCGCTGACGGTGAATAATTACGGCCAGGGCACGCTTGGATTTGTAAATATTAACGTTGGATACGCGCCGGCCGGCGAGGAAAATGCACCCACGCGAGAAATTATACACTAATCATGTGGATGCAACAAAAAATGTGTAGAAATGTAATTACACGAACACACACAACGGCGCAGATATCATGTAGGGTTTTTTCTTATAGAATTGAATTATATGATTATTATATCTTGAATGGGGTATAAGAATAAATATAAATACAGACAAATTAAATTATGTGAACCTTTTAATTAAAAGAAAAAAGATTTTATTTATTGAAATGAAATTAACTGAGCAGAATTGTTGAAAAAAAGTTAAAAACTTTTACCTGAAATAATTTTTTTTCTAAATTTATAATTCAATGCGTGTACTGGCATTTTCTAAGACGCAAAAAACAGGGAAGCCTGTGTGCAATAAGCACCACCTTGTGAATTACTTTTGTCGTGACATAAAGTCAAAGATTGAAATGTAAATGCTAAGCATAGGGATGACTCACCACGTCTTGTAGCACAAAGTGCGAACGGAGACAACTTTACCATTAAGGAAATAAAAACTCTCTTTCTCTTGCATAAGGCTGTTGAATGGAGCTTTTCCTGCTGCAAAACTCAAGCTTGATTTTGTAAAAATAATGCTTTCTTGCTTCAAATTGTATAGCTCACAAAAAAATTTGGAGGTAAATAAACTATATCTATTTATCAGAGTTGGTTGAACTTGCTTTAAAAGGAGATACGAATTCACTAACCAATGTCACCATTGTTCAAGTAAATCACAGCCTCGTTATTTTTATTGAGATTGAGTGTATATATACCTTATTTTCTTTGGCAAGGCGAGCGAGTCCGCGTGGGTGTTTGTTCAAATCGAAAAGAGACGCAATCTGCACTCCAGAAAACAATAAAATACGCGTTCGAATGACAAACACAAATAATGTGTCTCTTTGCTTTATTGTTTGTTTCGAGACGCGAGCCGCGCCTAATCGTGGGATTAAGGCAGAAATTATGTGTTACACTACGCGACAGCCAAAGAATGAAGAACTGCCACGGGCTGACGTAAAAATTACGCAAAGCAGAGAGATTTCCCTCGGCCGATAAACCCGCGAGCTGCTTTTTAATGCAAATTTCACATTCAAGAGCACCTATAGCGTAACGAGAGAGTAATCACCTTTGCAGAGAGATAGCATACAATTCAGATGAGTTGAATTAAAAAAAACTTATGCTATGGGAAAATAAGAGCTGGTTGCGAAACAATGATTCTGAGGCAATAAATGCAGTTATAAACAAACACCAAGTCGTCCAAGAAGGGAAATACGAAGGGCGGTGCAATTAACAAATAACCATCCGTCGTGTCGTGTACACCTTGTGCGTGGACGCGATTCATTTTAATCAAGGCGAGCGTCTCGCCGTGAGATCTCTTTCCGTCCAACTAATCCTCACAATGCGTGTGCGTATTTACGATTATTGCTCCAGTCGAGGCAATTTATTTATTGGCTCATTAGGGAGATGAGGTAGGACTTAGAGCAATAATATTATAATAATTAATCAATTTGGTGTGGCAGAAGGGTCAACTTTCTACATCATTTCAGTTGTAAAATTTATTTAATTATATCTCTGTAAAAATGGTCTAATTATTGCTCAGAAGCAAATTAGGTAAGTTTTTCTTGGTACTACATAAATTAAGAAAGTTGCCCATTTTTTTGTTGCCACTTTAAATATATTTTTCTTTAAAAATATATATTTTTTTAATTAATTATCGATGGTTAAAATTATTAGAACAAAAATCAATACCTTATCAAAATGATGATTTATGTAGAAGAAAATTTACTTCTTGAAAGGTATACCTTTTTTACGTTAAAATTTATTTCAGCTTTCTCAGTGTCTCACTATTTTTTACCGTTTTACCTTTCTCGCAAGCTGATTGAATTGCAAAGTCTAGACTGACGGAGAATGCCGCTATGCTCTTTCTCCGCTTATCTTTCGCACATTGTCTCTTGTGCGGGTGACACACTCGTTGCTCTCACGTCGCCACTTTTTTTATACAAATGTTGGCGACCAAGTCCCTTGATGCCAATGCCAGTCCTCCATTGGAAAGGTTGTATGAAGTGTAAGATTAATAATGTGGATAAAGTATCGAGAGCAGTTTGCACTGACAAAGATTTATTTTTATTGCCACGCTCGGCTTGTGCCGCTTGCATTCAATGAGACGACCACGCACATTTAGCGGGAATCGTGCGGAAGATTAATAAAATAAGAACTGCTGTCAGGACAATAAATATTATTGAATCGGTGTTAGATATTATTTTTATATTCACCTCCGCTGCAAATAGATGCTGAAATAAAAATTAACTAAGAATTTTTATTGCACTTTCATGTGATAAAAAATAATGTATGTAAACCGGTCCCAAATAAAACTACTGAACCGCACCCTCAATTTTTGCATCTAGCTCAAAGCACACAGAGAGCTCTTGTTCTTGAATCCGATAAATTGATGTACCTCAAATTGAACTCCAGTCAGTGCAGGATTCTTTTTGTCACGAGTTCGTGCGCCAAACTGATGCCAGGGAGGAGAGGGTCTTGTAAAAGCAAGAGCGAGAGCGTGTTATGAAAGTAGTGCAATTAAGATTCGATTGTTACGCCTTTGATACAGATGAGATAAGACTCTTGTGAATGAAAACTGGTCAATTTTAATTGCGAAAAACCACCACCTTCAAAAGTGCATTTTGCTTTGTGTAAAATAAGAATGCCTAGATTTACCTTTTTTAAGCTTTGTGATTAATTTTAGATAGAGAGCCAACCTAATTTAATGCTAATGAGATGCCAAATTTATCGTGTGATCAATCGTTGATAGTTTGCCAATAAGCTTTAAAAGGTATTTGCTTTTGTTTTTATCTCCAGACTTGTGAATAAGTCAAGGTTAAATGAGCGTCGAAAATGTGCATAATGTATTATTCATATAAACGCAGCGCGACTTGGAAGAAATTTCTCTTTCATGCCTTAAAACAAAGAAAACTTTATATAGCGGACATAAAATGTTATAATTATGTTACTTGGCCTTTGCGGTTGTTGTGGGTTCGCTCGAGTTTACACACGCATTAGTGTCAGAAAGTGTTTTTGTGGGTGGGCGCCGTTTTTGGACGTTGAATAATCGACCTTAAAAAGAACGTGAGCAGCTAGAAAAGTAAAAACAGAGGCACTCTTCGTAACGCACGGAAAAGGAATAAAAAAAATTCCCTTTAAAGACTTCTAATTCTATATAACAAAAAAAAAAAAATTGAAAAATCGACCAAGAGAAGGATAAATAATTTTTGTGTTGCGCAATTTTTTATTGCACTTGATCAGTTTTCACTTTTCACTTTTAAGATAAAATTACGTTCTTGAATTTTGATTAATCATCTGTAGCCTATCCCAAGGATATAGTGCAGAGTTCATTTTTAAATAATACAAAGGATTATTAATCAGGGGAATGCGGTACTGCAAAATCTTACAGTTGATGCAACTATTCGTGCTGCGAAAATTAACAGAGTTGCGCCGACCAGTGACCTGAAGAAAGGGCGAGCGCACTTCTTTAACTTTGAATAAGACTTTCTCAGTATAGGCATTAATACACTTCATCTCTGATTTCTCTATTCGCTCGCTAAGATTTATATTCCCTTGCCGTAAATTGTTGCAGGACTATAGCGTGCAGTTGAAAGTGCATTGAAGTAGTAAATGACGCAAATTGAATTTCTCCTTTTTCGATTTGAGCTACCTGAATTCCGATCATTCTTTAATTGATTCTTTATTATGTTTATATCAACATAACTTGCTTAAAAAAACAACCATAAAAAATCCAGCAAAACAAAATAAAATTTAAATTAGATGAAATTACTTACAACGATTTTTTTTAATCAACGCGTAAAAAAATCAACGTATAAAAATTAAAAATAACACAAATTTAAGTAGGCCAAGAGTTTTTACCTTCATAGAAATTGTAAAAAAAACATTGATCGTTTTCGGATTAATTATAATTAACCATCTAACACAGAAGTTGGTAAGAAATAGATCAGATTTAAAAAGCAAGCAGGTTTGCGGTTTCTAGGTCAAGTTACTGCGAATCGATGAATAGACTCTCTTAATGGAATTGCAAAACAGACAAATCTACGAGCTGTGAAATTTTTTATCGCAAAACACAATCTCATATAATCTTTAGCACGTACATTTACAAAACTCGTGATACAAATCTTCAGGAATAAAGTAATTTAATAATTCGATTTGGATGATGAATAGAAAAAGGTCTCATAACAATAAATTTCGAAATATTTGCACAGCATGCATGATGGGAATTAATCACCTCTAGACGGGTATTATCTCATTCTGTCTGGCGCTGGTTCCGCCAACACATATCAAACGCAGCTCCAATTAAACCGCTTTCGCCTCGCAGTCGACTTTATTTTGCAGAGGATTTCATTGCCAATGTCAACAGCGCAAATTGAGCAGAACAAAAGCATTTTTATGCAAATGTTATAAACTCTTCCGCTTGAATAAATTTAAGCAGATCAAGCTGAAAATGAAGCTTGCTTGACCTCTGACATCGCAATTAGTACTTCACGTGCTCTCGTCCGAGAGCAGGGAAAGTTCAGACCATCTGTTTCTTTCCTTTTCTTGGTCGTGTTATTTGAACGAGCTTTCGGGACGCAGAAGGTGATTTATTCCTTTGACTTTTGTTATACAAGGAAATGATTCTTTCTTTCTTTTGCCCATTACTGGCGGCGCCTCGCGAATCACGTAACCGCGTTCGCCGGCACGCGTGTGCACTGCACCGACTTTATTAGCCACTTTTAGAGCAACATCCCATGTTTGGTCAGTTCCCACTTTCTCCCGCCCACCGTAACCACTACCTGGAAAAATTACGTTATAACAACTTAGCTGGGGTATTATACAATTAGCGATTATCTCATACAACGGCCCTTCCAGACACAACACGTCATCCTCAAAAGATCGTTTCTGTGGTTTTGCCAAATTAAATGACTCATAAAATCGGAAACTTTTGCTCTTCCACCGTACCAGATAAAAACTACAACCTGTATTTGAGAGAAAGTAATGCCTGTTTAAACTAATTTATTTTGGGCCGCATTATTTTTAATATAACGTTTATAGCCTTTCAACGTGCGCGATTTGAATCTGGAAGATAAGAGTAGCTCGTGAAATTGGCCAAAGGAATGCAGAAGCAGTGAGTATGCAAATGAACACGAAACGAAATATTGCATTCGGACGCGATAGTGGAAATCCTTTTAGCTCTAATGGCCTCTTTCTCTCTCCTTCAGGAGAAGCGTTCGTATGTCAAGATTGGCGGGACATAAAATTTTATTGCAAAACGATAAATAACAATAAAGGCCGCAACTCCCACAGTGGTCGTGCTTTTTCGGACATTCTTGATGTTAGAAAGCTCGGAGATTCGGAACGAATCCTATTATTCATTTTTTTTCTTCAGTGGAGAGTGAGGTGACTCTTTACAGTTGTGACGACACTTAGCCTCCCCAAGGCGGATTGATGATTCATTAGCAAATCTTTTCCGTGAAAGAGTTAAAATATTATAAGTGGAGAGGGGGCTATTTATAATATTTTAAATGACACACAGATGACAGCATCACATGTAATGACAAAAAGTAAAAGAAAAGGAAATTTTTAATTTGTTTAAATTTCCACTTTTAGTGCAATTATAAAATAAATTAAAAGCAAATATTTTCTTATACATTGAAAAGAATGACAATTGAAGTGCAAAAATATTAGGATATTCACAGCTGGTAAAAAATATTTTTTATTGAGAGAAAAATTTGATCAATTGAAGTTAATATGTAATAAAAATGATGATGCAAAAAGGATGTTTTGTATTTTTTGAGCTAATTAAAAGCTGGCTAAATATATATTATCTAAAATTAATATTAGATACTAGAAATTTTGCAGTATTTAATAAAATTATAAATCATTACAAAGATAGGAAAGAAATTTTATTTTATTTTCATTCAATGAATTTTAATCAATGATCTCGTTTTTCAGGTGGTTATACTAACCCTGGCCGCCAGTGAAGCGGTGATCCAGTCCGGGTACGCTGGCTGGAACGATGATCCAACCACGCAATACCATATCCAGACCGATGAGGGTCCCGAGCGCTATTTCCGCTACCAGACGCAGTCCGGTCAGTACCGCAAGGAAAAGCGCCTTGAGGACGGCACCGTGATCGGCACCTACGGCTGGGTCGACCCGACCGGAATGTTGTTGCTCCGGGACTACGTCGCCGACAACGCCGGCTACCGCATCGTCCGCACCAAGAAGGTCTTCGTCGGTCTGGAGGGTGACGCCAAAACCTCCACCCCGGTCGTTTCGCAACCCAAACTTCCGGTGGTGCAGGTCGTGCCCACTCCAACCCCCACCCCCAATCCCGTGGTAGTGATCGCCCCCAAACAGCCCATCCAAACCAACTACCTCTACGACCACCCCGAGAGCGCCAGCAAACCTCAGGCCGCCAATTTCGGCTCCCACCCCTATTACACCAGGGACTTTGGCGAGTACGAACCGGTGGTTGGATATCAGAGGAAGAAGACAGGCTACTTCGTCAAACCGTCCGTTTATAAACAACCAACCCCCAGCAACGTCTACGCCCAACCAACCCCTAGCACTGTCTTCGTTCAACCGAACCCCACTTATAGCCAGCCGGCGTCCAACTCCCTCGAGTACGGCGTCAGGAAGCAGCCTACTTACGCCCCCATCAGGGTGTACACCCCAGAGCAACAGGACTTCGTCCTCCGTAACCAGGCTTCCCAGGCCTCCTCCGAGTACAAGTACCGTCAGCAAGCGGCCGATTCTTCGTACGACGGAATTTCGACCACCCAGAACGGCTTCAAGTACTTCTTGCCCAAGAACTACCACGAGGAGGAGGGCACCGCCACCAACGACCGCACCGGCAGCTACGGCTATATCGACCCTTTCGGCATTAGGCGCGTCGTCTACTACAACTCGTCGCCAGGCAGCGGCTTCCAGGTCAAGAAGAACAACCGGTACGTCGGCTTCGACTCGACCCCGTACGACCCCCGACCTTAAAAAGTTTAGTGTAGTAGTGTGAGTGCGATTATTATTATTATTTTTTTTTTACGGTCAGAGAAAGTGCGAGTGATTAACTTATTAAGAAAGAAAAGTCCGTCCCAAGACTAATTTCAAAAGCAGTGGACTAATTCAAGTAGGGTTTTGATTAATCCAGGAAACTAATTGTGAGAGAGACATCGGAACACAAAAGAAGGAATTTTTCATACACATGTGATAAATTAGGGGTAATTTTATGTACGTGTTTAAATCGCAAATAAGAGAAAAGCCGGACGGATGGTATATTTTTTCATATGCAGTGTTTCGAAAGCAAAAAATAAATGTGCAAAACATCGCCTCTGATTTAAAAGCACGTGCCAAATATTCCCACGCCTGGGAAACGTAAGCAAATTACGCATTAAATGAGAAGAATGTTAATTCTTTCATTCTTTCTTTTGCTAAAATATTCAATCCGTGTGCTGTTTGTAAGCCGCGCGCGATGAGATATTGTGTTACATCACTCGTGGGAAGCACTCACTCTGTAATTACCACGCATCTACAAAAACGAAGACGTTATGCTAATGCAATTTTCAACTACCGTCGAGTGCCGAGAGCTTTCCTTTACAATTTGCGCTTTATTCACACCTTTTGTCCAAATAAAATGCATTATTAGGAATAATGACGAATGAAAACTCCCATGTTGCGATGCCATAGTAACAAACTTAATTAAAGCCTAATGGGAGCACTACTTTGATTTTAAATAGAAATTTAGCAGTAATTTTAATTTTTCAATTTTTGTTTATAATTACTACCCACAATCGCATGTAGCAGTTGAGTGAAAAGGACCTTTTGCAATCACTGCTCATTTTTTGAAAATGTTTTAGAAAAATGTGCCTGCGAAATAATGGGCTCTAGTTGAAGGGTCCAGCATGTTTGACTGTCAAGTAAGATTAATAATAAAAACGAGAAAAATGAATAAAAAACGAAAATCATGACTATATTATTTCTTAAATTACAAAAATTAAATTAAATCTTTCACAACCTGACGCAAGCGTATTATCTTATTCACTACACCGCTCTAAACAAAAATAAAGAAATTATAACACAACTCACAAATTTTCGAGTGTTTTGAATGGAAACTACTTACTTAAAGTGTGTTCACACGTTTGAACTACGAAAATCTTTTATCAGTTGTTAAGTCGTTAGCAAAAATGTGTTAACCAGAATTGACACATCTTATCAAAATCATGAGGCCAGTTCAACTTGACGCTTTGATTGAAGGCGACAGATTGCCTCTTGAGATAATTTGCTACTTTTGATTTCGATAGCGGCCGTTTTTAAAAAGCAATTGAAAAACGATTCAGCTTTTGATCTTAAAACGCTGAACATCGGCCATATATTTTCTTGTATTATTTTATTTAAAAATGGAAAACTTCAGAAATTACTATTTCCTGGTCGCTCTGCTCACAACATCGCAAGTTTTGTGCAGAAATCTGGTGGCAGATGAGACAATTGTGGGAGGCTCTGAATTGGTAATTTTGTATTGTTGGTTCCTATTTCATATTGCGTATAATTTTCTTGTGGGCGCCGCGAGAAGGTTGATCAAGAGCAATACGGCGCTATAACTCTGCAATACACACCTGTAGGATGGGATAAGGAAGAGTTGAATTTAAACATTCTTGAGCAAAATTTGGATTACTTGGATGCTGCGTTTGTCAACGCAAAGGTGCATTATTTTATAATTAAATGCTTTTACATTAAATTTCTTTGATTAGGGAAGAGATTTGCTAGTTTTTCCAGAGTATGCTTTAACATCACTACTAGTAAAAGAAAACAGAGAAGCCGCCTACAATGTATCGCAGATCGTTCCACATGTTGGAAATATTATGTGCGAGGCAAATTCAACTTTGGGGAATGATTATTTGGTTTGTGTTGTTTTCCAACAGAATTATTCATTCATACAAGCAATCATTCTTTTTTTGCCTTATTAAAAATTTTAATTAGGCTGTGTCTCGGCTTTCTTGTCTTGCCAAGCGACTGCAAATTACTCTTGTGGCAAACCTGGTTGAAAAAGTGATTTGCAAAGCGACAGAAGTAAATCAACCATGCGGCGCCGACGGTGTTCTTCTGTATAACACGAACGTTGCATTCGATCAGGACGGCAAACTGCTCGCTAAGTATATATGATCGGAGAGATAAATTGTGACATGTAAAATAAAATGCACTTTCCTTGCTCGTCAGGTATCGCAAGTTCAATCTCGTGGAAGAGTCTGCTTTCAACAAAACAGATGCTGCGGAGGCTGTCAAGTTCAATACAAAGTTCGGAGTGACTTTCGGTCTTGTCACAGGCCACGACCTGCTCTTCCATAGCCCCGCGTCTGAACTAATTAACAAACACCAAGTCACTAATTTTGCTCACCCTACCGCCTGGGTCAATAATTTGCCATTCAAAACAGGTTCTCTATTAATTTATATCTTTCTCTAAAAAAGTTGTCTTATAATATACACAAAATTTATTATTGTGTAATTAATTTTTAATATGATATTACGTGCACCTATATTATGTTAATTTTTTTTATTATTTACATTTTTATAATTGATTTTAAGGTACTCAAATCCAGATGGGCTGGTCACACACCATGGGAGTCAATTTGGTGAGCAGCAGTTATTTGCACGTGGAAAAGGGTTATAGTGGCGCTGGTATATATCGCAAAGACGGCACTTATCGAACTGCTATCGGTCTGGAGACCGGCGGCGACCCTATTATAGACTTTCACGATCAAGAACCTCAAGACCTGAGCAACTTTTTCACCGACAGCGACTCCCTGCTCGCGAATTACAGCACTACCCTTATTAACAATGAAACCACCCTTGCCGAGACGTGTTTTGAAGATTTCTGCTGTTATCTTAATTTCGAGGCCGATTTTGGTAATGAAGAAATTTTTTTCCAACTGATCGCCTTCAATGGAACAGACGAGGATGGTGTGGTCGTGCAGGCGTGTGGACTGGTGGCGTGCGGAGGCCCAGAAGTTTTAACTTGCGGGGATGGAATCAGTTCTGCCAGTTATGCCACGCGAATTTCTTTCAACGCTCTTAAACTCCGAGGCACTTTTAGGTAGTTTTTTTTCTTCTAAATTTAATGAGAATTATTTATTTTCTCATAAACAAAATTTTGAATTTAATTATAAATATAATATAAATAATTTAAATTAATATGTTCTATTTATTTCTTAATCCAGCTCTTCGGAAGTGATTCCGAGTACCCTGAAGTCAGAGAGCGCACTGCCCTTTTCGTTCAAAAGCACGCTGGCAAAGCAGCAGCTGACCAAAGGCTGGCAGGTTGCGATAGAAATAAACGAGCCGGTGAAGGTGCGCACATTTGCCCTGTATTCCCACGACTTCCACGTCGTCGTCGGCGGCAATAATGCGGCTACTGCTTGGATTCCGTGCTTTATTTTGCTGCACTTTGCCGTGCTCACATTAAGGCTCATTGTGTGAGGCCTGCACTTACATCAGGCGTCTTGTTATGCTAATCAGAAAATGCACCGCGCGGCGCGGTTTGCGTCACGCCGGCCTCTATAACTTAGTTTTACTCATTATTGTTTCGTGCCACCCACCAGAGGTGTGCTGTAATTTATTATGCTGTGAATAAAATAAAATATATTTTATAACTGTACATTGTGTTCTTTTTTCGCTTAGTTTTAAATCAAGGTTGATTTCGTTGCCTTGCTGTATTTAAGATAATTAGTTAAAAAGAAACAATAAAATGTTAGTTGAAATTGGTTGAAATGTCATCAATAAATAATTCAATTACGGTTGTGAAATCTTATAAAAAATCGGAAGTTGCCTACAAAAGTATTCATAAGAAGCTGCGAAGAGCGATCCAACCTTGACAGAATCATAACATGTGTGCGCCACCCACTTGATAATTAGCATTTGATATAATGACAGCCAGGGGCAAATGTGGGCGAGTGATGAGGTTTTTTTTCTAACGTCTGCCTCTACCTCCTCAAATGCATTTGATGCGAATCGCTAAATTGCGTGATTTAGAAATATGGGTGGAAAAAATAGCATTATAATGTATCGCAACCAAAATAAAATAATAAATAATAATATGATTGGGTAATGGAGCAGAGCACGTGGGGCGTTTGTTTTGTGCACCAGGATATTTTTCGAAAGTTAAGTTTGTGCAGATGAATCAATCGTATATTGAATACACCTATTAGTAGTTCCAGCACTTGGAAATTTTGTTTTTCAGAATATTGCGTTATTTAGAATTTTGTTGTCATGTTTCAAGTGTGAACCTCGCCTTGGGATAACAAGGAAAAGTAACAATTAAACGAGCGCCTATAAAAGTACCTCAGAAATAAATCAAGTGCTTATTACTGCGTAGGTATCAAATCAGTCAACGTCATGAGAGAGGTAAGAGCAATAATCGAAATATATGTGAAAAAATTGAATTTAATTTTTTTTTTTAATTTTCTTTACAGTTTTTGGTCATTTTTGCCCTTGTAAGTGCGATTGCGGGTGAAATTTACGCACCTCCAGTTGTAACTTACCCTCCTGCAGAAGTGACATATGCCCCAGCCAGGACAACTCCGGCGCCAAAGATAGTGCATGTTTACGCACCTCCTCCTCCACCCATATACGCGCCACCCGCTCCAACGTATGCTCCTGCCATAACAACGACCCCTGCTCCCAGAGTCGAGTACGCACCCCCTGTTGAAAACACCTACCCTCCTCCTGTGCCTACCTACGCCCCTGCCAGAACCACTCAACCCCCTCCTAGGGTAGAATACGCTCCCCCTGTTATTCACACCTATGCTCCTCCTTCGCCCACTTACGCGCCTGCCAAAATAGTAAAACCAGAATATGCACCCCCGCTGCATACTCAGACGGTTGCGATCTTCAAACCAGAGCACACCTACGCACCTCCTGCACCGATCTACGCACCTGCCTACGCGCCTCCAGCACCAACCTACCCTCCTCCGGTTCCCACTTACGCCCCTGCAAGAACAACCACCCCGAAACCTGTCTACTCACTCCCCACGCCAGAGTACGGAGCGCCTGAAGTGGTGAAAATTGTGTCACCTGTTGTCCACATCCCTGAACCAGCACCAGTAGTTAGGGCCGTGGTGCCTGGCACCAGCACATTTTTCCTGAAGCCCATCGTTGTCCCTGACATTGAAGTAACAAAAACTGTCGATTTCCATATTATTGAACATGAACTTGCTCCACCTCATTTCTAAACTTGTTTATAATTTACAATAAATATAATATAAGACAAAATCAACTTTCTTTCTACTTGAATCAATTACAAAATGTGTTTTATTTTTCTAAACATAGAATTGTAAATAATATATAGTACTTTAGGAAAAATATTTTTAGGATTAAAAAATTAGAAATTAAAATTTAATCTTTTAGTTTGTGGAACTGCAGCCGCAACGGTTTGTCAGGCTTATTAATCAGCAATGATTTGCAATCAAGGGCTCCATCACCGTGCCACGTAATATGAAATTCCCTTGCAATCTGTAAAAAAAAACGTTCCTTGAAAGTAGATATAATATATTTTTAACACCGGAGGTGTTACCTTCAAGAGCAAAATCTGAATGTTCTGCTCAGCTAGACGCTTTGCAATACACGCTCGGGGTCCGTGACCAAAGGGAAGCGAGAGATAAGGGTGGACGTTTTGCATCAAAGCATGGCCCCTTATCCACCTTTCGGGCAAAAACTCGTTGGGGTTTTCAAAGTACCGCGACTGGCGACAGGTGACTTGGTTCTGAGTCACGATCACCGTCTGAAATTAAAAGAAGCGCGAGTCAAAGTGAGCGCCTGATTTACATAATAATGCTACTACCCCTTTGGGCACTTTGAATCCCGAGAAAACGGCGTCGTGTTGCAGAATGCGTCCTACGCCAACCGACACGGGATTAAGGCGAAGCGATTCTTTAAGAACGGCTTTGGTGTACGCGGCGCCTGATAAGATCTGCGTCGTGACCCCCACCTCAGGGGTCGGCAGCAGCGATCTCGCTTCCTCCTGCAGACGGAGCTGCTTATCAGGGTTCACCGCCAAATGATACAGGGCAAAGCTCGAGCTGTAGGTCGTCTGTCGGAGAAAAAAGTAAGAACAATTATTTTTTTTCCTCTCTTTTATTTTTGTGTTCGTTATAATGTTGAGATACCGTATCAGCGCCGCCAAGCAGCATGTCGACCATCATTCCAATCACATCCTTTCGATCGAGATCAGGACTGGCGAGGTATTGTTCCAGCAGAGACAAAGGCTGACCGTCCGCCTTATCTCGCGCCCCGGCCGCTTTCTTCTCGACAAATTCAATCGCGACTCTGCAATTCACCATTGATTTATTTGTTTTTAAATTTAAAATTCCATCTAAAAGATCTCGATCACTTTTCCAGCTGCAGCAGTGCTTGTTCCAGTTTTTTGTACAGCGGCGTCTTGAATTTTTGCCACAGGCGCAGACCATTGTCCGTACCCAAGATGCAACTGTTGGCGGTGAACGCAGCCTCCAGTATTTTGTCGCACATCGGGCTGGACCTTTCACTCAGACCACCCATTCTTTCATCAAAAGTGACCAATCCAATTACTTAATGAGAAGATAAAATTTATTTTATATTTTTAATATTTCAATGATTTATTACATTCCAAAGTGACGCGCGAGAGCTCATTTAAAAAATTCTCTGCTGGAGCTGCGGTCGCCCTTTTTTCAATAAGTCGCAAAAAATCATTAGCGACCTCATCAGATTTGGGGACGTAATTTTGCACACTCTGCGGCTTGCTCAACGCCCGCTGAAATGTGGTCCGCAGACGCGCCCAATCAGGACCGTTTCTAAAATAACATTTTTTTTTTTAATAGCGATATTCAGAAAAGGATTAATAATTATATGCACGTTGGAAGAAGTCCGCCTGTGTTATAAATTGCCGGTCTGGTGAGTCTAAAGTGCTGCAAGGCGAGGTGACTCAGCCTTTGAGGGTGTTTTCCTTCTCCGTGTCTGAACAGGGTCTCGATGTCGTTCGGGTCAAAGAGCCAAACGATCGACGTGCCTTTGACGATTTCTTCCCGCACCGCTGCACCATATTTCGCGAGTTTCTTTGCCCCATTCCAATGCAGCCGATCAAACTGATACTCGCCTTAAATTTGTGTAAAAAAATTATTTCTCAAAAATAAAATAAATTCAACTCTACACATTTTTGCTTTTAAATTTATTTTCTGAAAAAGTTTTCTTGTTTTTATTTTTTAAGTAAATTTTTTTTTTACCAAAGACTGGAAGGTATTTGTACAAAGTGCCTACGACCGGTAGTGAGCGCGGGCCAGGCATCTCTTGGAAGGGCCTCGAGGTGTCGCCATCACACAGTTGCCGTACGATTGATCGTAGAAAGCGGCAATGCGTGGCGCCTTGGACCTTCAGATTCCTGACGCATAAACATTATTTATGAGCGACTTTATTAGCTTGTGAAACTTGAAATACCACTTTGACCGCAACGATAATTGATTGTTCATTAGAAAGTGAAAATAATCTACTCACAGTTGCATTGTCGCTGACCTGCCACACTCGTGCTTTTCACTTAAATATTATTAAAATCCATAAGCTTGCATTTTCATCTGCGATTTTGTTGTTTTAGTTTGGTAGATCAAGAAACTGCAGGCAGATGGCGAGTTTCTCTTTGGTCACTGTATAAGTGAAGAAGAACTTTTTGGTATAAATCGTTTAAGTTTTCATAATGCAAAGCATACGAAATGAAGTCGATGTAAATTAAATTTTGACCGCATTGGTTATTTTATCTCGACCAACAAATATTTAAATTGGTAAAAAGGCAGAAGTCTCTACTGTATTAATAGCGACGATTTGATTTAAAGAGTGAAATAAAAAGAAAATAAAATACAAAACATATCAAAATATAGTACTGTAAAATTTTGAAATCATAGTATTTTATAATATTATTTTTTTTTAATTCATTAATATTTTTTATATGTATAAACTCGGCATATATATCAAAATATATATGATGTAAAATTGAATGACCTTTTTCACTTATCAAACAAAAATTATTTGAATGAAGCGTTGCATAAAAACACGAATAACATTCATGCTTTTGAAATAATAATTTATTACTATTAGTCAGATATTGTACATTTTCCTCAGGTCTCATCTAATCACATTAAGAATCCATTCTGTATAATTGGAAACCCTGACGTACAACCCAGGGTACGTCCTGGAGCCGCAACCAACTCCAGTTGAGACAACTCCAATCAAAGTGTGAACGTTTCCCTCTCGCATCACAAGCGGCCCACCTGAGTCGCCCTATGAAAAAATGATTATATTTATTTTGCTTTAGAATTGAATAACAAGGCTGTTTTCAAATACCTTGCATGCGTCTTTGCCGCCCTTTTCAGTGTCACCGGCGCACAACAAGTTGCTGGTGATGCCCTGAGGGTAATTGAACATGAGGCGCGATGACGAATAGGCTTTTGTGCACCTCTCATTAGGAATGATTTGTACGCCGACCTCAAGGAGAACGTCGCTCTTCTCGCCGCCAAACGCTGTATCTCCCCAGCCTTTAAATATTCAATGCATAATATTTATATAATAGTCATCAGTCGCAGGTTTAGTACTAAATTATAGAGGCACCATTTATGCTTCCATAAAAAAATTGAAGGTTTAATGAGTATATAAATAAATAGACAAATACAAAATAAAAAATTTCTTTCAACAATTTGTGAGTAACATAATAATATTTAAATTTATTATAAATTTTAACCTTAAATGAAAAACAAAATTAAATAAAGAAAACTCTAAATAAAAAATAAATACAAGTAAATAATTCAAAATTTTAATTCGAACAATATTATTATTTTGCTATATATTGTACCTGCAATAGTAGCAATAGCACCGTCCAATATCCTCAGTCCCGACGGTGGCAGGCAAACAGGTTGAATGAACTTATTGAAAGAGACCGGTTCCCTCAATTTGAGAAGGGCGACGTCGTGGTAATAAACTGGCGCATCGAATTCAGGGTGCCGTACCACATTAGCAACCATGAAGTCTTTGGGAGACGCGGCATCGTCACTGCGCGAAAAGTCGAGCTCGCCCAATCTGACCAGCTCAGGTTTTCTGCAAACGCAAAAAATTCGGTAAAAATGGCTTGTTCTGGCAAAAAAGCAAAATCATGCCTGTTGGTGGAACTGATGCAGTGCGCCGCTGTAATCACCCATTGGGCCGCGATCAAAGAGCCGCCGCAAAACCAGACGATCCCGCTTTTTGTGCGCTCACCGATTGCAGCCTGTGCAAGTTTTTTTAGGGAACAGTGACTTTTAAAAAATTTTCAAATTGCGTTACCATCCAGGGTGAGCTCTGGGCTGTTCTGAGCGGAACTCCGCCAATGATGGATTCTGGAGCGGGGGCAAAATTGTCGCGGAAAACAATGGCACCTTCCGAGTCCGCAAATAACTGGCCACATTCTGTTATTTTGAATAAAAAAATATGCAATTAAATTAAATTAAATAAAAATTAATTAATAACTCGTTCATCTCAAATAAAAAGATTTCAAGACGCTAATATACATATTTGTTGTGAAACTATTTGTATGTATAAATAAGCTGTTTTTATTAAGAGGAAATGTACATTGTTAAATTTTATTGCTTCAACTATAAAATAAATTCAGATTATCAGACATTACAAATGAATACGATTAAACCAATTAAGTATTAAGTTTGATTAATTAAATGTTATTAAAAAATTATTTTACGTTTATAAAACTTTTTAATATAAAACTGGTTTTGTTATATTATTATTATTATTTTAGGCTTACGGCTTACTTTGATTGCTTGGGTTGGTTGCAACAGCATTATTTGGTTTGTCCTTGTTCGGCTTGGGGACGCTTGGACGTGTGCAACTAGGGGTATTGGGACGGTTTGGAGCAACGGGACGATTAGGAGTTATATATGGACGGTTAGGAATGGGTCGATTCGGAGTGTTGGGACGCGTGTCCGCATGGATGGCCTCTTTGTCCTTTGGCGGGCAGCAAACCAGTGGTTCGCCCGCATTCCATCCGCAGTAGGCTCGGAAGCCTCGGGGCCTCAGGGTGGTGCATCCCTTGACCGGGACGCAAGGCCATCTAACCCCACCACTCCAACCGCCTGGACAGGACGAGTCGTCAAAGTCTTCATCTCCGACCTCCTCACTGGAATCCCCTCCGTGATGATGGTGATGGTGGTGAAAATGAGGGTTGTGCGGTGGCAACCACTCTGCGTCGTGACCGCTGCTCCAGCCGCCCCTCGTCGGCTGAGCTGCGGGGTTGAAAGGGAGCGACGGAGGCCGCATTTGGAAGTGGTTATATCCGTAATCGCCAAAAACGGATTCGGTTACTAAAAAAATAAAATGTAAAATAACAAAGCGCGAAATAATTATTTTATGATATTATAGCCATATTGCGCCCAGCAACAAGCAAGTTAAGAGAAAACATTTGTGTGGGTCTGTGGGATATATAAATGGATAATGGGCTGAAGACGCGTTATATAGAACATCTGCTTTCAAGCGGTTGATTCCAGTAAATCCAGTATTAAGGAGTTGATAATTGTTTGACTTCAACTTTTTCCTTGTAATTTTTACTTAAAAATTCGATTGATATTACCAAATTACTGTTTTGATGATTTTCTCTTACCTTGAATGCAGGCAAGAAGCGCGATAATGATGAGCACAAATTTTAAATCCACGGAGACCTCCATCTCGAACGAAGCCTATTACATTTATGATCCTCTGCAGATTCAACAAAAGCGGCGGCGCACTGTCGGAAGCAGGTGTTGCGAATCGCTCCGTAAAAAATCGCCGTATTCTCTCTCGTCGCGAGGAGAGATGTTGCGTGAAGGAGTTCAATCCAGTCAGTGACCAAGAAGTTGTCGGGGAATTTCTGAAAAGCAAGTCCCTCCAAATGGCATAGGTGGGGTACTTTCCAACCTCACCTGAGCGACGGCAAATGATATTTATGGAACGCCTTTGGGCTTGAGAAAAGAAAGATGATAAATCCGCGATTAAAGTACAGTACAGCATCCGCACGCATGCTTTGCGAATGCGTCACTTTATTGAATAATAATAGGGTCTCCGTCGGAATCCTTCCCGGCTTTCTTTCACGGATTTAATAATAAAATAAATGGCACGCGGTATTTAACCTTGTCGTGCGAAGGTATGAAAAAGCAGGCGTCGCGTGCCTGATCATTAGCAAGGATCAAGACAAGTTTTTTTCGCGCGGGCTTTCCTCCTGCCATAAATTAAGTTTGCGCAGATGCTGTGACAATATGCTGGATTTTCGTGAGGTTCCGCATTTAGCACTTTATTAAATATAAAATATGCAAATTTTTATTCAAACTATAACCTTAAACATATCTATTTATATCTTCTTAATAACTTCCTTACACTGTTATTTTTCTTTTTTTCTAACTCAACTGGTAAATTTTTATGATGTTTCTCTATTTATTTGGACAGTTGAAAATTAAATTTTTATTAAATCCGTTCGCAATAATTCAATTTTTGCTGTATAAGCAACACAATGTTTGCGCTTAATATGTACTTCTGGATTTTCCGCTCTCATCCTGAGGCTAATTTATTCATGTAATTCATGACGGGATTACCCAATTTTTTCTGCATTGAAGTTTTCAAGCCCAAAAATACTAAATTTATTTTTTTAGTCAGATTAATTTTTTCCTTTCAAAATTACAGATTCTATGCTCATATTTTTCATGACTCAAATTTCATTAAGAGTGTTGTTTGTGCAATATTATAAGGAATTTAACAGAAATAATATATTCAAGGAATTGTGAACATTAATGTGTATATTTTATTGACATATTGCTCTGTTCAACAATTATTAAGTCATGCAGAGTGCAGAGGTATAATATATAAATCTAAACATGGTGTCAGTATACATAATATTATAATAGTATCAACGTCGCCATATATGTATATAATATAATTATCTATTTTTAATTCTAACAATGCAGCATAGTATATATCAAGGTGGTTGCTTGCACCTAAAATTTGTAATTCAACACCTTTATCATGGTTCAATACTCTCTTGAGAAAAGGCTACGTGCGTCTATTGTGAATACCCGTCACATGAATTGGTTGGTTTACAATATATTCAATATAGTAATATAATAATACAAATATTCAGACTTCTCCGTGTCTTCTTACGACTAATGCTGATAGACGAGCTTTGGGTTTTGCTGATGAGCAGGAAAAACTTGCATGATTAATCAAAATCGCTACCACTGGCATGAGTAAATTGTCAAACAGCACACACAGGTACCAGAGAGTAGCACTAAAAATATGGCAACAAACTATAGCAGAAAAATTTCACTGCTCATCGATCTTAACTTAAAATTGAATACTGGCTACAAAAATCATAAAAAAATCTTGTGTCGTTGGCAGTCTTTGAGTAGATCTCTCTAGAAACATGGCAGCAAACACAAAATTCGTAAAGCTCCTTTGACTGGTAAACTTGTTTTAACTATTACACAATAATTTCATTTTTGTTCTCGTATTTGCAAGATGTTATTTTGATTTCAAGTATTTGTTCTTCACACGGCTCAAATTTACTTTTCCAGCTTTGCAATTCTGGTCCCTTAGGATGCAGAAAGGTTGGGTAAGATGTATAAAAAATTAAGCCCGAAAATGTAATCTAAAAAATTATAAAAAGTAGCCATAATAAAACCCAAACTGAAATTAAGTTTCAACTTTTTGCTGCTGTTTCGTAAAATTTTCATTTCTGGTTTAGAATTGTGAAAAAACTGACAATAAATCAGAAATAAATTGAAATAAATTTAAAAAAATTTGCAAATAATTCTAGAAAATCATTTGATTTGGTCTGAAAACCCCAAAATGAAACTAATTATAATATGGCTATGAAAATTTCACCTTTTTTCATTTGCATTGCTATCGCACTTTGCAATCAGGTCGATCAGTTTGAGAATCTCGGACAGCGTGTGCTGCGAGTCCTCCTTGGCCGCGTCTCATTGTCTCGCGCTCCGCTCAGTCTCCATCAGACACTCCCTGACCAGAATTCGCGAGTGGACGATGCCCCTCTTAAGTCTCTCGGCGGCCGTCTTGCTGCCGGCGTACGTCGGCCGGAGGTCTTTGCCCATTTCCTCGATGACCGCGAGCAGCTGGGCGTACTTGGACATGGACGGCTGCTGCGGCGGCACCACCGTGATCGAGGCCATCGTGTTTGACTCGATGAACGAGGTCGGTGGGGTTGGGGGCATGTTGGCGGGGATTGGCGTTATCGTCACCGAAGGCTCCATACTCGCGATTCGGGCTGGCAACTCGTCGTCCATTCTTCGATTCTTCTACCAAATTTTAGAAACTGATAAATTAAATTTTTTAAATTATGTAGAGGTCTCACCTTAAACACGCGAACAAGAGCTGATTTTCTTTCTACGCCCCTGTCTAGTGTGTTGACCGAATATTTATAAATAATTTCAGCTTCAGCTGGCTGGGGACGATGTTGGGGGTGTGTTTCCTTCACAGAACTTCCACTGTTTTCCGCCAGGGGCGTGACCGTCGACGATAGCTGAGAGCACTAAACTAAATTGGCGAAATTTGCACCTCGTTTATTTGCAATTTTCCCACGCGTCCGTGACCGCTGAGGACCTAATTAGTAGATATCCTGAGAGAATAATTATTGGTTAGTAGAATGATTTCATCTGCAGCGATCAAAGTGGCCACAGGGCAGTAAATAGAAGCCTCAAAAATGTTTCCCTTGCACCGGCTCTCTGTTACTTGGAGAACTTGATGAAAGGCATGTCGGTATTGCTGCAAGAGACAAGTGTTTATTGAGCCCCTGGCAGATAGGCCCCCAGTGGAGTTTTTTTCTGCGTGAAGTGCCTTCATTATGTAGCAGTTTGCTTATAAGGCGTTTTAAAATCCGACCTAAATTTAACTGATTTTCTTTTTGAAACAAATTTTTGAGGTGCAATTCTATCAAAACTCTGCAAAATCAATAATCGTGTCATTCGTGTCTGATCACTTTTAATATTTGCTAATTGATTCTTATGCGATTTTTTTCAGAATATATTTGACTTGACTTAAATCTAAAATGGCAATCAACACTATCCTGATGGATTTTAAAGTTAGCGAACCAACAAAACTGGGTGTGTATTGAAGTTCAATAAATAAATCATTTATTAAAAATTTTTAATTAATTTATGGTGCATTAATTGGCTAGATTCTGGATCAAACATCCAAACTGATGTGCATCAAGTATTGGAGAAATTCATCCCAGGCTTGAACATGCACATGATGCAGGATTGCGGGGCCGACGGGCTCTTGATTTTGTGGTCAGGCCCCAAAAGCTGCCTCGTCACTCTGAGGGCCTTCCGAGGGCCAGGCCTGGTTTCCATCAGCATTGAGTACTACAGAGGGGATGAAGATGAGGCTCTATTGACTTTCGACGTAAGAAAAAAATTAAATTTTCTAATTTTATTTTTCTTCTGTAAAAATCCCCCATTAATTATATTTTTTTTATAATACCTTACACAAGTTAAATTTAAAAGTGTGCCAAAGTGATTAACTGAAATGTAACCACAGCAATGCCGGGCCTTAGAGTGTCAGATTAAGGACACCTTGGGCGCCTGCAAAGGCAAAATTCTGCCTGCCCTGCGCAGAGGTGCTACTTTGGATGTGTACATGACAACTTCAGGTGACTTGCCACCGTAGCACACATTCCCCTATCAATTTAGATTTTTGTAAAATTTACGCCTTCAGTGTCCCAAGACCTTCTCACTAAAATGAATAAAAGAAATGATCAATGGGAGACTCTAGTGAGAAGGTCTTTCCAAAAAAAGGTTTGTAGCTTACAAAAGTTCGGCACAGTCCATTCCTAATCATTGTAAATCATCAAGCCATTACCATTATCTCATACAAAAAACTCCATACTTATCTCTGGCAGTCCTATTGTTTTAATTTGGCATGCCCATATTTTTTTTATAAACATAAATGCATGAGTTTAAAAAGGTAGATGCATGTGTTGCAGCAAGTACGGACTATTGAGTCGCTGCTGGTCCCAAAACTCAATAGCGTGCGCCACCACAAATACCCTGCCTTCAAGAGAGGTGGTTTCATCAATAGATATCTAGTCTCTTCAGGTCAGTCCGTTACTTTCTGATATTAATTATTTCATTTTACCTCCATCATGATCACCGCATTCATAATCTGATATGGCACGCATGCTCGTCCCTTTTGCTGTCGAGAAGCGGGGCGATGGCTCTTGAGCTTGACTCCACGTGCTAATATTAATTTTGCTTGCAGACGAAAGAGTGCTGGAGTACGACTTTGACGAGCTCCTGTTCGAGGAGCAAACTCCGTTCCAAAAAGTGCAAATTTTCCACTCGCCGACTTTTGGCAATATGCTTGTTTTGGATGACCTTCAGAGTAAGTAATCATTTATAATATTATTTATACATTTTGAAAGCAATCATTTTGCAAATTTTCTTTGATAAAAAATGGCTTATTGTAGATTTGGATAGCAATACTGACACTTCAAAAAAATTGTAATTAATTAAAATGGAAAATATTTCCAGATCTTGCTGACAGTGATCTCGTTTACACTGAAACCCTCATGCAAAGAGGGAAAGAAAACTTCGAGGGCAAAGAAGTGCTGATCTTGGGTGGCGGTGATGGTGCCCTGCTGTGGGAGCTTCTCAAGGAAAAGCCCAAATTTGTTACCATGCTTGAAATTGATGATGTTGTGATGCAGTCGTGCAAGAAGTACTTGCGCAAGTGCTGCGGAACCTGCCTCGACACCTACGATGCAGAAAATTATAAGGCACTTTCATCGCAAATCCTTCTTCCATGAAAAATAAATCCTCTGATCCCTGCAGATAATTGTTGGTGACTGCATCAAGTGGCTGGACCAGTACATTTCTGATGGAAAGACGTTCGACTACGTCTTTGGTGATCTCACTGATATTCCTCTTTCAACCACCCCTCAGGGTGAAATCTGGGATTTTATCAGACTCATTCTCAACAAGGCACTCAAAGTGCTGAAGCCGAGTGGAAAATTCATGACCCATGTAATATTTATCCTTATGGTTTGATTGACTAATTTTAATTTTGAAATGATACAGGGAAACGGAATCTCGTGTCCGACTGCCCTTGCCATGTACGAAGAGCAGCTGAAGAAACTGGAAACTCCAGTGGACTTCAGTCGTGACCACGCCTTCGTGCCCAGTTTCATGGAGGATTGGGTGTTCTACCAGGTGTGGCGCAAGCAGTAGCACCTCCTGAACCTTTTGGCTCTTCCTACCAGTTTGCAGTTTCAACGCACCAATTGTAGCTGTACGCACGATAGGAGCATAATTACAGACATCGGAGTTTCATGACGGCTAGTCTTTGGCTGCTCGTCCGGCAGTCTAGGGAACTTGTTGTCAACTTTCCACAACTGTAGATGACACCTCCTGTTTTACACTGTTCATTTTGTCTCTGTGTGTAATCAAAATCGGTCTAGACTCAAGGCAGCATGCTCAAAAATTAACTAGTAATTTTACCCGACTAAGTGATAATGATAATCTACGAACCTTATATTTATAATTGGAGACGTGGTTTTCACATAACCATTTTACCTGAAGTTTTTAGAGGGTGTGAATCTTTGTCCCTGAAAACTAGCTGAGCACTTATATTATTAGGAAACGTTTCTAAAGCTTAAATCAACTATTGAGATTAACTCAGAATCCACGTTACGAACCTATTATTGCCATTATATAGCACAACAATCTTCCTATAGTTAGAGTAAGGTTTTAACAAGTTAAAGAGTTTTTGAATAATTATTCCTAAAGGTAGGAAGAGCCCCTAGCCGGAAAGTTAATGTTACAAAATATTTGCAACAAACTGAAAATCTCCACTTTGTTAGTCATTGATATTGTTCCACGTTTGTGCCATTTTATTTGAAGCGATTCAATGTTGGGTTTCCTATATGTTGTCAAAAATCCCACAACTTGGGTTGTTTATTTGCTGGTGCTTTCGTACAAGCTCAAAGCTTGGCCATCACTATGAAATTACTGCCATTGAATGGCCAGTATAATGAATGAACGCATATATTAAAAGTAATTCATTCCATTATCTCATTTTGCCAGTTTGCAGTATTTACGAGTCTAAGTGTATTGTGAATGTTCCACAGCTAAAATACTGTCTTTAATTGAAATTACACACCAAAATACTACATTGCATGTGTTATAAATACGTGATTAAAAAAAATATGATCCAGATTTTTGTAGTGTCTTTGAAATGATACCTCCGTTATTGAACATCAAACATTTATTTAATGCATCATAGCCACGTTGTAACAAATATAGACAAATTTATTCATGTGACACAAAAGTGTAGCACATCACCTAATTTTCTTTTTCTTTTTTTACAATACATAAAACAGGAATTATCGTTAGCAATAATTTATTGAGAATTTGCATAATTTTCACTCCATTTTTAACCCCTAAAATTTAAACAGTAATTTTTTCAAATACAACAAAACACTAAACAATCAAAGCTATGTTGTCCAAACGTACATTCATTATTTTTATGATTTTTCACTTCGATCACGTATAGACATCCACAGAAGGAAATTAAATTATGATTACCGAGTCTTCAACTTACAATTATAAATAAAAACATCAGTCTTCATCAATTAAAATAAAAGCATTCAAGCTCTTCAATACAACACACAGTCCAGTTTGCGTGAGTAGAGATTTGTCATTATATATTTTTAATGTATCATATAATTTTTTTTAAAGATATTAAAATACTTCTGTTGTATTTACACAAATAAATACTGTGCTCGCTTTGTTCGTCGAGGGTTAATACATATTGTCGGATGTTCTTGAGTAAAGAAGACACAAAAGTTCTCAGGGAGCAGAAAATTTGCCCCACCATATACCATATAGTAGGATTAAGATTGAAATTTTAGGTGTAAAAAGCGCGGAGAAAAATTGTCCCGGAAGTAGAAGTGAACAAGGTACGATCTTGAGGTGAAACAAAGACGACTATTCAACACCCATGAATACGCGGTCATGAGGCTCCCAGGTTCACTTGATTCTTTTATAATCGAAAGGTATGCAACACATTGACACGCATGTCACACAGGTTGCATAGCTCCAAGACACTTGAGTCAAGTTCTCCTGGTCGCCCGCTCTCGAATTGAGATTTACGTTCAGCACAACACACATATGTACATTTTCAGGTCAGTAAACCTGAAAGTTACACCTCTTTGTTGAGTCTTGCCAGGGCCCGACTATTTCAGAGCATCCTGCGTGAGGCGGCGATGGTCCGAGGAGACCCTTTGCAGGTGGAGCGATTGTACGCGTTGCTGCTCGAGGAGCGGGAGGCGAGTTCGCTGAGTGACGTGCTATCTCTGCTGCCAGGGACGCCAGGGACGTTTCTCCAACCTGAGGAGCTGCTCAGAGCACCTGGGGGGATGGTGTCGGTCCCTCGTCGGAAGAAGGGAATCCAGACCAGGGGTGGCAACTTCCTGCGGAAATTAACCATGCAGAATTTAAATTTGAGATACTAAAATCCGCTAAAATCTATATTGCACAGCAAAATTTAAGATCGTAGCAGGACCAGGAAACTAGTTCCTCCAATGCATTAAATAAATATTAATTAATAAATTCTCACACCAAAAACCCCAGTATTTCAATTTATTTTCTAAAATCTTTCTTTTATCATGTTTTACTTTAAGAGCTTATAAATCATGAAAAGCATCCCTTTGAAAATATTATATGAAATTATTTAAAAAATAATATAAATGAAAGCATCACTTTTCAGAAACCAACAAAAAAATTTAAAATTATCTAAATATGGTTTTCCTTTGGTCAGAACAAAAATTTATGTATTATGGAGCTAGAATTTAAAATATATAAAAATTAATTCATTTCAGTCAAGACCCTACACTGTGATTTTTTTAAAGGCACTGTCAAAATGCTAAGATTCAATTACTCAGAACTGAATTCGCAGAGCCGAAATTATTTATTCATGACGCGCATTTGCATAATAGTATGATCTTGCCCTTGGGGGACACTCTTTATTTCCTTCTGAAAAATTCCTCGGCAGCGTGTTAATAAAATGTGCGCGCTGTTGACGTCCCTCGACTCAATCTCGTCAAGCGAAAGAGAAAATGCTGGTATATATATTCGCGAGCCCACAAATTACTAAAAAGGCCATTCCAGCGTCTCTTGTGTTTTGCTCGGCCGAGATGGAACACAATTTATAGTGCGATTGTTGTTCGCGATGTATTAACGCGGGCGACGACAACGGTCGCACTTGCTTTATTGCGTACCAGGCCATCATACCGCACGCTTCAATTACAATTCAGTGCACATTACATTTCTGGAATTGCTGGCGCAAGAGCCTTTTTTATTCGTGTGCCGAGCACATAGAGTATAGAAATCAGCGGCCGCACTTCAATGGCAACGAAAACACTCGCTTCACCATAAATCATGCGATTGTTCTTCTAGAGCCCGGCCCGTATTGGCAAAACTCGCACTCCTTCAATGAGAGAGTAGAACTCGAAAACGGTTCACTGCCGGCTGATCGCGCGTGCCAACTCGGCGTGCCTTGGGAGCACCTCAATAAGAACAAAAATCGTGATTCAAACGATACTTGCTGGTAATTAAAATTATTTGTTTGTCAAATAATATCTTTCAAATTGTACAAGGGAAGATAACCAGGAAACAAATGAGATTCAGAGGGAAAAAATATTAAATTAAAAATAATAAAAGATCAATTTACATCACATTTAAGAACAGGGGTTTGATTCTGTCTGATTTGGTCTTATGGCATCAGAGCCTAGAAAACTTTTTCCGCTTCAATTGCATAATTGTTTAACTTATTTTTGCGTGAACTTAATAAAATTAATTATTTGATTTTTTCAAGTATTTATTTTGGCCGATCCTGATATTTCATGATGAACGGCAACGATATTTAAAAAAAGCAGTTAAAAATCGGAGCATATATTAAATTTAAATGATACGTTTTAAAAATGTATTTATAAATACTCTGACGACAATGCAGTGTATCTATGCAAATTCATTTGAAATTTCAAGAGAAAAGCTTGCTCTATGTTTACAAACTAAATTTCTTGGGGCATGTAACCTAATTTTAAATCGTGGCATGCATAACTAATGTTAATTATTAGACAACTCATGACGTGAATGTGCAATCAAACCACGCGTTTGTATAGTAATTTACAATTTCCGAAAATAGCCCCGGATATTTACGCATTGCAAGCGAAACTCAATTTCCTCCTAGACAAACAATAAGGCACACAATTTGTGTGCAAATTGATTATGTGCTCGTCGTCGTGAGGAAAGAGTGTGTAAGAAACGAGCGAGGGCTTGTTTGGGCATAACTGAATAAGACCGAAATTGGCCGTGTGTGTTATACCTGAGCGAGCGACAGATGCTGGAGGAAAAGAGGCAGTAGATGACTGGATTGGCAGCCGAGTTGAGCGGCGCCAGCGACTGGATGAAGGTGGCCACCGCCGCGGTGGTCTGCGTCCTCGGCACCTGCAATTACGCCGATACCATCTGCATTATATGGCTCAATTTATTGCCGGTCGAAACAATGCCCACAAAAGAAGTGTACACGTGCAAACAAATATTACCATTATTGTGACTGAATTAATAGAGTGAACACCGAAGGTTTATATATGATTTTTCAATGGTTGGATCAGCGATATTGAATTATTTTAGTCACGGACAAAGAGATTGCAACCAACTTAATCCTCTTACTTATATCAGATGATTAGTTTTTTTTAGAACTTATAACTAGCATCAGACTTGTAGTAATAAATTCAGTATTTTAAACAATGAGAGAAAAAAAATTTAGTAAGATAGAAAAAACCGAAGTCGTAAAAGTCTGTTTACAGGGTGAAGCAGTCTTAAGTCAAGAAATAGATTTTCGTGCAAAACACGTCATGCAAAAAAAAGCAGATAAGTGACGAAAGAAAAATTCTCTCTTGAGAGAACTGTAGGATAAGAAGCGAAAGATCGAAAGAGGTTGAATTACTAATTAAAAACAACTCCAAGGACCAGCAGTTAAGTCAAGATGTTGGCAATTTTTCTCCCTCATTTGCCGTTAATTAATTAAATCGCAGAAAAACAAACAGGCGCCTCTGCATTTTAATGTTTACTCATTATAAAATAATTAATTAAGAGTCTCGGTATATGGAACTAGTTCCCCACGCGGGCTGTAAATCTCAACCTGTCAAAATGTCATTAAAAATCTTTCTGTAGGTTTGGATGCTTGTATTAGCCCAAGGGAATGAAACTATTTTTTTTTCTTTTTAAATTTAAATTCTTTCGTTCATTTCGTCCTAACTTCTTCTAAAAACCTCGACAAGCTTATTAAATTATCCATTCAACACGATTAGCAGACGCGGTTGAACAAAAAAGGTGCCGATAATTTATTCAAGACGTGCAGCCGGCGCTGGAAATTAATTCGAGCCACGTTGGAGACTTGTCAATCTGTTCCGCAGAGAGCCGCGCTCTGGTTTTAGTCTGCTGATAAATGAAAAGGTTGATCGCTTTGAGACTAATAGGTCAAGTCACTTGAAGGATATTTCCAACAACGTGCAGCACCAATAAATTACGTACCTGTTCGTACACCTGGAGCAGGTCAAACACAAAGTACGGGCTCCAGCATAGGATGAAAACTGCAAACAAAATTATTGAGGATAATTTTAATGATGGAATAAATCAGAATAAATTATCAACATAGTGGTATTGTGTTGAGCTGTTTGCTTATGTTGGCCTGCTGCTTTGCAAAGATAAAAAAATAGTATAATGATAACATGTTTTACCTGGAAACAAGTATGCCAGTCAGAAACAAAGGACCAAGTGACACAATGAGCACTCATATAATTGATAATTACGCTTAGAAGCCTTTTAAAAATTCTAATAAATTATTAAATTAATAAAAAATATAAGGGGAGTTTCAAATGTAAATAAATTATAATAGAATGTGCTTTTGCAGAGATATTTTTATATTTTTTATGTATAATTTATGTAGCCTATTTATTATAATTTTATTTTTAATTTCTATATGTTTTTTTTTTATGTAAATTTAAAATATTGTTGTTTATTACATGTTATTTTGAATTTTGACAAAAAAAAAATATTTTTCTTCTTTTTACATATAAAGTTCTTGTTTCAATAAACGTAGTGATAGGTAAATTATATTTTTAGTCCATTGTTTGCTCTTTTTAGATTGCGGAAATGATGTTGTAGGAAATGAATTACACATACAAGTTCAAAGACCATACTATGTGAAGTGGTTGATGAAACTTGGCACTCGAATGGGGTTGCACTTTCAAGTCGGGGCAGTGTCAAAATATTTATAGCCGCACGCAAGCAAAAAGAAAAATTAATCGGGATAATTAATATCTCGGCAAGAGTTTCACTTTCAAGCGGCAGCCCGCCGGCCTAGTCGGTCCGAAATAGATGCAGCAGAAGCAGCGAAATGAATGCAGTCGACAAATTGAAATCCATAAATCAGAAGGTTGACAGCCGGCAGATCGGCGATTCAAAAACAGAGCTCTCGAGCGGGACAGTTTCGTTTTCATTTCTGACGCAAAAGCACCCCCTGCTTTGAAACGCACGTCACACGCACGCTCTTTTTGTAATAATATTCGGCACTACCACTCTTGAAAATATTAGCGAGTGGCCACGATAAAAAAGATCAGAAATAAATTTGAGTGAGGGAGCGACGCTCTAGAAAATTGTGGACGCGTCTCTCTCTCTCTTCTCCGAAACGCTTTTTTTATGTTTGATTTTATTTTTGGACTATAGCATAGGCGCTGCCGTTTTCCTGCACCTATATTAAAGAGCTGCCGGCTGTCATTGTGTGTATGCTTTTGAATCACTCACCAAACACAATGACGAGTGTCATTTTGACTGTTTTTATTTTGGCTCTTGGAATCAGGCCTCGAGAGCTTGCCCGCCTGCAATCTGCCTCTTCTTCAGTGTGGCCGTCTGCAACAGAAATGAAATAAATATAAAAAAACACTGATCAAAGAGATTAATAACAGAAAACACGGATTTTTTGACAATTTCCATACACAAGCAAAAGGAACAAAATTTGAGTATTAAATTTTGTGGTCTAAAAAGTAGCATTCTGCTTACTATTTTTTAAATAATTAATTTCACTTTATTAATAATTTAAATATCATTATTTAATTTTAAATTATTTTATATCTGCTACAAAATTCGAGTTTTTTTTTTACTGTTCACAGGTAATATCAATAAGATCATTTATGGATAAATTATTCATGTTTAAATTTCCAATTCTCAGGCACTCTTAAATTTGCTTGTGAAGAACATGTATGATCATTTTCACAATTTTTATGAACATGTTATGGCAAACGGCCTTGAAAAATTGAACGATTATTATCAGTTTCAAAATCAAGCTTCCAAAATTTTCATCACTCATTTTCTTCTTATTGTTAGAGGTAGTATTACTCTTGCAAAATAATGAATAATCAATTCATTCTAATGCAGGGAAATTATAAAAATAAAATAATATCATAGGTTTTCCTTGAAAATTTCATTTAATCTTTTGCATGAAACAAAAAATTCTGTGAATGATTTTCAATTTTCAGTATGAATGGCATACAAGCAAAAAATTTCATCATTAAAATATTCAATTCAAAGCATTTGTGAAGAAATCTCACAGATTGCCTTCACATTTAAAAGCAATTTTGAAAATTACCCGTGCCGAAATAATTTTATCTCTGCACGGTCGGGAATGAGCGCCTCGTCATTTCGCGCTTACATCACCTTTCGCGAGAGAACACGGACCATTAAACTCTTCCTCGCAATGTTTCAAAAGTAGCTTTCCGACGTGCCGAGTCGTCTTGCTGCTGAAGGAAAGAAGAATTCGCAAAAGTGACAGATGCCGGCGGCGGCAATTCACTTGGATAGTATTTTGCGTACGCTGAATATTATCATTATTTTTGTGCGGCGATCAGCGCGAGCCACCTGTTATGGTGTTGCGTTCAAATTGCAAATTGTGTCAGCAACCCGCAACGATAAAAAAAAATTAGGTCCGGCAGATGGAGATGTTACTTTTTTGCTGCCGTCAGCTCAGATTTCAACACGAACGCGTACAAGTGGGCGGTGCAATTAGCAAAACTAGTCATGCTAATTACAAGGAAAATAAATTTGAATCCAATTTGCATGAAAATGTGTTTGCTTTACAATTTTTCTTTAAGTGTGGGTTTGGGCGATACTGGAATTTTTTTAACGAATGTGTCGAATTTTCATCTGCGCTCGAATTTTGATTGGCAGGATAATTGCTTTTTCATCTCGCGGCGTGTTCGTGACCACGTTCAATCAACACGACCGGAAAAAACAATCTTTGAGTAATTATGACGAAAAAACAGAGCTTTTTCGTGGAATGCAAATAAATTTCAAAACGAAGAACGGTGAGATGCTGAATAGCGTGACTCAGAAAAAGACTTGCAAAAAGTTTGCTTCAGCGCACTCCAGCAGCGACACTCAGTGGAGTGTCTAGCACGAGCAAGGTATATTTTTCTTGCGCAAAATAAATGAGACGTTTGTTTTTGCTTCTTTTCAAAAAACATGAAAACACTTTTCACAGCTAGTGAAACTTCACTATCTCTAGAGTTCCAGGAAAACAGAATTTGACTTAGTTTAGTGAAAAGTAGGACAGGATTTTCCTTGATCATTTAATTAATTGATGAAATATAACATCAATCTTTTCTATCTATTTACATAAAAAATAACAATTACATGCATGATGTATTTTCTTCCAAATTTCTTGAAACAAACCTGTTTTCCTCGATCTTCAATTCTTATAATAAAAAGCATTAAAAAAATATGTAATAATCGTCTATATATCTTTCATTTTGATTTTATTAAAAATAATTTATAATACCCTTTTTTTATGTTTTCAAGAAACATAACTAGAGAATTAAAAAAAATATTTTTAAATATTATGATTTTAAATTTAACATTGCAACACAGATCTTCAATTTAACTAAAAAGTCACAATTGAAAGCAGAGCAAGTTTTTTGTTTTGTGGTTTAACAGTTTCCTATGATCCACAAAAGCAGCATCTATCCCTGCTCAGAGCAAAAAATTAGCTGTCGTCACAGCTGGAGTTCGCCAGCAGCTCGTTCCTGGCTGAGTCTTGGCCAAGAGAAGTCCGCAAAATCCATCCCAAGAGCGGACGGACATTCATATTTATGAACTTCGAGATTTAAATTTGAGCCACTCTTGTGATAGTTGCGGTCAGTTGGAGCGGCGACAAAGTAAATAATATGATGTGTGCGTGCGCCGAGCAGCGCAAAGAGAAGGGTTAAAAAAATGGAATAAATCATTTCAGCCTCAAAAAATTAAGCGAAAAAGCAATCAGATCTACATACTGGTCCTGGTGGGCGTCTTCATTCTCGCGACTTTCGCTGACCTGGCGGGCTGGGTGCCGAGGACTTTGCCCTGGGCCCAGATTGTGGCCACGATCACCGTGTAGCAGAAGGTGATGATGCACGCAGGGATGAAAAAGAGCACCACCGCCAGCAAGGTGATGTACAATTGCCAGTGCCACTGCTCCGAAAGTTCGATCCAGCACTGCGGTTGTTCTGAAAATTAGTTAAAATACTTTTTTGTGAAAAATATTTTACAAATGAATAAAATTCAAATAATGTGCAAGTCCTGAAGTAAAAATGAATGTTAAATTTTAGATTGCAACTTTTCAATAGAGTAATAAATTTTCTTTTTTTTTTGTAAATTAAACAAACTTCACTTTTGCTGAAATATTAGACTGACGCAAGCATGAAAATTTTATATACTCATATTATTCATTATTATTGACGAAATTCTAAATTAAATTTGGCTGTATATTATAAATTCTCTTTTTATATTTATCATAATTATAATACCACATTAAATCACTTGGAAAGAGTTTTTGTGCAAAAAATCAAGGAGTTAATGTTTTTTTCCAAATAAAAGATTAAAAAGCCAGTCTCGCCGTTAAAGTGTCAAGATTGTTTGGCGTACATGACTTTGGCACCTCTTATCCCACTTGAAGCAAAACCTGTCTAAATCGACTGGACAGCTGCTTGTGACGCGACAAGCCCAATTAGCGAAAACATTAGTCTTCCGCAGATTTAGAGTTGGCTTGCTTGGACCTTGCTGGTTTTATTTGTAGGGGGGATTTGTGTGCGGATTATATTTGCACGAGACCCCATTTCATAAAATGAAGTCGTTTCTGTTAGGGCGTGTTTGTCTCTGACGGGACAAAGTTGTCCGCTCTAGAGAGATATGAGCATGCGGATTCTAAAATTGCGACGCACATTCGAGATAATTTTATTTGGTTGACATTCCAAAACAATTGATAAAGAAAAAGAACAATACAAAAAATCGGCGACAATTTACATTTTTATAGAAGACACTTACTTAATGTGCTTCAAGCTTTATAGGAATAAAGAAGCTAAAAATCAAATCATATTCGTAATAGTAAATCACGAAAACTAGCGGAAGGTTTTTGTTCCAAATTATTTTATAGATGCTTTCGCGATGATTCAATTTCAGAAATCATAAATCAGAGAGAAAGACGGATGATTTATAGCTCCATAGAGTGTGATGAGCCATGGCGATAAAAACTAATTACGAGAGACCGTGAAGCTTTTTTGGATGTAATAATTCAGCCGCTCTTGGAAGACACCGATAATTAAGTTCGCTACTCGCGATTGGCGTAAAATTACATGCGCTCGGGTTGAAATTAAAGAGAGATGCGTAATTTGAGATAAGAGCAGAGCGCCGGCCGGATCGTGATCAAGCGCGCGCAAAGAGAATATGAGACTTGAGCCGTAATAACAAAGTTAAATCCATCCTTACCTTGGACGAGGCGCTCTTCGAAGAGGAACATGATGGGCGCCGAGAACAGGGCGCTGAGCATCCACGCCGTCGCGATCAGAATCCGAGCCCGACGCCCTAAATGCAGTCAGATGCAAATTAAAGACAAACATTCGTTCATTCACTCACTCAGTGCAGCCGCGCATTGCTTTTTATTTTATTGCTCGTGACACGCGCGTTTAGCAACGCTCAAGTAGCCAATTAAAATTTTAACTCGGGAGCAGTAGAGAGCGCCAAATGAGTGCGACGCAAAAACTATAGTCGAGAGAAGTCAGCGAAAATAGCTTTGTCGTAAAAATAAGTGGACAGTGAAAAAGTGTTGAAAATTTACAATGAAATGAACTTAGTTAAACCAGACAGACAGTGAGCAAGCAATGAATGGTTAAAAGAATGTATGAATGAGTTAAAAATACTAAAATTTATTTTTAATTTTAGTGTTCTGTCCAACAAGCTAATTAAAATTTAATCGAGCAAATAGATTGTGACTATTAAAAAATTCATCATTTTGATTAATTTATTGAAATATGTAACTGTAGTCCTTAGAAAAATATTGACGTATAATTTTGAGAAGAACATTTAGATATTTAAGAAAAATCGTCAATGTGCTGCGTTGATCTAAAATTAACTCGCATAATCATTAGGATGCACATTTAAATTTAGAGTCTTGTACGCAATAACAGTTTTTTGAAATATTTATGTTGCTTGTCAAAAGTTATTTGCTGTCTTCCTGTCGTTAAAAATTCAAATAGGCCCTCATATTCACAGAGTGCAGTTCACGAGTTTATTAACATTTCCGACGACGTCCAATATGTCACCGAGTGGTTTATTGCACGGTGGCAACACTCTTTTTAATTGAAACACGCGCAAAAGTGCATGCACAGATGAGCTCGTTTAGTAAAAATATACTCACAACTGCCGGAGAAATTCATGGGGTGCCTGATTGCATCATAGCGGTCGATGCTCAGTGCGACGAGCACGTAGGTGGAGGCGTAAGTTACCAAAGCCTAAAAGTGCAAGTTTTAATTTGAAAAATTCATCTCGCGCAGTCCGAAGCAAGAAAAATTCTATTCTTTAATAAAATAACTCGAAGAAGGAATTAAATTTGTTCAGCCAAGCTTACTTAGATATACGCTCGAGTTGAAGAAGAAAATTTATTAAAAAATGTCAATACAATATCGGTTGAAAAAAATCCAAGCAGCTGCAGAGTGAATTGCATGCTCAGACTCACAGTCAGAAAATTATGTAACTTCGACACATATAAAGGGCGCGGACGCGACGCAGGAGCGAGAAACTCGAGAATGGTGAGAGGGATTATAAACTTTTCCAAGCTTCTCACAATCAGTTGAAAATTTCCCGCGCGTCTCTGTTGTATTTCATACAGCTTCAGACGATCAAATCAAACTTTGGAGCGGAACTTTGCCGGACTGTTTGTGCAAAACAGCGCTTGTTTTATTAATTTGGAATCAAGAGTTCGGGGCGTTTAATTGAGTGGTACTAATTGTACCGGGGAATTTACAACACGGAGATTATTAGAACGAGGCAATTACCAAGTTTGTTAAATTGTGGAGGAAAATCTCGAGCGACTGAATTGAGTTTGAAGGCGATTTGAGAATATAATGGGACATTAATTCTCATACTCATTTTACCGTTTAAAGACTGCAAACTTAACTTGGAGCAATCTACCTTTTAAGAACAAAAGCTGTTTTATCGATTTAACTTATTTAATTGCATTAAAGTGGATTCGAGCAGAGCTGAAGCGAATTAGAAACAATCTAATGTTTGAATTTCCGCTGGATGCAAGAGGAAGAGATTTTGGTTAAACTGTAATTTTTAAACAAGGACACAAGACTTTTTTTTGTAAGTCTGTTAGAGGAATAAAATTATATTGTTATAGAGGGGGGGGGGGAAGGAAACACTTAACATTTTCTAAGACTAACGTAGCACACCATACAATTTCTTTGACAGATTAAATTAGCCTAAAGGGGCAATTTTGTGTTGGATACTTAATATATTTAATTTTAAGAAAAATATTTTAATAAAATAAAATAATAGTAATACAAAAATTTAAAATTTTAAAAATAACTTAAATAATGAAGTAAAAAATATATTTACAAAATTATAAAAAGTATTTAAAATTTTGTTAAATAAAATTTTCCATAACTTAAAGAAAAGCTGAAATTAAATAATATTAATTTTTTAAATTTTAAACTATCATCAACTTTAAATATTTTAAATGTGTTCAGCTGATACTTTTTTATGGAAAACTGATGAGAACAATGCGTTCAACATCTTGATATTTACCTGGAGGAACTTGATGAACTTGCAGGCAACATTTCCAGCATACCAAGACACGACGTGCTTGCTCACAATGTCCGTCAGTACATTTATCAGGCCAACACTGAGGTCTGCAAAAAAGCATAAATTTAATGTTATTAGCTGGATAATAATTGAGAGGCCGAGGCTGTTTGCTGGCCACAGCAGACAAAAAGCGGCCGCAGGCAAGGCCTCGTCTTTTTTCATAAAGTGTGTGCTTATTATTTAGATCGACGTAATAATCACACACAGCGGCGCTCGCATTCTGATCCAAATCGGTCGTCCCTTGTTCGGCCGCCAAAAAGGCAAAAATTAATTTTTGGCTAGATAAAGAGGCGACGTCTGAAAGAAACACACAAAGGTACTCGGATAATTGGATTCTCGTTGTTTTGCTCTCGTTCTCAATTGACTAGCTAAATAAATTTTAAAGAACCGTCTCTAATTTTTTGCCGTCTCCGAACGCAGATGATTTTCTTGGAGTCGCTCCAGCTGCCGGCCCTCCGAGATTGATTCTCTCTCTCACAGAAAAGGAACTCGTTCTCCAATTAAATTATGCAGCTAGAGATGTGTCTCGTCGTCGCTGCCATTTCTTTTGAATATTTTTTTTTGCTCCGCGTCGGACGGCAATCGGAGCCAATATAAAGGCTTGTTTTGAAAAGGTTCTTTTTAATGTTATAAAATAAATAAAAGAATACAAATAACAGACGAAGTACTCTTTGCTTGGAAACGATTCCTCGCGACATGAGAAAGCTTTTGAAGGCAAAGTCATTGAAAATTGTTATTTCTGTAGAAATTTTTTATATTACTACAATTCCTTCTTTGATTTATTGGTATTATATCAGACAAACTCGGTCTTCTTTCCAATTTCACAATATTTTTCCCTCGTTCATCTCCTGATGATATTTTGTATAAATTTGTTTTTACGTTTACCTGCAATGGCAAGATGCATGATGAAAAAGTTCATGCGCGACTTCGCTCTCGTCCTGTCCAGTAAGAGGGCTGCCAAAACCGCAGAGTTGCCGACAAGAATGAGGATGAATAGCAGCCAGAGGACGATAAACTGCTCCGTCTGAAACAATTGGAAACACAAACGGGTGAAAACTTCAGTCCAGTGCCAAATGAAGAACTAATGCATGTGAGCTAGGGGAAGAATTCAGCAAAAGGAAAAGCATAAAAACTGGCCTGCTATAATTAAAACCTTGCCAGCGTGATTTATCACTTGTTTGAACATCGCAGCAACAACTCTCTAATGACTTTTTCTATTTTGAAATATAATTATACACGTCCGCCATCAGTGTGGGATAATAAATCTACTAATAATTGTGGCTTTCAGCATTGAAATTGGATTTTATAAATTGAATCAATTTTCAAATAAAGCTTACCCAGCCAGTCAGCATTTATTTAGAGCTCACTGTTTTCTCTATATAATGGGAAAATGTCTGCAGAATCGATTTACAATTAGAGATGTTGAAGAGAGATGCACCCGTAAATACTGCTTGCTAGACATTATCATCTGCATTACAGTTTGTATGACTTTTAATAGAATAAAAATAAATTTAAAATATCGCTTATAAATTACCAAGCTATTTAAAGAGAGTGTCTTTTCTGTTAGAAATACTTTATTTTTTTCTAACTATTTTACCATTAAAAAAAATTAACTAAGATGGTTGGTTTTTAATTTTGAAAATACATTATTTACATCAATTTACAACTTAATCTTACATTTTTAATACAGCCATTTAAAAGCACTAATTTTGACATTTTTGAGAGCATTATTTTGGGATTTTTAGATAAAATGCGCATCTCCCTTCAAGAGCTCTGGATCGATACTTTGAGAGAGATGTGCATCTCACAGTCAATTTGAGAGACGCAAATGTAAATAAATATCAAAGGGAATTGGAAGTGTCAGTCGGAGGAAGGCTCATTATTCCTGTTGGGCCTCATTACAACGGGCCACTCCAGCAGCAGCTCTCGAGCTCTGGTCTTTGTTAATGTGGTGGTTCAACTACTCGTCGTGTTAAGTGCTGCGGAATATAATTGAGAAAAGGAATTTGCGCTCTGCTACTTTATTTCGCGCTTAATCGTTGTGCGAGCCGAGCGAGAGAGATGCCGTTCTGCGATAAATTCTGGACTAACTCAGTAATGACTCAGAGCCCTATTTAATAAAGCATATACTTGTCCGTCGTGCAAACGATCGCGATTAATTATCCGACTAAGATTGTGATAAATGAGGTAATTGAATAATTAACTTTTGCATTTCCTTAAGAAATTTACAGTCACAGGCAATTAAATGAGGAGCAAAACTCTCAAAAGTTTGCAAAATTAACGAAAAGAGAAAAAAATTATTTTCAAATTTGATTCTTTTTCCTCAATACTGACGTGCTTTTTAATTAAAATAGGAAACTTTCCTTATAAATGGAAGGTAAGTGGAATTACGTTTTCAAACGATTAATATCTTGAATATACACCACAACCAGGAATGACTTGCTAAAAAAAAATAATAAACCTATACTCTGTTTTCTTTCATCTCGTCATATTAAATTTTCAGCAATCTGTGAGAAGGAATTCGTGCAACAAAGAGAAGCTAACTTGGATTTACTCTTCTTCTGCAGAGGAATAAAAATTTGAATAATAAAAACTTAAGTAGGATGAAACGTCTCCGCGGGGAGATAATTCGCAGCAAATATAGCACTCGTAATAAAAATAAAAATTCCTCGCGGGTTTTCCTTGTGCCGAGAGTAGAAAGATATTCATCACACACGGCTAGCGACAACAGTAAAATTAATAATAGATCCTTTCGAGAGAAAAGACTGACGCGGCACCAGTTGGAAATAAAAAAATTATTACGACGGGCGTTTCAAAGAAATCAGCAAGGATAATAAAGAAGTATCTCTGTTCTTGCAAAATCGTTAAACAAAACATAAATCATGCGAACGAAGAGGGCCAATGTACACACACGCAGCAATTTGTATCATGCGCGGCAAAAATGCAAAATTTACTCGCGGCTCTCTGTGACCCTTCGGATACTCGGAACAAATTTCGCCCGGCGCGCACACACGTGTAATTACGCTGGCGTGTTATTATCATCGTCATTATATGGATTCGCCGCCGCATTTATCGCACACCGCTACAGTAATTTATGCATTCTCGGCGGGGCCATCGAGGAGGAGCGCGAATGCTCCACATCCTGACCTAGCCCAAGTCTTTGCTCCTTGCTCGGTCGTTCGCCGGCTCGCGCGCGTGCATGCAGCTCTCGCGATTTTGCTCGGGGCAGTGAGTGAGAGATGAGCAGCTCTGCTCATCGCAAATAACACTCTTTGATTGTAGATCGCATCAAATTCGCATCAAATCGGTATTGCCGTTTGCTCCAAGGTCGCGATTATATTGTCTGCCACTTACACGCTCCAGCACTTTTACAAGAATTTTACTTGCTGACTTAAAATTTATGCTTCTTTGCAGTTTCATTTTATTATTTTCACCCTCAAGTTTTTATATCTAATTCAGTGGGAGCTTTTCTCATTTGATTCGTAGAGAAGATTGAAGGTAAACAATTCCTCAAGAAATTATTAGATGGTATTACAAAACGCCAATTATTCAACTTTTCAAAAGATAGTAGAAAAACTTAATTTGTTTGCCATGGAAAAACTTTTTAATTAATATGAAATTTTTATTTCAATCAAACTTAATTTATGTTCCATTTTCATCAAATTATATAATTCCTGACTCTACACTTAATTTCTCCTGCTTTATATTACAATGACTGATGACAATTATTTGATATTTTCAAGGGATTTTTTTTAGTTTTCGAAAGTAATTTTTTTTTTTCAAAATTATATAATTTCACAATTAAAGAAACCTGTAAACAGACAATAAGAAAACATTCACACTGGTTTCATTAAAATATCCAAGCAGAAAAAATTGATTTAAATGAAAATAATTATAGTAATCTTTAAATAAAAGGAGATATATTTCAGATTTTGCTTTAATTTTGGAATTATAGCTTTAAATTTTTTTCTTTAACAAATAAGAACCATATAATCATAATGCTTGAATTATGTAAAATTATTTGTAATTGTCGTTTATTGCAACTAAATATTATGTACAATTCAAGTAAAAATGCTACCAGGTTATTTTGGCTGATGAGCAAAATTTTTATATTGGGACTTATTGTTAGCCTCAGTTTGCTTAAAAATAATGAGTTTTTTTTATGAAATTTGGGCATTTTTTAAATCAATTTAATTTAACATTCTTCTAATATTAAATAAAATGAAAATAAAAGTGAATAACACATAATATTATGAAGCGAATACAAAACCAATGTAAAATAATAAAAAATAATGCATCACGAAAGGTATAGAATTTCATTTTCCCAATCATTAGACTAACGACTGCAGTCATCTGAAAATGAAAAATGAAACAGCAAGTAAAAAACTACTAGACCGAAGCAAACAACGTAATATCAAAGGCGTGTGGGGAGCACCGCCAAAGTTACTTCACTGCCCTATTGTGCCCGACGCGCCTTGTATCGATTTCCTCTCGCGCACAATACACCAGAATATTGCATGCTCGCATGGAAATTTATATATATATCTCGCTACAAGAAGCTGCTGCGCGCACATTATGTACCCTGCCGGCTTCTTGTGTCGTGATGGAACCAGATGCTGGAGAAAAAATCGCCAGCCCTTTTATCGGGCTGTCGGGAAAAAAGAAAAAGACGTGCGAAATGAAAATGAATCGCGCGCATTCTCCGGCTCGGTGCTAAGTAAAGCTCGTAAGGAAAACTTACTTTTCTGCGAAATTGTGTGCATTGTTGCAGTTCTAAAAGCGAATCGTCGGCGTGCGAAAAGGCTCTGCCAGGCAAATGGTTGTTAGAAAGACGGGAAAATATCTCAACTTGCATTATTTCTTGCGCTAAACGCGGGAAGTTTCGAACAAGTGTTACTCCTACACCTCAACGACTGCAGGAAAAGGTGTAAGAAGGTAAGAAGGTTTCTGCAGAACAATGGAGAAATAAAGTCCTGCTTAAAATTGCACGTTGGTTTCAATCTTTAAAACTACTACAAGGCGATGAAAAACGGATTTTATTAAAAATTAATCATCAAAATTATAATTTGATATCTCCTTACAAGAAAAGCAATAACCAATAGATTTTCAATGAAAAAAAAAACAACAAAGATCAGTTGTTACAAACAAAAAATTATTAATGTGCTTAATGAAATGATAATAAATTTTGTTTCTAGCAAAAAAGAAAATTATTGCAATGAAAAATGGTTATTCGGCCAATTTATAAGAAAATGAGGATTTAATTTATACTTCATTATCATGTATGCATTAAAATTTCTCATTAGAAATTTATATTATTTTCCTTTCAGATTTTTAGAAATATTTTGCAAGGTTGATACTCACCAAAGGATAAGAAATGTTAACATTTAAAAATTTTTAAATTGAGGGGGAGATTCTATTAATTAAATATCAGCAAATTTCCAAATCCTAGTCAGAGGACTAATATAGGATAATGGATCAAAATAAATTAGGGAGAATGCTTACTTGGGAACTGAGAACCCCAGACCATTTTCTCGCTAGAATTTATGGGAAACGCAAGTCGGTGCACGGCTCAAGTTACTTGCCGCAGGTCACAGGTGCACGACGAAAACACCAAATCCAGCAGTCTTTGACAATTCGATAGTAGATAACAAATATACATGGTGTGCGTTATCCAACCAACAGAACCTGCAGAGATGAGTAATACATTTCAAGTAAGAAGACCAGGAAAGAGAGCTTGATACTAAACAACTCGTCAAAAGGGACGTCAGTCTCCCTGTCATGTTGTAATGAGTTTGCCGACTTCGCTCCTCTGGCTGCAAACTTTAGTACACAAACTTTATGTAAACCAGCAACAGCCCACTCGGGCGTGGAGTTCTTTTTGTGCGCCACGTCTTCTCTCGAGAGGACTTATTACAGCTGCACTCAAAGAGCTAGACGCTCTCAACATGGATTTTTTAGTATGACTACATAGCCTGTTGGCAAATTTAATTACCGCCAAGTTCAGCAGCATTCCTTGGAATGCAA